GCTAGATCGCCGATGATGACTGAACAGGATCTAAGTTCTAGGCCTCTTTAGATCACTCTATTTATAAGGTGAAACGGTCCAATGAATTCGTGTCAACAATTCATTGCGAGATAACCTCGCGAAGTATATGCTTATGTAATTTTCTACTCTTATGTCATAATAGTTGATGAAATTACCGTTTTTAACATAGGCACTTGCTTATTTGCAGTCATTTCATTTGAACTGATCTATCAATTGAAATAAAAAATATAGAAGAATCGTATTATTTTGAAATAGAACCGGCAGCATGATCTCGAATTTAGACCGGTCGCTCATGTTGGACTCAAGATTGACAGCCGGCGTCTTGACACAACCGTTTAATTTCCAGAGCATCAAAAGCAACTGCAGTCAGTGAAGCTATTATACTGTATTGTCCCGCTTGTTTTTTTTTCGCACTTGTCTAAATGAAACCTTTGTCTGGCTGCGGAGCCGAGTTTACGACGTTTGTAAATAGCCTTGGACGATTTTCAAATTTAAAATATTGCTTTTCTTGTTTAAATTTGTCATTGTGCGGTAGGGTGGAGCAGAATTGAATTACGACTAGATTTTTTCTGTGGGGACTCTAATGTGAACCCTTTAATGCGTTTTCTAAACAATAATTTATAGAGTTGCCGTAAAGCCAGTGAAAATTGCGAAAAACCTATATTTTAGCGTCTTTTTTTACTTTCGGGTTAAATTTTGTGGGTTAACATGGATTATTGAGATGAAACTTCCGAATAAACATTTATCTAACAATCAATCAATAAATAAACAAAATATGATAGAAGTCGATTGATGCTAACGTTGTTAGATTAATAATGATTCTCATAGACATAATTACAGCGACGCGCGGTTGACCTTCCCTCTGGTTGATCGGAGGTTGTTGCGGGTGCCTATGTACTTGTGGGTGGCTGAAGGCTATTTTCTTGCACCCCATTATTGTCTTGAAGTGCTCTTTAGTGAGTGTATTACATATTTATTTATGTTCAGCCCCACAACTTACTCTCAACATCATGGCCTGTTGTCCTCTTGCTGAAACCAGCCGTACTAGGTATTGCTTGCATAATCGAATTGGAATATCATAACTATCTGATAACGAAATATTGATAGTCGCTGAACAAAATTAAGATTAAGTGCAATGCTAATAAGATAATAATGGAGTGCAATAGAATAATCTACCCCAACCACTGACACACACATCCCGAACACCCTCCGATCATCTTAAATCTAGCGAGGCCCTAATTTACCATTTAATAAAAATAGTTAGTACTTGTACTCACACCTTTGTCCATTGTTATTTTACAGCAAAGAGATTTGTAACTATTGAAACGAATTTAACGTCTTTGTGTACTATTTAGCTTTCAAAAAATTTATTTTTCAAGAACCCTCTTGAACCGCAGTCACAAAATCCCAACACTAGCTCTTTTTGTTTATAATAAATATGGTGGCCATCTCGCCAGGCTTGAAGTAACTCGACAGAAGCACGTCCTTGTTCCCTTCTGAAGCTTTTCCTTGTCAAAGAATGCGTCCAAAATCCTCTCAAAGTTTAGCTTCCTTCAGTGCACGCCCAAATCTCGTGTATAAGCCGCGAGCTTTGAGCCAGCTCCTGTTTCCAAAATAAATAGATTACATGGTGCAACGAGCTGTTGGGTCTATATGGTATAATTTTCCTTCGTAGTTCATCGTTCGATGAAACTGCGTTATTTTTGCGCATTCTATAGTTTTTTATGCCATCAACACATTATGACTAAAATTCTTATTTTTCGAGGAAAAATTATTCAGTTATTCGTTGATACCATTGCACTCGCCTGTAATTCAGTGGTTGGTCAGAGAAACCTGTTGGATATAATTAGTCAATGGGCGAGAAGTGAATGTAGTATGCTGGAAGCATGTGAGCACGAGCGTAGGGATCCTCAATTTTTTCTGAAATTAACAATCGTGTATTGTTCGTTCAGCATTGCCCGTTCACCTTCGGGGTACACTTTGATAATGGCTAAAAAATTCTCGAATCCTTCGGTGGGCCCGCTTTTCAGATTTGGAAAAATGTAACTATTTTCCCATAGGGTTATTTCAGAACTGCTTGAAAAATTGATACAATTAGATGTGGAAAATTGAATTATTCTTACATCTGCAATAGGTTTTTATTAGCATTTCCAAAGAGTAAGTATCTCCGACGCTCCCTGTATTTTGTCGATTTTTCTATGCCAGTTATTATTGAATGTAGAAAAATTTATCCGCATTCATAATTAAAAATATAAATTATACTACTGAAATGAGATCCGTGTAATTTTCGTTACAAATTTGATGGTGGAGTCTACAAGCAATCCTTGAGGTTTCTCATTTCATAAAGAAATGCACCGTACATCAGTTTTATCAGTTCGCTGAACTTTGCTTATCGCCGTAACATCGTAAATTGCCTTTCGGCTTGTGAGATGAAAATACTGCTTTAAACACTTACAATTGCTTCTGCAGTGGCGTAGAAAACAAAAAAAAACGTTTTAATGCAGATATTCGCGTATAACATTTCCATCGAATATGTCGTCAGAAGATGCTGAACGAACCCTCATTTTCCCTTGAACGAAGCAACATAACTGGCTGCATCAAATCAGAACAATGTTTGCTGACCGTTTTCTAATTAGTTCATTGTGTTCTCCTTATGTAATGACAACGCCTGGCAGTGATTTAACAGAAAGCACCGATCTTCATGACTTCGACACGGGCGTGTCGTATGGCTGAGAGCTATATACTACTGCAATATGAGATGCTGGTCCGAATTTCAGGCGTGCCGAAATGTGTTTGATAATTAGCACAATAATAATGCAACTCATCGAGATTACATCTAATTAAGTTTGCAAGCCTTCGTACGATTCCTTCGATAAATTTTAAAATTTGATGCGATGTCCCGATGTCCCGTATTGCGCCTTGCATTTATTTCCTATTTTTGTACCAATGACAACACCTTGAATTGGAAATGTTTCGTCAAGATAGAAAATTCTGTCAAGCGTATAGCTCAAGTTGAAAATTAGGCAATTGTGGCCGCCCTTGTCCTAATGATCAGCTGGCCCAAGTCAGGTTAGTTTGTGCTTTAGAGCACGTCACTCTGCCTACTAAGTATCGCTGTGTCATCGAAACCCTTCAGAGACTTAGCCAATATTTATTTTCCAGGCATGCTTATCCTCCTATAATCTATCTTTATTATAACTGGAATGATTGTATACTAGCCATGTTATTTTTTCAGAATCTTCATTATTCCAAGTACATACATGATATTCTTCGTTTCTTCCTAAATGCCTTTCAGAGAAAGTGTTTGTCTTAGAAAAAGCTTTATTTGGCATCAAGATTAATATTATTGTTTATATTAAAACATTAATATATTTTTTCTATTTGTTTCAGATGCCGTCCCGGGAACAAGTAAACAGAGCATTCCATGTGGTTCTCTGGATTTGCTTAAGTTGCTCAGGGATAGCTGGAAACGACGGCAAGAGCCAATGGCGCTGTTGCACAATTTTGTAGGACATGCAAGTGTTAACGCGTTGACGATAATTGTGTGATCTTTCCCTCTAATTTGAAAGACCCATTGTAGTTTGTATATTCAAGAATAAATCAGACTGCAATAAGTCGTGATACCTGCTTCGAAAATTAGAGCAAAGAATTGTGCGTTAAATTAATGCACAAATCGACTGAATGCACTCGTATTGATATGTTTTAATGAAGTGAATATGAAGTTTATAACGCTCTAATGGCGGTTCTTGTATCTGCAAGTAACCACTCCCCTCGTCTTCTGATGCCGTAACCACCAACTCCTCTGCTTCTCATCTCCTGTGTCAACTTGGCGGCAGCTCGACCTGAGCGTTCCCTGCTCGTTCACAAATACTTGACTTGGATTAGCTTTTGGTTTACAAGGAGCGCGCCTGTAGCAAACAAACGAAGGCTCAGTTTTCTTGTCAGCGCTTGAGAACGACCCGCATACATTCTACGTTTTCACGATTTACCAAAACACCTTGCTTCCTGTACGATATCCGGGTACACGTCCAGGCACGCAAATTTGTCACCAAATCAGGCATATGATGGCCACATGAAATATTTCTGGTACCTTAATGAGAATATAAGTAATTCTACCTGAAATCAGAACAAGCTAGTCAAATTACTACCTCGTTCAATTAATAGGCCCTGATGACCTGTTTCTAAAGTTTGGTGCAAATATATTTTTGTACACATTCACAGGGCTGCTTGTGAAAAAACACTCTCAGAAAATATATTAAGAAAAGCCAGGGCATTGCTCTTTAAATCCAGATAACCACTTTTGAGCACCGATTATTGAAATATCTACGTTTTATTTAACCTCGGGACGTGCGATTTTGTCATCAGCTATGAGTCAATGTTTTTCTCCTTCTCGAAATTGTGTTCGACATTAAAAAATATAGGCATGTAAATATTCCCAAGTGTGATAGCCCACTTTTGAGCTGCGTATCGATTGAAATTTAAATCGGAAATAAAATTTTATTGCTGGTCTGAATCTATGTACTACTTTGTTGATGGATATAGAAATACAATAATGAAGCCGCTTCAACAGAAAGTATTACACTTTAAAATATATATTTTTAAACATTGAAGCTGCCAGTTGTAAGCTACCATCTAATCTGCCTTTTCTTCTATAATGCAAATTTATAAATTTTTCAAGTGTGGTCATTGTGTCAATTTATGCTATTTTAAACAGACTAAAACGGGTGAAAAGTTGTCTGTAATGCAAATTTACAATTAAAGATAACTTAGTATAATCAAGTTAGTGACATTCATATAGATATTGCGTCATTTTACTTACGTTTTTCGCATCCACTATTTGATCGAAGGTTGACACTAAAGGTAAAGTAGTTTGTGAATCTAAAATATTTTTGGCCTGTGCAAGTTGCTTGGTAAGTATTTTTTTAAAGGTTATTCACTTTATAATAATGCTTTCAGTAGGTCTATAATTGGGTTTGTATCTTTACTAATATCTACAAATTTTAATTTTCAGAATAATCTGTACAATCGGTGAAATATTTAAAAAAACAATGGTGATGTAGGAAATGACGTGGCAGAAATAGATTGTGCCGTGCATTGTGTCCTGAAACCAAGACTCCTGTGAAGACAGTGCTGAAATGAATTGAATGATTTCTCGTGAGTCATCTGTGCTGAAATTCTTTTGATTCGACTCAATCGGTGATTGCAATTTCTGTTTTTCAAGTGCGAGTGCGAGACACGTTTTTCCCAAGATGCTTGTACTGATTAAAGATTCCTCTTCCATAACGATTTCTGCTCAGTAATTGATTGTCGCCTCCGGTAATCGCAATTGTCGGAAAATTAAATTAATTATGGAAAATTCGCCAGTGACGGATGAAACACATTTATGTCTATGTTCAGTGTTTGACCTAATGATTAGCGCCCTGAACTTCTAAAACACTAAAGGAATGACAAATTAACTCACCAGTTGAGTACCTAATTCCATTTAATCTACTATCTTACTTTCGTGGTATTCTTTTAAGAGCTCCCACCAAGATATAGCAAAGCTTCTTAATAAAGTTCCGTGTGATAAGATAGGATAATGAAAAGGTTTGATTGCGAATCCTAAAACTGTGTCGACTGCACTGCCCACGATTGTCCCGATCAAATATGAATGCAGAAAGTGTGGATTACTCCTACACCGATTTATGCTCCGCCCAATATAGTGAGTTCACTCACTTAGTCAATAGCATTAAAATATTCTGTGTTCTAAGTAGCAAGTGACCACTGATAACATCAGCTGCCGTGTAACTTTCACAACCGTCAGCACCATCTAAATACTTAACATTGTTTTGGTCACTCGTATACCAAAAATGTTGGTGTACATCAACTAAGTAATATTTCTTTCCTATAATACTGCTTCCTATTCCTCTTGCTGCCTCATAATATCCTTTTGATCTTTAAGGATTTTATTGATGACAACGCTGGATAACCTGCGTATTGATTGCTTCTTTTAGCTGCTCAATTCTTCTCGCCTTTCCGAAGTATAATCTGTACTTTGAGCTCCTGGAAAGATTCCCGCCTGCTGTGGTCTTTTTTGTAGTGACTGATATGCTGTACGCTGACACATACGATTTAGATCCTGTTCTGTGATACATGCTCGTGTGTTCATTGTGAGTTGACACTGAAATTTTCGAAACTTGTGCATATATTATTTGGCTGTGAGAGAAATTCAGGACATAAAGTTTCACTGAAATTCAAGTGATTATTGTAGAGAAAATATTTGGTTGAATATCTGTGCTACTTGCAGTAACATTTTCATCTTATATATACTCAAAGATTGTGTCTGCGATCATCAATGAAATTCAGCCACGCTACTTCAGTCGTGGGAGAAGATATATTGTAAGCCGCGTTTCTCTATTGTGTTTCTTCACCTCAATCCTTTTCAATGCTTTTTCTAAACGTCTAAACTACATTGATGAACAAGTAATCCTCGTAAAGTGATTGTGTTGCAGATTTTAAAGTAGTAGAGCGCTGACGGAACATTGTGTCGTGCTGGATTTGCCTCTATAAGTGTGCGCGTTAGCATCCTTCACCCCGCATGTCTTCGCCCAATGGTCACAATAGTCACAGCGGCCAACATTGCAGAAGCCGTAATAAAGCCTGGTCTAACAGCATCCCAGCTAAGATGTCCTCTGTATCCAATAACCTACAATTCTACACAGTCGAGATAGGAGACACTCGATTCACGATCCTGCGGCGCTACAGCAGCCTCAAGCCCATCGGCTCCGGCGCCCAGGGTATAGTTTGGTGAGTTCAATAATTAGTAATATATTTCAAAATTTAAAACATATACAATAGGTTTTTTCTTTCGATTGTAATTATTAATGAAGGCAAATGAGCTTTTTCCGTGAGAGGCTTGTCATTGATTTAGTATTACTTGTATTTTATCCTAAATTTCGGAGTGGCACAGGCTCTATGCCACAAAATTTGACCGTTCATCAGTCGCACTCTCCCTTAGGCACCCGCGTGTGGTTTAATGTTAAAAATAATAATGAAGTTAGATAAGAATTTAGCCTCTCATTCTGAGATCTCAGATTAAGTCACAAGTAGTATCAGTGAATTGTCGAAGTTTCAATCCTAATCTTACTCTATTTTCTTTTTCACTTATATTTTAGTTATTAATTGGCATTTCAAATAATATGCGTTGAGTGTGATTCCATTCAATGTAATGATTGATGTTGGGTATTTTACCATCCATACTCATGGTTTTTTATGTGGATTTAGTAGATTGAAGGATATGGTTTTAAACACCCCAGCATGAGCGAATAATTATTTGTCGTAGCACTGCTTTTCAGTAGCTTCTAGCGAAGGCACATTATTAATGCAAATGGTTCATGTGAACGCTGAAGATTATACTTTCAATTTCGTCATTAATTGTTGATAATTGTTCATCGTTTTTATGGAGCCTTATAAGCGAATTTAAAATTGGTAGTCTTTTTCGTGTTAACCAACACTCAAGCACTTTTTATACCAATGGAAAATCCAATTCAATTACTTTTGAATCTCTTCCATGACCAACTTTCTGCAGCTATCGCTGTGCATAGATAACTTGTGTTGTCTATTTTTCATCGAACTATCTTGTTTTACATCAGTTATGTATTCGCTTGAACTGAATTTTTTCTAGGGGCTTATCACGCATAGTTAGTTTACTGCGCTTGATAATAACGTCTTAGCAAACCGATTGAATCTTGCTTTCAATCTATCCGAATCTTTGTTGTCGGAATAAATTGATAAACATTCTACTAATTAACATTCATAGGTACAGATTAATTTGTATTTTAATCATAGTCGATTACATTTTTTGTGGTATTTTTATTTCAGTGCGGCGTATGACTCCATTACCAAGCAGAATGTTGCCATCAAGAAACTATCGCGGCCGTTTCAAAACGTGACGCATGCAAAAAGAGCCTACAGAGAATTCAAACTCATGAAACTCGTCAATCATAAAAATGTAAGTTCCCAAATTTATTTTCATCCACTGTTGGCAGCTTTTCTACACAAGGAAAGCATCTGGAGCTTATCATTTCAGTTTATTTTTTTACAGTGAAATGCAGACTCCGTTGTCGATTTGACAATTTTTCATACTTCCGATGCTGAATTGTTTTTATATCTTCACACTTTTATTATAACTATTTTAATGTCTGATCTAATTTTTTTACTTTCTGACCAGCGACGTAAATACAATCTTTTGCATTTATGTTGAAGATTTTATGGTCCTCTGACTGCGAGCGCTTCTGAAATTGTAAAGCGATTTTTATTTTCCTCTAATTATAGATCATCGTGTAGTGCTCATAATTTTCGGAATGATTATTACTTTTAAAAATAACTTTCAATGATTCTTACTTTGTTGGTTTCGTTTATCATTCCTGTCTTTGTGCTGATGTAAAATAAATTCACAGCGTTGAAAAGTTTATCTCGTTTATGCAGATTGTTAGTTTGCCACACGATTCTAAAATTTTCGATCACAGGAGTGATGATTTTACTTAAGGATAAATATATTAGTATGCAAATGAGCTTGTTTTGTTACTCACCGCAGTCATTCGTTCGAGTTAATTAATTTAACTCGAACTATACTATAGAATAGAATAGAAGTGTCGGCGTTGAAGAAATAGGCCCATGGCCTGTTATATACTATATAATTATATACCGGTACCTACTATAATTACTGTTATATAATTATACTACCGGTATTAATTATACTGTTTATACTGTAGTTATACTGTTATATACTATAATTAACTTAATAATATACTTAACTATAATATTAAGTTAAGTTAAATTCTGTGCAGATAATTGGTTTGTTCAACGCGTTCACACCGCAACGTAGTTTAGAAGAGTTCCAGGACGTGTACCTTGTCATGGAACTCATGGACGCCAACCTCTGCCAAGTCATTCAAATGGACTTGGATCATGAAAGGATGAGCTATTTATTATATCAGATGCTCTGTGGCATCAAACATTTGCACTCAGCCGGCATCATCCACAGAGTAAGTTTTAATTGCATTAACATCACACGAAGGGTTAGTTGTAATTGCATTCAGCCGATGTGACCATCAGCGTGAATTATATACTTACTCGAGTCATGAGGATATTAGATGAGCATCATCAAAATTGACCATTTGCTTATATTCAGTCAGTATAATTCATTAAAGGTGTTATATTTTGGTTCACTGGTTCATCAAGTTAATAGGTTAAACCACCTTTATCCAACGATGATGTATACGAGAATTGAGGGAATCGAGTAAAGATTCTAAAATTTTATGTTCCGCAATAAATCTTGTTTCATTATAAATCTTGTTTCATTATAAATCTTGTTTCATTATACGCTGTGGTCACTATACCTTGATTTATTAATCTAGCTTTTATTTTAGGCTGTCTTCCAAAATTTCATTCCATAAATTCAGCTATCATTTCCTTCATTTATTTCTGTCTTGGATTATTTCATCTTTTATTATACTTCTTGGCAGGATTTAAAACCAAGTAACATAGTGGTTAAGTCAGACTGCACCCTGAAAATTCTGGACTTTGGCCTGGCGAGGACGGCCGGCACGACCTTCATGATGACGCCATACGTCGTCACCAGATACTACAGAGCTCCTGAGGCGAGTTCTATAGTTTCATATCATTGAGTATTTGATTTGGTGATTGAGTATCTTTAAGATATTCTCTAGTTTTGAGTTTCTGTTGAGTAGTTTCTGGACGTGATGAACTCCGTTTGGTTATTCACAGACTCAACAAAGCATTTTATTGAATTTTTTTTCTAATTTCTCTTGTCAAGTTTTTCTAATTTTCTTTCTTTCAAAAAGCAATCCAAAGTTGATTTTCGACTTTTTGTACAGGTTATCTTGGGCATGGGCTACACAGATAATGTTGACATCTGGTCTGTTGGCTGCATCATGGGCGAAATGATCAGAGGAGGCGTGCTCTTCCCGGGCACAGATCACATCGATCAGTGGAATAAGATCATCGGTGAGATATTTTTATCATTTGTGAGGTATTTTATCATTGGCGAGGTATTTTATCATTGGCGAGGTATTTTATCATTGGTGAGGTATTTTACCATTGGTGAGGTATTTTATCATTGGCGAGGTATTTTATCATTGGTGAGGTATTTTACCATTGGTGAGGTATTTTATCATTGGCGAGGTATTTTACCATTGGCGAGGTATTTTATCATTGGCGAGGTATTTTATAATTTGTGAGGTATTTTATCATTGGCGAGGTATTTTATAATTTGTGAGGTATCATTTGTGAGGTATTTTATCATTTGTGAGGTATTTTATCATTGGCGAGGTATTTTATCATTTGTGAGGTATTTTATCATTTGTGAGGTATTTCATCATTGGCGAGGTATTTTATCATTTGTGAGGTATTTTAGCATTGGTGAGGTATTTCCATCATCTGATTGTTTTTGTATAGATGCAAAGCGTGTTCGAATAACAAAGTTGTCAACTTAACATCACATTTTGAACGGTGTTTTTTATAGTATATTGGAGGACGCTTTATGATGGAAAGGGCTGTTAATTTTACTAAGACCGCTAACAATTGTTGGTCATGGTTCCCTAACTAAGGTAATTACTCTTGTTAACGTATATAATAATTAACGTTCTTTTCGTTCTAACCAATGTTCGTATTTCCAGAGCAATTGGGCACTCCTGCGCATGAATTCATGCAGCGCTTGCAGCCCACAGTGCGCAACTACGTGGAGAATAGACCACGATGCTCGGGTTATAGTTTTGAACGGCTCTTCCCAGACGTTCTCTTCCCGTCCGAGTCCACTGATCATAATAGACTCAAAGGTGAATGTTACTACGACCCACGCGATTACTTCTACCGGTGCGAGCCCTCTCACTATTATCGAATTAAAGGTAGGTAGGATACGTCCTCTTGGTGGTCATTGTTCCTCCTTCTAACTGCGTGACATTCGCGCCTAACAACAAGCTCACGCCGCGTTACTGCCGTAACAAAACAACCATAGTGTGTTTGTGTGTCGTTAGTCCTGTAACGTATCTGGTCTCAGCTGTAACCCATCCCGTTCCAATTGTGACGTTTCCACTCTCATGTGACATGTCCACTTCCATGTGACGTGTCCACTCCCATGTGACGTGTCCACTCCCATGTGACTTGTCCAATCTCCCTTGTGACGCGTCCAATGTCAGTTGTGACGCATCCAATCTCTATTGTATTGTGACGCATCCAATCTCTATTGTATTGTGACGTGTCCAATTTCATTCGTGATGTGCTCTAACTCTAAAGTTCGATACCGAAGCATCTACTGAAATGCTGAGTTTGTGTGAATTTTTTCCTCTAAATAACTTATATTGCGGTGTGATTTTCTCCATCCGACCTTCATGTGATTAGACGTCAGATTTTGAGTGTGCTATGCTGGTGTTGTCATCGTGGAGAGCCGGCTTATTACCTTGATACACTTACCTCTGTATATCTTGATCAAATATGGTTTTTCAAGTGAATATGTCACTTATAATTTATGTTCAAACCTTTTCCGTTAATTAATTTGTTAAACGACGTTAATTTGTCATCCGTTCGTTATTCTGTTTTATTCTTTCTCTTCGACATTGATCAAGAAATGTGCAGCTCTTCTTGAACAGGGTTAATTAATTGTTGCACAATTTCTATCTTTTTTAATTATTTTGTGACTATGGGTAGTGGAATTTTTTTATGAAATAAAGAAACTTCAATAAGTTAAAAAAACAATGGTAATTAGCATGTAGTTTTGAAGCCTGTTTTTTCATTTACTGTCACGATAATTTTGTGATTTGATTCACCTTTCCTAAAATCGATTTTGATTACAATTTTCCTCGTCAGTTTTCAAATATAGTGTGTAGTCTATAAAAACGTCAATTTCATCAGGTCTATAAAAACGTTAATTCAGTACGTAAATGTAAATTCAACAATATATGACGTGTAATTTTAAAATTGTTTATATAAACCGACATTTATTTTGGGACGGAATTTACTCCTATATTTTTACGTTGCAGCAAGTCAAGCCCGAGATCTGCTCTCTCGCATGCTGGTCATCGATCCTGAGCGCAGAACGAGCGTCGATGAAGCGCTCATGCATCCCTACATCAATATTTGGTTCGACGAATCCGAAGTGCACGCAGTGAGTATTGAGAGCTCAGCTGAACTTTTTCAGTTTCAATTTTTATATTATTGTTCATTAAATCAGCCTTCTTGAGGTTTTCAGTTCGATTAGTCTATTAGAGGCCTAGAGAAAATAGTTTTAAGCACAAACAGATGTTAAGATGTTGAATTATTTGTCAGAAACTGTTTCTTTCATGCTGCTTTCGACCTAACTGCAGGTCGATTGCCTGTGCAATGCTCTTACAAGTTCTCATTTGCCAGAAGAAGTATTTTCGAGTTGAGGAAATATCTTTCAAACTAATTAAAATTACATCAATTTTCAGCCAGCACCTGGGCCTTACGACCACAGTGTGGACGAGCGTGAACACACAGTAGAACAGTGGAAGGAACTTATCTACGAGGAGGTCATGGAGTACGAGACACAACGCAACTCCCTCAACGCTGCAGGAGTTCTCTCGCCTCCACCTGGCGCTCAACAGGCTTCTGTTGGTAATGCACAACAGGCGGAGCAGTCTGTGTTGCAACAGCAACAGCATCAGTGCCAACCTCACCACCATGGTCAGCACAGGTCGTCATCTTCTGCGTCGACGTCGGGGAGCACAAGCCAAAGTAACGCGTCCGCCGTCAACTCGTCGCCTGGTGCAGGCAATGCGACGGTGGGAGGCGCGGGCGCTACAGTCGATCAGGACAATATAGATTCTCATCGTCCTAACCATAGATAGGGATAATATTATAGCTCGGACACTTACATACGCCACACTTCATGATTTCTTTAGGACCTTTTTATTATTAATACTATGGCTACGTAGAATTACAGCGGGGTAAAGTGTTCATTTGTCTCGGAGTCTGCCAAATTCAGTATAATTTATTGGTCCAATAATTGTTTGAGCCGACCATCTCGTTTACTTGAATGTGAAGTCAGTGGTTCCTTCTTCCTTTATACGACTGCCTAGACTCGAGGAGTTGCGAGCATTAAAAAAAAACGGTCTGTGCAATTTCCTGCTCTACCAAAAATGAAGTTCTTGTTTCTTTGCCAAAATGTTTATCGTTCTTACGTTCAGCGTGGGTTCATCATCAATGGAAAAAAACTTTAGTTGTTTATTATTATGCAATGTGATTTTTGAAATGCGTTATTTATTTGATGTAGCTAATTCGTGATTAATTGCTTAGAGTTGCATGTATTGTTATTATTGTTGACGGCTCTTGACTAGACAATTACTCAAAATAGGGACTACGATTGATTGAATAATTGCAAAGAACTTGATGAGTGTTGAACAGGATGTACTTATTTTTGATTGATTTACTGCTCGCGATTGATAACAATGGCGAGAAAAAAAAGTTGCCATAATTCGTCAGGAGAAGAAGGCTCCCTTAGTTTTGCTCAGCTTACCGTGATTAATAGTTGCAGGAGTTAAGGTTTCCGTGTTGAACAGTTTTCGTTCAAGTATCACCATCAATGACGGGTCATTGATGTTGAAACTTGTTTTAATTTTTTATGATATGCAAGTCTGTAAGCTTGCACAACCATTGTTCAGCTGCTCGTGAAACATTTAGCGTCCCATACTCGTTGCCGAGTTTATTTACCACATGATTGTGACGTGATTTTTAACCTGCCGCCTTCCCGATGCATAACTGAATTCGAACAAAGTAAGAGCCACCTACAACGCTGTTAAATATATGCGATAAGGTTATGGCTGCATTTCGGCATCGTGATGGACAAATAAGTAATGCTTTCATGTACTAACAAGGGGGTAGTTCATTAAATTTTAGAGAAACTTTGAATGGTCACTGGAGCATTGACCTAATGATATACATTTCTCGTGCTTATTCACGCGTGTATTCCAGTTACGATGTAGTCAAATTTCTTGTCGCTTCTTGCTCATCAAGCTAGCCACCTATTTTATACAATGGATTGTAGGCGTAGATTTGTAGGACTGAAGTTTCACTGCAGGTTTTGATCTATTCCATTACTGTGGGAGGCATAAATAAATTGTGTTTATAGATGGTAAATATACGTGCACTCCTACTGCTACAATGAAATTTTGGAGATAAATAACCAGCCGTAGGATACTCTCACTTTGTTTGAATTTCAGCATTGTCGACTGGCAAGTCCTAAGTGACATACATGATGAGACACGGCCCTATTTGTATATAATGAACGATTCACCAATAAATCTTGTTTAGATCCAACAGATTTTATTACGGTGCGCATGTATTTCTCTTATAAAAACGTTGCACTGAAATAAATGATGTAGCGTCGAAGGTGACATATTAGATTACGTTGTACACTTAAGATTTATTAAAAATAGAAGGCTCGAGTTCTCGGCTGTCATTACATATAAAAGATTTTAGTCTAGTAGCTTATAGGTCACAAAATACTGCCGTAATATATTTTTGTGAATATTTGAAATTGGTGAACACGTGCACTCCGACGTCGTGCAGTTTATGCTGAGCTAATCGTATAATGAAACGTGACAAGTTTATGCCCCATCTTTGTATGTGGCACAGAAAACGACATCGCAGGTATTACACTGGACGCAGATGCGTACAATGATACTCGAGAAAATGACCACGTGCTATAATACAAAATTTATCTTAGTCTGTTTGCTCGCAAAAAATAAGGTACATGATGTTTTTCGATAAGGTCGAGAGTGGGTAAAAGTAGCCTGATTAAAAGCACTTCATGATTTCACAAAATGCAACTAATTGAATAGGTCTAGAACTTATGATCGTTTGATATTATGGCAGCATATACTGCCACAATGAGCTTAGACAAGATTTCAGTGCGTAGTAAGATTGGAAAGAATTGCACTTGACTGCGACAAACACCGAAATTGTGCTTGATAAAAAAAACGCAGAACTCCTCAGATGTTAGGTTTAAAGGCCCTGAATTTTCATCGGATCACAGGCAACCTAAAAATAGACCTATATATCAATTTAGATATATATACGCAAGGCTTCATTGCACGCTTCAACTTATTCGCGCGTCGCGAGTCTGCCATTGAAAAACTTATGCACGTTACATTCATTAGACATGATTATAAAGCGTACAGACGTCTGTAGCAACAGAAAAATATTAGATTGACTAGAAATTCTGAATAACTAGTCAACATTCAATCAATTGTCAATGTAGAAGAAAATCTGACAACTTCTTGTAATAGATGAAGAAAACAAAAAAAAATAGCATTTCCAATGTCTTTTGGAAAAGGCAAGATAAACATGAAAAACTGCCATTTCTGCAGTGCTTCGTGACTAGCTACATCACATATACATGAAACATTGTTTCTGCCTTTCAATGCTTCAAAAACTGATTCTAAAGTAACTTTGATCAGCGAACCTCGCCAACACTTCAGTCATTACCGGCATGTTTTGAACTCATTACTGTGATAAACATATAAAAATTATAGTCGAGACAATTAAATGTGACAAAAATTAATAATTAATGTTAATTAAAACAGAGATAACATTGCTCTGGGAGATAACAGTATAAAAAAATTAAGGATTATTTCAAAATAATTTGACTAAATCTAAAAATATTTGAGGCCACCAGAACACTCGATGAGTATCCAATTTATTAAATTAGTCAGACCGCAACTTAATCATCTTACTTAAATTAATTGCGACGGAATTGGCACAAAATATTTATATATTTAAAAAGACCAAGCATTCAATCTTCAATGTGGTGAATTGCTGAAGTTGAAATGCGTGAGATAACTATTTTAAATAATTATGCATTTTAAAGCAAAACATGAATTAGCAAAAGATAGTTCATAGCTCAAACAGATTAGAAAATACAACCAAGCTAATTTCGGAGACGAAAATCACATGCTTGTGAACCATTTATCAGCTCCGGAATAGAAAAAAAATTGAATGCCCGAATGTTAAAAATATAAACAATGCCTTGTGGCCATTATACCTCAATATAAATACCGCATCAAACCAAAACGAAAATAATTGGTAAGCAAGTTACCAAGACTATGAACGAGTTCAGATAATTGAATACTAACGGTCAAAGATACTTCTATCTCACTAGATTCTTTAGAGAAACGTGTGGAAGACCTTCACCAATCACGCAGTAGTCGCTTCCTCAGCGATGAGTTACCAAATTCTATACACAGGAAGACTGCGTGATAAAATGCATTGGATTCATTAGAAAAAGAAAACGTATCACGAGTTACAAATGTCAGCTCTTCCATAAAACCCAGCATTTTTAGAGAGTGCTACCACTCTAATGTTAGGAGCGTAAAATTTATGCTAATATTTTCCAAACTTTTCAATTATTCTGTTTTCAACGAGGTAATCTCGATAATAAGCACCACATACTTAATAAATAATGCATGAGAAGGGAAAATCTCACGCAAGTCTCGCTCCATTCTCGTGGTGATGGCTTTGATGCATGACGCCCAAAGGGTCAACTGAATCGAGAAGACCAGCACGTTCTTCAAGTGCGGCAACAGTATCGTCGTTCCTTTCATATAGGCTGTCGTAGACAGGATTCTTGAAATTCCCCGCAGTACCATTGCCATTTTGTTTCTGAAATGCAATGCAGTGATATTGATTTCCTGGTTTGATGGTCGGCCAATGGGTATTATGAAATGAAGTTGGGATGAGTGGTTTTCAATCATATGGGTAAATTAATACATCATACACACGTGAAAATGATAACGTGCATCGGATGTGGTCTGAGGTAAGCCGTTTAGATAATCATTTTAAAATAGGAATTAGAGAGGAATCCAAATCATATATTTAGAACAAGCAGTGACGCCGAGTTCACTTCTTACCGCATCCTGCAAAGTAAAGACGGGCTCGTCGTCGTGGTGAGCGCCCTGAGCCATGAAGATCGGATTGGTGAGCTCAACAGTGCCGGCCGCGCTCGTGTCTTCCAGCCTGACGTGTTCAATTCCACGTCGACTGCGTCGGCACTTCCACCACACTCCCAGCAGCAGCACCGACAACAGCAGCAACAACTGAGAACGACAAATTTGTCTCTAAACGAGTCACCTGAACAATTAGAGCGTAGTCTTACATGGGGAATAGAGATTCAGAGAGTATTCGAGAAATAAAGTTCCATTTTACAGGCCATTATTATCATTTCACTAGCCGGAGGTGGAAAAGTTCCAAAGTAGAGAAGGGCAAAAGCTACATGACCAATCAACGTTTCTATGCTGTCAGGCTTTTTAAAGGTGTAAAATAGTAAATGTTGTCGGACATGAAACACTAGTCTCCTAAAGAATGCATTAATATTATGACACCAAATAGAATTTTTCTCTTACTGTTATTATGGTAGAGACCACAGCTGCTGTATAGTGACTTTCACGCCACTTTGTCATGAATACTTTGTCCAAAGACTGACTGGAAGTCTCACATCGCAAACCATAGAAGCCAATTGGGCACCTGAAAGATAATTCAAAAATTGTCAAATTTTTTAAACTAATGCCAAACGAGCAGTACAATAACGGAAAAAAGAATAGAAAGTTATTTAGTAAAAACAAATCAAAGGACACATCAATATGCAAATCAAATTAAATAAGGAATCTCAGTGTAGTTAATAAGTCCCAGTTCTACCGGTGACATAATATTGGTGCCGTGACTCACAAGCACTCCGGGGCAAGCGATGGGTCTGGATTCATGATGCAAGTGCCACCATTGAAGCAGCGAGATCTACATGACCGACGTACGCTGCAGTCTTCACCAACCCATTCGTCGGGGCAGCGACACTTGCCGTTTCCGAATTCAACCTGCATGACAACGATTTGTTATAAAAATATAGAGTTTCAGGAATGTGGCACAGGCAATGCTTGAGGAAGTCAGGCGCTGCGTTTTTTTCTCGATCTGTGATCGATCGTGAATATGAACTATACAAATTCCTCTTTTCCACTTTCATTTTGTTTTCGATTTTCCAAGGGAATCTATGCTATTTCAAGTATTGCAATCATACTTACTTAGTTAGGTAATATTGAAATAAAAATATTTAAGACACGGTAATGTAAAGTTTTTCACACACCTTGCACCAGCCGCCATGTTTGCAGAAGATTCCAGCGCACAAATTCTCGCCGCTGCCTGATCGTTCCTCACACCTGTCACCGGCGTAGCCCACAGGGCATTGGCACTCTCCCTGTAACAGACACACAGCCTTATTTGGGAATATAAAAACATGTACGCACCACAACCTAGAATGTTGATCATGAGATTACGATGCTCTGCTGCAGCAAACTAAAATATGATAATGTCTTCTGCAGCTTACACTCAATTTTCAATGCATATGAATGTCACTAAATAGATCGATGAATCGCATCAATCACATAAAAGGAAATGAACAAACTCGCAGTGATTTTAAACTTCTGTCATCAGAAGTTACGTGGTTTCACTTTTTAGCGCATTTTCTCATTTATGGAAAAAAAGACGCTATTGTGTTCGCCATGTCCGTCAGTCCGTCTGTCTGTCTGTCCGTTCGTGACTTCACGTTTTCGTCGACGAGAAAATGCGCTCTCTGTCACTCACTGCAGTGAGTACTGAGTTATATTTTTTTCAATTACGCTTAAAGAATTGTTGGCCGATGAAAGTTTCAGATAATTAAGATCTACCAATATTAATGCAGTTGAACGAAACGGAGAAATACGCTAGGAACAACAGAAAAGAACGCCTTACCGTTGAGAACCTTTAATGCGATGAATTTGAGAGTCTATAGAAAATGAGATCACAAAATTAATTAGTGCTTGAAAAATGGTCTTATATTAACAAACAAATAAATAATCAAATCTGCATTGATTTATAATTTTGTCCATACTTAATCGTTAATAATCGCTTATTATGGGCTTCATAATAAACGCCGATTATTCACACATTCCTAGAATTTAAAGATATAAGAAAGAAAATAACACGAGATCGACTAAAGCAAGAGTTGCCCGATTTACAAATAACAAAATAGGCGTGAGGATTAATTTACGGCTTAGAGATGAATCTGAAAACAAAAATTTTTTGCGGGAAAAACATGATTAGGAATACGAGCAACAAATTTTATGACCCTGAATAACTTTTTAGCAGAATGTATGCTTATCAAACGAGAAATAACTATTGATGAAACATATTTATGGAGAATCATTAACTACTTCACAAGCGACAAACTTGTGTTCAAACGTATTAATGGCTATATATTCAGTGGTTCAATTGTTTTAAACTTTTGTTCAAAAATTTTTACTGAATTAATTTCTTTATAAGTGATAAGCTTACGAAGCATGTCTGCGATAAAAAAAAATCTTCACAAATCATCAGACCACTTGACTTCTAAGGTTACTTCAACCCAAGAAAAAAAGGCACAAGCTTTTATTTACGCGAATATTCATGCCTTTTTTTACTTTTAAGGGGCTTTATTCATTAGAAAACGACGGGTTTGCACAAACAATATTCGTGAAAACTCGTCGCTCGCTAGATTCTAAGAGTATGAACAGCACGTGCACAACCATTAAATGGTTTAGTAATATTTCTACTACTATTTAGGAGCTTTTATATGCATAAAAATAAGGTTTGTACGGACAATATTCGTTGTTGCCGGAAGGCATCTGACCTTTTATCACTCAACCAGTCTGTGTTTTAATTCATTATTTTTCAGTAACGTCTACTCAATTTAATTATTTTCATTTTGATTCAGAGTAATTTTTGCACAACTAACGACAGTCGCGTTCCATTCAGTTCCGTCATTTAGTAACTAGCAGCCACTGGCATTCCGTGTATTTGTGTTTAGTCTGGAAGTGCAAACCTTTGTAAGTCTGCTCTCCAAAATCGGAACAATTTTGTTACTTCGGTTGTCATTTATCAGATCAATAGTAATTTCTGTTTAACTGTTAGTGGCCTTGCTCATTATGCACTTCACTGCTGTTTATGTTTCTGTGATTATGCTTGTGGTATATTATATCCAAATTTATTCTGATCATTTGAATAATTTTCTTGTGTGACTTAATTGATTATTTCTTGGCTGACGGTCACTGGTTTAAATGCATAATAAATAGTATTTTAGATTAAATTCTGGCATTGGTTAAGATATTGAATTATTTTGCTTGTGAATTCACTATTTAGCACAAGGGTTATTTATGTTCCATTTATTTTTCGTGCAGTGTCACTCAAGTCACTTAGTCCTACCCTGTGCTCCCTATAAACTAAGGTTTTGGCCTAGAACAGCCAACAGTTCTCATAACCCTTATCAGTGGAACTACCAGTTACAGTTAAAGCCACTGATCGATGCCACACTCTTCACTTGTTTCATTTGTTTTGCTCTTCTATCCATAAATATACTTTTAATAGAAAATTCTTTCATTTAGAGTCTACACAAGATTAATAGCTTGATTAGCTTCCACTGTTTAACTCTGAAGTGGACAACGGGTTTGTCCCACCCGCTAGCTCGGTAACATCGTGAAAATTCGTCGCTCGCTAGATTCTAAGAGTATGAACAGCACGTGCACAACCATTAAATGATTTATTAATATTTCTACTACTCTTAACTCACGCCGGTGTGCGTTCTGTGGCAAGTGCCGCCGTTCTCGCAGTGCACTCCGTTACAGTCGCTGACGGTGGCGAACGAAACGTTTCGTTCGCAGCGGTCGCCAATGTAGCCCCAGAAGCACGAGCACGCAGGTCGACCGTCCAACTGCAGGTTGCAGTTACCCTACAAGAAAAAAGCAAGAATCACGAAATAATAATAGAATAGTTAGAAAAAATGATATAAAGATTCATGAATCACAAAAAGTTTTTAGTAGATTAATGTTTCAAATTATCCGCTACAAAGTTATCCGCAAATTTACGCTTGGTCTATGACTATAATATAATTAATGATAATCGTAGTCAAAGTCCACAACCTTAATGCAGTAGGCGTCACAGTTTGAGTGTTGGCATCGGTCGCCCGTGTACCCGGCGGGGCAGCTACAAACGGCCGACCCTGTGGCATTTAGTGAACACGACCCCTGAAATGCAATAAATATTATACATGAGAAATTATTATTTCAGCCAGAGTTGATAACCCACTTCCACCTGCCATCGTTGCTCAAGAAATTACTATCATTAATCTAAGGTCATTGGGTAAAAACATAGTATGGCGAAACAACTTCAAAAAGAACTTATGTATCCGAACTAATTTTTCTGCAGAAAATATATAATAAGTGTTAACTATATTAACAATACTATACATATTTGGTCTCAATTCTCTGGTGCAACAGAATTATAGTGCATAGTGCATACATTTTCGTACCATGTATTTTAGGCATCAGTTAACATTACCAAACCAATATCATCTTCAAGCAAAATCACGTTTGTTCGGAGAATGACAATCATCAATAGCATGATAGAAAGATCTACTAGATATTTATAGAAACAATAATACAAATTATTTAGAAATGCATATTGAAGATGTTTGACGATTTACTTATTTATATATTGAAGGAAGAGCACGGTAGGGTTACGCTGCACATAGGATGCATTTACTATATACTTTATCAATTTAATATTCGCTTTAATCGCTGACATTATTTATTATTCCATCATCTCATTAGTAAATCCTACTTAAGATGTTCTCCAGAGCAAATAGCGGTATTATGGTATTATTCGTTTACCTTTAGACCACAAAAACTTTCGTTATTTGGGTAGCACGCGTCGTTCTCGCACGTGGAGCCAGAGAAGCCAGGCGGGCAGCGGCAGAATGCCTTGCCACTGCCAGATGCCAGCACACACCAGCCGTTATTGCGGCAGGCAGGCTTGCACTCATGATCAGATTTCCCTCCCGAAGTGCACTTCCCGCCTGCAAAGAAATAAAGAATATTATTCTCATAATAGCTATTTTTAGATCACCACGGATAGTAAGAGTGTTAAAAGTTTTTGGAAGAATCAATGGAAAAAAATGCTTTTACATGAACTTCATTTAAATAATATTTTTTGAGAAAAAGAGAATTAAAGCAAAGGTAGTAAAGGTGTCGATGCCACATTACCGAGAGTGGAAAGTGTCATAGTAACTGAGAATTTAATACAAACATGGAATATGAGAGCACAAATTCATTTAGCTTAGCAATACAGGATGTGATAGAAGTTCATCTCACCGATGCACATATCGACGTCACATCGAGGGCCGGTCCAGCCGCCGTCACACACGCAAGTCGCGTTGCTAGTGGCTGACTGGGTGCATACGCCCTGTGGCAACAAACTTATGTTAAATACTCGACGCAGCTTAGTGTACAAGATCAACCTAGCCTGTCGAAAGTTGGTTTGAAAGCAGGATCGATCGGTGGTGGAGCTCTGAGTAACAGAAATTGTTTACGATAGAATATTGAAATCATCAGGCAGAATATTGGATCAGGGGCTTCCCGTGATATTTGTAAGCGGTAACAATTTTTAGCGCATTTTCTCATTTATGGAAGAAAGGCGCTATTGTGCTCGTCATGTCCGTCCGTCCAACCGTGACTTCACGTTTTCGTCGACGAGAAAATGAGCTCTCTGTCACTCACTGCAGTGAGTACTGAGTTATATATTTTTTTATTTATACACCGGAATTGTACGTGCACAGCTCTTGTCAAGAAAGCCTCTTCAGTCACATAATCAGTAGTCAATACTCGACCATGAGCCGTAATCCAAATTCCTCCATAACGTCACAGATTTCTGAAATCGTTTCCACTGACTGCTCGCGACCGTTCTCTTAAATTTTTAATGCACCAAGATTTGTAAATTGATTCTAGTCTGACTTTTTAATTGCTTATCGTGGCAAGCAAAAAATCGTTTATATATTTTCAATATTGATTAAACTAACATGCAACAAGTGTATTTAAATATGCTAGTAGACGATAGTATATACCTACATAGCACAGCAACAACAAAAAACATTTTTATGAAATCTAACCAGGAGCATCGCACATCGCAAGAGTGGAAGACCAAGTTCGCGTTTCGCGTTGTTTACATTTCAATCATCTAGAATTTTTGATAATGGTTCGACGCAAAAATTTGAACGTCAATCAATTATCTTTTATTTGTTAGCCTTCCACTTTGAAGATAGTGGCAGGTCGAACGAACTAGAGCGCGTTAAAGAATGGCGGTGGGTGCATTTGATTTCAAGGAAGAAATATTCCACTATATCCACTTACAGAATATTTGAACAAAATATTTACTATAAAAATAACGGATGAGGAATTTGGGTCATTAACTTCCATTCAACGTCAACGCTCAAGGTAATTTATTAAACAATTCAATTACAAAATAATGCTGCGGCGAAAAATTGGAAAAAATAACGAATAAATTATTCTGGATACTTGAAAGATGTAAGAATCGATGGCAGGGAATGTCCCATTATTTGAACTGGATAGCAAATTTACAAGAGATACAAAGAAACGTCTTATAAATTATGAATAAACGTGAATATGACGCGTCATGCAAATCACTCAGCTCCTAATAAATGAACAAATTGACGCAGCTCGTTGACTCAAAGCGTGTTATAATTCACCTGTTGGCAGATATCGGAGCACTTGAATGATTGACAGAATTTCCCATAATATCCCGGCCAACACTGGCACGTGTGCACACCTCCGGACGACACGCACGTACCGTTGCCACATGGACCTCCACAAAGACCCTTCCCTCCACACTCGGTACCTGGCATGGCACATTATATTGATAACATAGTTTAAAGATAATAAAGCAAAGTAATTCATTCAACTTATTTACCATAGATGATAACTAATAATCGTCATAAAGCTGCGGTGTGCAGTGGTGACACACTTTCTTTTGAACCTGGATTCGAATCCCACTTAACGACAAGTTTTTTCGAGAAGCTGAGCTCATGGCCAACTGAGACATTCATCCATTTCTGGTTGTTAAAGGAGTATACCTGGATTGTGCAGGATGTTATTTGATGCAAAAAAATGGTTCTGGCGGGTCAGAGACCCAGTGATGTAGTGAAACTAAGTTAGAAAAATTGGGGCCAACAATCATCCACCATGATGGGCAAACCCAAACATACACACACTATCAGAAAATAAATAAAATGTTTCACTGAATTGGAATAGCAATAAGCTTGTCAATTACATAACAGACAATATTTTGAGTTTTAAGTGAAAATAACGAATTCGACATTTCGTCATTACGTTGCTACTAAGCAACGATCGAGTTTCTGATTCTTTACAAAATTGTAGTTTAATTCTTTGGTATCCGAATAAACGACCGAAAACAAAACAACGTTAAAAAAACATTGAAAATCACTTTTAATGAACGAGTTGGATAAAAATAATGCAAATAAAGTAACATGGAACTTACTGTTGGAGCGTCTTGGGCAGAGACAAGAATGCTGCCCAGGACCAGCCAGGAAACAAGCTTGGCCGACAGGACAAGGGTTGTAGGAGCACGGATTTGTGACTGACAAAAATGAAACGATAAAGAGTACAGAAATTGAATATGGTAATGTTATGGTTCATGGAAAGAAAACATCGAGATCAGGTGAACAATAAAGGAGATACAGCCTCCTTTTTCAGAAAATGCCTACCTAAAATTCGAATGAATAATATAGATTATTACAAATTTTTCCTAAATTAACAAATTAGAAACAGAATAATTGGCCAAGATGTCAGCTCGGGGATGGTGGGGAGCAACTTTGAGGGAAGATCGCTCGACTCACTGTTACGATTCTGCTTGTTCTCTTGCACGATTGTGATGTGCGTAACTTTGAGAGGATATTGCGCGAGCAGCGTTAGGTTGTGAGATCTTCCTCCGAACTTATGCACTCTATAGACGCGGTGACCGCGCGACATGCTCACGTAAACGAAGTCCTCAAACACCGATAGCTTGTTGGGGTGGTCGTAACCTGTGAATGTAAGAAAACTTAGAACATATTCACAAATAACGCAGAAAATGAAAATTAACTATCGTTTGATTTTGATACTTACTACACATGAAAGTTAATACTAATTGCTTGCATTTTTGATACTTTCATACATTCTATGTGTCTACGATTCAAGTATCCACGCAATTTTACCATCAACTGATTTTTGGTGAACGACATATGAAAGTTTTTTTAACCCTCACCAACAGCAAGTGTCTTCACTAGGTGCTTGTCAGAGCCGTCGAGCTTGGTGGTGAAAATTGCCCTTAATTTTAGATCTGTCCAGTAGAGACGTTTGGCGGGATAATCGATGGCCAGGCCAGTGGGCCAATGAGACTCTCGTGTGAGTAGCCAGTTCCGTTCGCGTCCGTCCATTAATGAAGTTTCGATGCCGGACGACCGACGACTGAACAGATTTGTCACCGACGTCCAATACATACGCCTGAGAAATTAAATAAAGTAATCAGTACCAGTGCAAATAACTTCGCAAACAAGATATTGAAGGGAAAACTTATTAACAAAGGATTTGAAAAGATGATAAGAAGATCGTTTGCAGAACAAATTTTGAAATAGATGATAAGAAGATTGTTTGCAGATCAACTTTCAGTCCGCAAAGAAGCTCACCCATGTAAAATCATTAAAATTTTTGGACATTGAAGAGGTCGAAAAAAAGACTGTTTGCAGATCAAGTTAACGAAAGTAAATTATTGATCGTTCAATCTCCTCTATTTATTGTTAAAAGGTTTAATTAATAGGTTCTAATAATAGAAGAACGATTAGTTATCGTGGTAATGAGACCGAATATCTCACCCGTAGCTGGGGTCCAGCACGAGGTCTTGAGGCTGCAAGTTCCTGGCTTTGAGGACTGTAACGACTGTGTTGCCGTCTGCGCTCACTGCCACGATGGAGTCTTTGCAGCCCACATACACCCACCCGCCCACCCAGTCTACTGCCACACCGCGTGGCTCGTTCAAATCTGGCACCTGGTTAATATTTATGAGTGATTTTTAGGAAGCTAAAACAAGTTCCTAAACTAAAAAAGCGAGAAATTCATGGCATCATTCTTTAACCTGGCCATGTGCCTCTTTTAACATTTATACTGGAATCTTAACGTTGTCATTAGTCGCTTCAAGTAATTTAGTGCTCATCGCCTATTTATATAATTCATCACACGATCAGGTGCAAGTTTTTTAGACTTGTAGGCTTACAAGTACGCCGGTGCTTTCTTCCAATGCGTCTCTATGGATCCTCTTTTTAGGCCAGTCAGCGCCGCCCGAAGGGGCGTTAGTGAAGGCATCGTTGGTGTTGTTGTCACTGACGTTTGTGCCAGGACGCTGGTCGACTCTGCTTGATGATGAGGCAAGTCGTATGAGTTTGCTGATGTGGGAGATGAACGAACTGAAATGTGCAATGGCATGCAGGAATGAGTGATTACATGATCGTGCACATAAGATAGCTTAGAGTACGCATTAGATTTGTTGGCTAGACATTTAATTGCTTGATAAACATATTAGATAGCTTGATTACTTACTTACTTTCCTGATATTAAAGTTACTTATTACCGATCAATTAATTTACTTAAATTTAAAATTGTAGAAATGGTTGGGAGATCTTGTGAATTTAACCTTTACAAATTTGGACATGTACTTGTAATTCATAAAAGATTTATGCAAGAAAAATACTAATTATTGTATTACTTTGAAACGATTTCGTAACATCTTTGTTTTGTCGAGGAAATTAATATCCGAACTCCTTGAAATATTTGATACAAATGGAAATATATTGTACCATCTAAGGGAAAAAGCTCCTTTGACGCTATGATAGTTCCGACGAAATAGTTGCATTTAACCACGTAACCGGTCACAAGCATTCCAAAAAACGAATTATTGTCATTTACATTCACCATCAAGTGATGCAAAATAAACATCATATCCCTCTAATTCACCTCTGCCTCTCAGTGGTGGCAGAAGGAGAGTCCTTCTGTCTCTCTGCTGGAGGTGCAGCAGTGGCATCAGACTCTGGCATGATGGTGTAGTGGAGGCTGTTTGTCGTCAGGCTGGACCAGTACGCTACAGGATGTTGTGAAACAGACGAGTGGTAGAACACGTCCACACTTTCTACACGCCCGCGCGGGGAATCTTCACCGTGAGAGAACTGTAAAATTTGCAAGTTGAAATTTCACAGACATTGAACTGTTAAAACTTGTTAGTATTTGAGTTATTACAATAGATCTAATAGTTGAAAACATAAAACTTCATCATATTGACACTGCAAAAGAAAAATATTCAACTATACAACTCCGTGTAATTGATTGGGGTACGATGTAATGTTTGAATATTGGCCTAAAAGCACAACATTTATCCATTAATTAAACTAAGCAAACGCATAAGAAGACACTCTAGTTAGTCCGGTGCTCTGGATAAAATTTATTACAAACTACCGTTTGTCAAGAGAGTTGAGAACATCTAATAAAATAGCAACTATGGGATTGAAAAATTAATGATCGTGCACTCATAGGAGCGCTTGGGAGCGGACCGCGCCAAAGGCACCTCGTGCGAGTCCTGCGATCCGACGGAGTTGGGCTGTTGGTAGATGCCCAGTCTTAGCAGCCTCGAGTCCTCGGCCACGAGTAAGAACGGCAATCCACCTTTTGCCACGCAAGACTGACGCTTCTTGTCAGACGTGAAGAGCTGATAATTGCTGTCGCAGTAACAGGTTGCGTTCGACTTCTTCTTCGGGATGCAAATTTGAGAGCACGTTCCGAAACTGCCACAAAAACACAAGTTACATCATACATTTGTTCACATGCGTCATCAATTCCAGTGTTTTACCGTTTTCTAATAAGACTCCCAATAAATTTCCACAATAAGAAAGAACTGAATTTTACGTCTACTAATCGTAAAATTAGCGGTAAATCAACAGTTTCGGTGTCACAAGCTTACCTGCATGCACTTGTGTCACAGTCTTGCTCGTCTGAGTTATCGAAGCAGTCGTTGAAGGAGTCGCAGACGAGGTTGTGGCTGATGCAGTGGCTGTTGCTGCAACGGAACTTGCCGTCGCCACACCAGGCGTGGTTGTCGTGTATGCCGGCGCAGAGGGCAGGATCTTCGTCTGAACCATCGCTGCAGTGTGGCTCGCCATCGCACTTCTTGAAGTCTTGAATGCATATAGAGTTGTTGCACCTGAGAACGAGGCGCAACGCAATAAAGTTTTTATCCTGGAACTTTTGTGATCATTGAAAATCACATTGAACACTGAGATGAAAATCGATTTATTTTGTTTTTGGCTCTTAAAGGACGTAAATAAAAAATCTAATAATTTAAAATTAGTATAGAAATTTCTCTTAAATTTCAACAAATCAAGTAATATCAAAATAATGTCTTAATTAAGCGTAAGGACACATTAAATTTAAACTGAGCGAAATGGAAGAGACTAAGACTATTCCTGGATCTTACGTAGAAAAAAAACAACACTTTAACCTGACACCCACCGAATTACAGTTTATTGTACGACATCACATGACACCCACAACGGAACACCGGGTACAGTCTTCATGTAGGGTGATTAATGAATGGAAGTTACTCAGTAAGTGTGCCAATTTCTCAGTAGAACCTTAGGCGACCTAACTAGCTTCCAATTCCTGATTAATGATCATATCGTACAAGTATTTCACGAACCAATGAGATATTAAAATAAATGAAGAACAGACGATGTGGGAGAAGTCTCGCGATAAGGTCAGGCTAGATATTCTAGTTTAAGAGCAAAACTAGCCACAACAGAATTACAGAGACTACGGCTTATATAGGAAGGTCGGCTAATAATGTCGCTAAGCCCAACATATTCTATTCTGATACATAACTTTGTTGTGGGAAGCCCATTTCAGTGATACTGCAAGGAAGTAGAATTTCCCTACTAGGGGTCCTGCACACCCCCCTCTCCTGAGATGCAATGTAATGTGAAATTAAAGTACGAAATTAAAGCAAAAGTATGTATCAATTTCAGTGTTGACATAATAGTAGAGTGCTCACTATTTGCTATGCATCATCAACTTAATCAGGTTAAAGTTAATGTAAAGGATATTTTTATGGATTTAGTGCACTCCTTAGGTTTATCATGTTAATCTGTTTTTTGTTTTTCAGACTGGGTAAAGCAGGCAAACTTGAAAATACCATTATACAAGGTTATAGACCCCCGTGCCTCGGTTTTGCGCTTATTCTTTTTCTTCTCTGATCACTGTATATACTTAGTTCTTTTGTTGTATTGTTCAATAAATTGTTGAATAAACACAAGGAAAAGTCTAATAAAAAGGTGGTTTGGGATGGTTGTAGGGGAGGTGGAGACCATCACCAATTCCTTGTTTTCTTGACACCCTTGCAGCAAACACCCTCAGGCCCAAAATGTGGCTGGTAGCACAATAAATTTAGTTCTACAACAACTTTGAAGGAAATATGCAAGTAATATCCAACAATGGAAGCTTGCATTCATAAATAGATTATCAAAACAATTTACATGGCCCAAAAAGCGTAAAATACGGTTATATAGCAGCTAATTTGGAAAAAAATTAAAAGAAATGTTTGGTTAAGAGACTCTAAACAAGGCGACAGCGACTAACGAAAACGTTATTTACGTGCGCAACACAAAGGAAAATGTTACTAGAATGAAACTGTTTTAATGAATAGTAAGCATCATGATACCAGAAGAAATTTTTCGACTGAGTATTCAAAGTTGGAAAACTTAAGTGAAAGAGTTTCTTGCCAAACACACGACTTGGAATACGATTATCTTCAAAAGATTATAACATAATCACCATCTGAAATTGCATAAATGATTAAAAAAACAATAACAACGGGGCAAGTACTGCAGTAGTGATAACAAAAACAATAATATAAAAACAATAACAGCGAGAGAATTAGTGCAGTAGGCTCACCGGAATCGTGACTCGGGACACTCCCTCTTGGCACAGAAGACAGGGTCCTCGTCAGTGCCATTGCTGCAGTCCTTCTCTCCGTCACAGAACCACGAGGCGGGCAGACACACGCTGTCCCCGCAGCGCTCCAGGCTGCCTTGACAGCTGCAGTTCTGCTCGTCGCTGCCGTCCGGACAGTCCACGTCGCGGTCGCACAGCCACTCGCTACCGTACAAAGATTATATTATTCACGTGAAAAAACGTTTTTCACTTGAAAAAACGTTTTTCACTCGAAAAAAACGTTTTTCACTCGAAAAAAACGTTTTTCACTTGAAAAAACGTTTTTCACTTGAAAAAACGTTATTCGTAGAATATATAGTAAAAAATATAACTCAGTACTCACTGCAGTGAGTGACAGAGAACGCATTTTCTCGTCGACGAAAACGTGAAGTCACGGATGGACAGACAGACGGACGAACATGACGAGCACAATAGCTCCATTTTTTTCATAAACGAGAAAATGCGCTAAAAAGATAATGGTTCTCACCGCAAGAACTTGGTAATTTAAATGAATATCAAATCAATGCAGGTGATGGTTAGGAAACACACCTCATTGATTAATAAAACATATTTATAAATCGAGAGATACACGGTGATGAATTAATTTGGAGATAAAAGTTCTTATCAAATTAATAACAGGAGCTAGGTAACTTGATAATTGCGTTCAAAATAATATATTCCAATCAAATAAACAGGGACAAAATATAAAAAAATAGCATAAACTTGGCACAATAAATATTATGCAAATATTTCAAATAAACATTTTAGAAAAAATAAGAGTTATAAATATAATGCCAATATTTCAAATAAACATTTTAGAAAAAATAAGAGTTATAAATATTATGCCAATATTTCAAATAAACATTTTAGAAAAAACAACAGTTAAGAATATCACTGGAAACCTGAGAATGCAGTCGCCCGTTGCGTTGCATCGCACGTAGTCGCTCTTGCACGCCACGTGGTCGTGACAAAGCTGCTCGTCGCTGCCGTCAGTGCAATCGTTGACACCGTTGCACACCAAGTCTTGCGCCACGCATCTTGTAATTTATTTCAATAATTACATAGATACATCATGGCTAACTTCAACAGAAACATCTGGTACTGTTATTTATTTATTTAAATTCGAAATAATTCACCATAAAAAACTATCAACTGCATAAGTTGTATTTTTTTGGAATTAGTTGCCAACTTGAAACTTATTCATTTGAATAATTACATAGATACATCATAGCTAACTTCAACAGAAACATTTGCTACTGTTCTTCATTCATCAAAATACAAAATAATTCACCATAAAAAACTATCAACTGCATAAGTTGTATTGTTTTTTGGAATTAGTTGCCAACTTGAAACCTACTGGTCCTGAGAAGCACAGGAAAACTCCTCGAGATCGCACTGCTTAGAAGATGATCGACACATCGCATTCTCGTCGGAGCCATCCGTGCAGTCGTCCACTCCATCGCAGCGGAAATCAGCAGGAATGCATCTGATCCGTGGCATCAAAAACATTTCTCTTTAAAACCCAATTGAAAGGTCATCACTGAATATTTTGGGATATTATTGAGAAGATCTATGATAATTTTAGTAGGTAGTTGTTAAATCTTCACGGCATATCCGCATAATTTGCACCTCAATACACAGAATAACAGCGTTGGTTATGGTTGGAAGGCACAACGGGAAGAAAGCACCTAGAAAGATCACAAAGAACTGCTACTCACACATTGTTGGCACATCTGAACTCATTAGGGCCACATGGCAGACTAAGATGGCAGTCTTGTTGCTCGTCTTCCTTGTCTTTACAGTCATCTTCACCGTCGCACACCCAACGCTTTGGGAGACATTGCCCGCTGCTGTTGCACCTGCACGGATGACCACGCACTCAAGTATTATATCACCTCTTGTATAAACTGCAGTAGGAATAAATACTCAGGTATTATCTAATATCTAATCTAATACTCTAATCTAATATCTAATCTAATCTCTAAGAGGTGATCTAATACTCAGGTATTAGATCACCTGCACCGGAATCGCGACTCGGCAAGTAGATAATCAAGTGGATACATCTCACTTGCATATCTACTTGTCAATGTTAGATCGATGCTTAAAACGAAATTCTCATATATATACTTCAATTCCTGAGTTAATTTTAGATATTCGTTACATAGAGTGATTTCAAGAAGAACTTTAGTTATTTATATTCAATCATTGTGCCAGTTAGCTTTGAATTTCTGGTCTTTTCATCGACAATTATTGTGATGAAAGGAAGATACTTAGTTGAGTATTGTACACTTAGTATTGTACACTTATTGTACACTATATACACTTAGTATTGTGATGTGATGATACTTAGTTGAGGCGATAGAGACACACTGCTTCAGTGACAGGAGAAGGATATCGAGCATAGCTGGATATTTTAGGAGGAACTTCATTTAACAATTTATACGACAACGTATTTTTTTAGCATATTTATTCAGTCAATACCGAGGCGTTTCCATATTTTGCCATTGACAGCGTTTTATGCTCCAACTCAAAAGTCTGACATTGAAGACTCCTGATTCAGATAATGAAGCTATATATAAACGGCAGCAATATGAAAAAAATTATTAATCAGAATAAATCGCAAATAGGAATAGTAGTTAAAACAATTCCTCGAAATAATAGAATGACGGTGAACTTTTGCATCAAGGCAAACAAGAAGAATAACTACGACAAAAATTACGAGATTATTGATTGGTAATTCCTTATCAATAAACGAATTAATATTGCTCAATAAATCAGTTACGCAATGTGCATAATAAGCTAAAAAAATAACAGAAGAGTTCTGTACTCCCAGACTGAAGTCCTAAAAAATTCAATCAGTATTGTACTCACTGCAGTGAGTGACAAAGAGCGCATTTTCTCGTCCGTCCGTCCGTCCGTAAAGTCACGGACGGACATGACGAACACAATAGCGCTTTTTTCCATAAATGAGAAAATGCGCTAAAGAAGGACGAAGTTCTTACTTGAATAGATCTTGAGAGCACAATAGCGCCTTTTCCCATAAATGAGAAAATGCGCTAAAGAAGGACGAAGTTCTTACTTGAAGAGATCTTGAGGACAGGTTCTGTTGAAGCAATCCAGGGGCTCGTCGGAACCATCGGCGCAATCTTTCTGGCCGTCGCACATCCACACCGTCGGGATGCACCTTCACAACGAGAGCATTAAACTACAGTCACGTGCAACAAATATTATGTTACACGCAGGCAAAAATTTTGCAGGGAAAAAGGATTGTGTCACAGATCATTTTTGAAAATTGCAATTAAAAACAGACCAATTTTATACTAAATAAATATGGGAAAAGGCCATAGGAATAGGTCAAATTAGCCATATTCAAGGACATTAGGACAATTTTGTTCAATTTATTGGTGGCTTCTGCCAATTTCGAGTGGCTTCTCTCCAATTGCCAGTATAGTTACACGTATCCAGCATCCTATTCGAAACCTGCTCGCGGCAAAATACGTCGCGAATTTTACCGATTGGCTCACAATATTTTTGAATAGACGGAGGTTGATTGAAAAAATGAATAAATAATTAATATATTGGCACTATCATTTAGATAATTATCTATTTAGCCTTTTGCCGAGGATACGATTGAAAAAAAAGTAGAATCATTTAATTTTGCCAGACTACTGCCAGCCTTCTTCGATAAATGCAGGGAGTTTCACTGAAAATTTCACGCACTGAATTTTTCACGGAGTTTTCTCGCTGAATATTCTATGGAAGCAATGAAGATATCGTACGAAACAATCTCTATTGCAATTAGTCTAGAATTGCTGCAAGAGATGAACCCACACCACACTAATATCTGCCAAACTTGAGCTAAACACCAGAAACTATGCTGTTGTCTTTCCCAGGCATTTCTTATAGTTTCTCCAATTCCTGTATAATACATAAAGTTTTTAAAATTTCGCATTTTTGGTTCAAATCGATAGCACCCACTGATTAAGTAACAAATTTCGACCCAAACTTAGTTAACGTTGAAAACCACACCAATTTTTTGAAAGGGCATTCCTATGTTTTTAAATATTTGAATTTGAATCTAAATCATCTACTAGCGAAATATCCAAAGACTAAGAAAACTGTTTTTCAACCTTAAGGGCGAAAACATAAAACTGGCAGCGCTGATCAATTGTATCCCATTAATACTCTACCGCAGAAATAAATAGACTGTGAAGAATATCACTGCGCACACAGTAAAAATACTGCGTGCAAAAATACTATGGGAGTTTAAAATCCTAAAAAAATACATAAATCACTCAGTTTATGAACCTAAAAAATGCATTAACTCACAAGGCATTGTTGACGCAAGCAAACTTATCATCAGGGCAAGGCTTAGGATGACAATCACTCTCGTCTTCACCGCCTGGGCAGTCAGAGCGGCCGTCGCAGAGTTTGCTCTTCTCGATGCATAAGCCTTTACTGATGGCGCTGGCCGGACACTTGAACTGGTTCGACAAGCACATGTACTGCAAAGGACAAGCACATGTACTGCAAAAGACAAGCACATGTACTGCAAAGGACAAGCACATGTACTGCAAAAGACAAGCAAATGGACTGCGAAGGACAAGCACATGTACTGCAAAGGACAAGCACATGTACTGCAAAAGACAAGCAAATGGACTGCGAAGGACAAGCACATGTATTGCAATGGAAAAGCACATATACTGAAAAGGACTACCTTCACAACCTTCAATTCGTGCAAACTTGTACCGAGATATAAATCATGAAATATTCCCAACAAGATTTTAGATCGCAAGGGAATTAGGACGCAGGCATTGATAATTATTGTCAATACATGAAAATTCGAGCTTTAATAAGAAACAGTTGGATTCAATAAAGACATCTTCTGGAAATTTAACTTACGATCAACGAAACTTTATCGTACTACGCGACGCGACTATGTGATGCACTCACCACATCGCAGTCACGTTCATCGGAGCCGTCCTCACACTGCTGACTGCCGTCGCAGATCTGGGCAGGGTGCAGACACGTGTTGTTGCCGCTGCTGTTCTTGCTGCCACTGCTGCTGTTCTTGCTGCTGTTGCTGCTGTTCTTACTAATACTGTTGCTACTGTTGCCGCCACCGCACTGCAGTTGTCCCAACTCGCAGCGGAAGGCAGGGCAATCGTCAGGCTCGTCGCTGCCGTCGCCGCAGTCGTCCTGAAAATAATAACAGGAGATCCGCGACTCAAGTTCAGAATTGCATTACAAATGAGTTTCAATGATACGACTGTACTGAAATTATGGGCTTTCGTCCCATTATTAAATGACATATATTAGGGGAATTATGGATTTAGGTGACCAGCGTCCAAATTCCTCAAAAAATATACCTCAGGACTCACTGCAGTGAGTGACAGAGCGTGCATTTTCTCGTCGACGAAAACATGAAGTCACGGACGGACAGACAGACGGACAAACAGACAGACAGACGGACAAACAGACAGACAGACGGACATGGCGAGCACAATAGTGCATTTTTTCCATAAATGAAAAAATCGCTAAAAAGAAGAGCATCGATACGCTTGAAGACAAGGGGGAAGTTACCTGCGTGTCGCACTTCCACCAAAAGGGGATGCAGCGATAGGATTTCTCGCAGACGAAGTGAGCAGGACAGTCAGACTCGCAGGATTTGTTGTCGGCTGCTAATTTGAAGTTCGTGGGACATTCACACACGGCCTTCCCCCCGGGGGCGAGGAGACACAGAGTGCTGCAGCCTCCGTTGTTGGCACAGGGGTTGGGGCCCGGCACTGCAACGTCAGCAAATGTTCTCCGTTGTCATGAGAATGGACAATTTAACATGAAGCAGTGAATCGTTTTTATTTGGCAACGGACATTCGGATCGAAATATCGCCAAAAAGGCTTAACGGTAGAAAAGCGAGCAAGAATTTACAAGAAACTTAACGATAAAAAGCACAGGAAATTGTTTTTATTTCGGAGATTTAGGATTAAAAACAGTAATGCTGGATATAGTGGCTCACGTGGCATCTGCCGCAAAGGATGGAACACGTGGATATCCATTGGTCTGTTGATGGCTCTGTAGACTTTCGTGATGTTGGCGCCTGTGAACTTGTGAGCTTTTAGGACACTTTTTTCTTTCCAGTCCGTCCAATAAATCCAGTCTTCGAATACCGTAAGGGCGAAAACGTGCTGGATGAATGCTTGGGTGCTTCCTGAGCAAAACGAATAATACAAAATTAAAAAAAGTAGGTTTATGCTACAAGTGGGATTACAGTATGTTATTTAATGTGTATTAGCATCAAAATCAAATTAATCCCGCTGACTTAAAGCCACGAGTGACCTTGGCAATGTAGTTCATATGTTTTTTTTTCTGTGATACTATCTTCGTTAAGAGCAGAAATATATTTTAATCCTTTTATCAATCAGCCTCCATTTACCGATTTAGGGTGCATTTTTATTCTTAATTGCATAGAAGTGTGATTATAGCACATGTTAAAGACAGCCGTCTAAGTTTATACAGTAACCGAAGAACCTTGCGGGTATACGGCCGAGTTGGGTGGCTAGAGGTCATCAGTCTTGACGCGAGGTATTTGGCTGAGCTCGTCCGAGGTTAATCACATCTTGATTAACGGGTCTCACGTGATTGCCCCCTCCCAAATGTTTCTTTAGAATGAGTCTGTATTCTATAAATCAGTTTATTTCTATTGACGCTATTGCATGTGAATTTTTAGCGCATTTTCTCATTTGTGAAAAAAGACGTTATTGTGCTCGTCATGTCCGTCCGTGAGTCGCTCGTCATGTCCGTCCGTGACTCGCTCGTCGTGTCCGACCGTGACTCGCTCGTCATGTCCGTCCGTCACTTGTCTGTCCGTGACTTCACGTTTTCGTCGACGAGAAAATGTGCTCTCTGTCACTCACTGCAGTGAGTACTGATTTATATTTTTTTTTCAAACATTCACCTTTTGAGAAATTTTTCCCGGTAAAAATACTACTCTAATATTTTAATAAAATCTTCAAACTTTTCAAATGTCACTATGAACAGACAGTGTTTCTTGGTTTGTTCCATTATTAGTACCGTCAGTCGTTAGCATAAAGAATTAGGACATGACAAAAAAATGAATTTAATGCGAACGCTAGGAGGAAAAATTTGCAATGAGTCGCTGAAATCGACACTAAAAAGATTAAAAAAAATGAAGAAAGCACTCACGTTTGCTGAGAATGTACTTGAAGTTTGTGGCATCTAGATCGGCCATGGCAATATAATCCTTGTTAGCGTCTGCCCAGAAGAGCGTATGGGAAGGATAGTCGATGGTGAGGGCGTTAGGCCAGCCTAATGTGCCGTTAAAAAGAACGCGAGGGTTTGAGCCGTCCATGCCGGCCTTGCCGATGTGTGGCTTCTCACCCCAGTCACTCCAATACAGATTCCTGATAGGGAAAAATGAGGGGTAACTGCAGTAGATCAATTTAAATGAACGAATTTTAGCACGAATTTGATATGAGAAATTGTTTCGATACAGAGAAGAATGGCTCATCCTTTACATCAACGAAAAATATCTGCAAAATTGCAACAATGGACGTTACTGAAATGCGCTGAATACTTCTAAGTACGAATCCAACGTTTTGAAGAAATATATATTTTCTTTGATAAGTATTCTTTCTTCCTTTTCTAACTTTCATCTAAGCAATGTTACATGAACGCTACAATAATTGTGTAATAAATGAGCCAAAATCGCGATTGGTATGGTTTTGGTATTGGGTGCGTGCTGACCTCCGGTCACTACCTTTAAATCCATGCCGACTGACAGTTTTAATGGAAGAGCTAAATTAAGTTTCAATTGAGTAAAATTTTAAATTTAAGTGCTAAATTTGAACTTACCCTCGATAAGGGTCGAGTACGATGGCTCGAGGTTCACTGAGGCCCTTGGAAATGAGGACTTTCCTGAAGCTGCCGTTAAGTTTGGAGACTTCTATTGTGTCCTGGCCCTTGTCGCACCAGTACAGGTTGCGGGCCACCCAGTCCAGCGCGATGCCATCAGGGGACTGCACTGAAGACTGGATCACCTGCAGCACAGATTTTTGCGTGAATTGACTCAAAATACGGCGAGACTAAAAAACGAGAGACTCAAAATACGGCGAAAAAAGCATGAGGCACAATGAACATACCCAACGAACACTTAGAATCAGTTTATACCGACCAGCTTCATTAGCACGATTCAGAAGAATGTCACCAATGATTGGCGCAGAGATGTTACGTTAAAGAAGTTTCGTTTGGTAAACATCAGATTTGCTTACTAAATTCAAGGCACGCGTATCCAAAATTTTTCGCTCAGAGCGATCGTAATTTCAGAGAACGAAATCGCTGAGGCACCAACAGAAACAATGTTTTCATTTGTCGATGGCACAAATTTTCATGAATTCTACACGAAACAAACCTCGGTTTCGGCTTGCCCGCACTTGCGTCGTATAGACGACGACAGGTTAGCCACATCAGACCAGTAAATGCAGTTCTCAGCCCAGTCGAAGTCCAGACCGACAGCGTTTGTCAGGTTAGACACGACGATCCTATCGTAGTGTCCATGGATGTCGACCTCCCGAATGTGGTAGCGGTTTGACAGCAATAAGTGCGCTTGAACAGCTGGAAATATTGATCGTGAACATAAGACTATGATAAAATTTCAGGAGATTGGTAAACTTAACTGCTAGAAAAATTAATATCAACCATGTGAAAATAGATAGCATGACTTTCATAAAACCCAAATTAATGAAAAGTTCTAAATTATGTTTGTCACCCCTGAATTCTACTAGTATTCCAATATTAAGTGTTACAGAAGAATCAACTGGACTAAAGAACCAAAATGGAAGACTTCATTTGCGAAAAAATATTGCTAACAACTGTCCCGCTTTTAATGAATGGAGATATTAAATTGGAATCGAAAAGCACCTATGTAACTCAACAATGGTGTACAGTGCCCATAAAAAATGCCGAGAGAATAACTTTTCTGTTTGCGCGACCGGCGTAATTCAGCGAGAAAGTTCTCAGCTCACGTACAGGGCCTATACTTTCAAAAAATTTAAGAGCTCGTAAGTTCATCAGCCAATCATTGACGGCCTTTCAAGCAAAATCCACAAATCATAGACAAGAAAATTGAGCGTAAGTACATACGTTCACTTAGCGAATTTTGAAAGTATGGCCCAGGAATGTCACGAGCATACGACACTTACAAGAGTTGGCGCGGCACACGTGGCCATCCTGCTCAGCGATGTAGCCCGCTGCGCAGCTACAGGTGTATGAGCCGAGCTGGTTACGACACAACTGAGGGCACGGGTGCGTTTCTTCACACTCGTCGATGTCTACACAAAGTCGAGGATCTGTTGGGTTTTGTCGGTAGCCTGGATAGCAGAGGCACTGATAGCCGACCTTCAGGTCCCGACATATCTGAGCGCAGGGACTCGGGTCTGTTGCTAAACATTCGTTGATGCCTGTTGGTACAATGCAATAACAAAATAATAGTGACAACTTGATAAACCGGGCTGCCAATTTTATTATTATTCGTGATTTGCAAGGAATTTTGAATTTTAGCCTAAAGCAAAGGTGCCTTAACCGCCGGCGTTTAAATTATGTAACGATCAACTGAGGGAAAACTGAAACAATATTTCAAGGAGGTATGTTCACCAACGTTCCAACGCTACTTTAAAGTTCTTCATCAGAAATGGAAACATATGCTCATATTACTTCGACAATAAAACGGCAATGTAGATTCTTAATGGGATTAAATTCTCAATCAGGTATTTGAAACTTGAGTGAATTTTTTACATCGAGAAATTGTCGAATCTCTGTCGAAGAAGCTGATGGCTCGGATGGCAATGTGAGCTTTGGTCGAATTTTAATGTCACATTTTCAAAAATATTATTGGCCAATGGTTTCATACTTATTCGTTTATTGAACCTCATCTCATTAGATTTCGAACACACACATTTAAACACATACATACACACCATCATTTTCACCATAAGATAAACTCTCCGCAACACACAACTGACCACAAAGCTCCTCGTCGGAATTGTCAGCACAGTCGGAGACGTTATTGCAGACTCGCGTCTCGTCAATGCACACCGGCTCGGTTTTGTCGGGCTTGTCGCTAGTACTGCGGATGGGGCGCGAGCCCAAGTATCCATTATGGGTCTTGGCGTTATGCTGGTCACCTGCAGAACCTGGCAGAACTGGTGCTTCGGGATCCTGTACCGAGTTAGGGTTGGCAGTAACGCTCGACTGGTAGGAGCGGATCGAACACTTGAAATTGTTGAGCGGACATGAGGCGTCCTTAGAAGCGATGGACTGTGTTGTGCCGCTGCTGATCGATGTCTCTGTGAAAAATAATCAATATTGTTCCATTTAGAAGCAATAACTTCAATATATTTTTTTAATAAATAAGCACATTCGTTTGCATCATGTTCGGTCAGAGGTACGTATATGCAGTACAAATAATAAAACTGCTCATCGCTTAAGATATGGTCATATAATTCTATTTAAAGCTATTAAACAAAGGCGACAATTATTGAAAATAGTTCCTGCAATGATGAAATATTATTGCATCAGAATCATTAATCATACAGAATAAGAGGAGACGAGTACTCCAACGATGAAGACAAACGAAAAAAAAACAATGCGTTTATGAATGGATTACGATCACATCCTTCAGCTTATCAAACGCAATCGTTATCAGGGAGACCGCGCCTGGAGTCATACTTGACTTGTCAACAGGATCATTCAAAAGAACGGGGCAAAAATAAAAAAAAAAAAACTTCGAGGAAGAAGCACGAAACTCAATGAAGAAAAAAAAAAATAGATCAATCGCGCACGATGTTTGACAACATGAATTATATTGCATGTATAGAGTGAATATATACTGCGAAAACGCGGGGTGGTTCCCCAGAAAATCAACTAATAATTCTTCGACAACAGTTCACAATGACGAGTTGCAGGCAACAGACAAGCTCTCCTGTGGCATGCTTGCACTTGACGGAAACGCACAATAAAGGGTTTGTACGAGGCAATGATCGAACATGCTCGAGTAGCCGATGCCTATATCGATTATCTTGAAAAGAATCGATGTTAATGCATCGTACATAGATATACGGTTGACTGGCAGAACATAACGATGGCTTACATGACGCTTTCAATTCGTGCTTGCAAAATGGTCAATAAAGATAAAGGGATGGCAGTAATTCCACAAGGCAGTATAGACACTGTGCGATGAAGCCAATGAACTTTTTCCAGAGTCGCTCGCAGACTACGAGGTTAAATAGTCCGTTCAAGGCCACGCTGGAAGACGAAGGAAAATTAACGATAAAATACTTCATAAAATGCATAAAGAACCACTTTAAAATAATTTTCCAGGAAAATTAGCCATCTATTGAGAGTAATTACTAGTTGAAAGCCAGCCACTTTTTTCAACTCACAAGGAATCAGAAAGAGAATACTGCCAAAGTTCGTGATACTAAGAATTTTTACACGGGCCTCGACTTCGTATAGTTAGCGTAGAGGTGAAAGAGCATATCTAGTACGTTTGAAGATGAATATTGAAAAATGCAATACCAATGAAAAGCATGCAACACATAATAAATAATTTTGTAGATAACCTCATTGAAATAAACGCCAAACTATAAAACAGTAAGAAAATAAAGCCGAAGCTGAGAATAAATATCCCCAAAAGGCCAATTACCTTTAACGGAAAAATTCAATTCAAATTCATCAATGCTACATACAATAACTGATAACATGTACACAAGATAGTTTATTCCAGCTGTCAACTTGTCGGTTCAAATCAGAATCATAATTTCACACGATGATGTGCAACCCGATTTCAAGACTGGAAATGCACAACACCTTTTTATCAAAAAATGTTACGATTGATTTCGAACCACATTAACTTCTACATCAAATTTTATGAAGCGTTTGGAGCATTTTTGACTAACAGAAGATCACCGCAGTAATCGGCAGGGTAAACAATATATCACTCCAGCGTGATCAAACTATACAATAAAGAGAACGTAAATATCAACGTATCAGGGACAAAAGAATGTCAGACATGCGTGCAGAGCAAACCCGTTGAGTAACATTTCATCAGCAACCACCTCAAGGCAGTGGCCGGCGCTCAGTGGCAATTTGTAGATAACTTTACGACCTTTCGCTGCTAGGCAGATCATGAGCGTTGGAAGCAAAGACTATGTATATATATATATAGCTTATCAGACTAATTTTGCCGTCTCAAATGAGCGAAATTTGCAAGCATTGAAAGCAATCATGTCAGATAATTACAATGACTAACGATGTTGTCCATTATCACCAATAGCTAACCTGTACCACTCAAATAGAAATGATTAACGGAAAACCTATATCCTATAGGTGCAAGCTTAGCGCATGATTCAAGCGATGCACCGACTCCTGAGACTCATTTTAATCATCGATACACAAATTGTCATTTTTACTGAACAGCTCATGCACCAGCTCTGCCCTAATCTTGAATTTTTAGCGTTCCTTGTACTCATGAGCTGTTTGTCATATTCAATTTATAACTTAACTCAAAAATATCAAGGATGTTGCATACTCCTCAGAATTATTGCTGGAATCCTGGAAGTTGTTCGCATGAAACACATGGCGCCACATAAGCAAGGTCATGTGACCTACCTCATCCAGACATCGTCTGTTGTGCATAAAACCGGTCGATGAGAAGTGCTGCCAGAATACACTATGAGGCATAGCGCTCCAGAATTTGGATGTTCGAGATAGCTTTTAGTTAACATTTGATGGTCTTATGACCAGAACAGAGATAGATACAGAAACTGAATACCATCAGAGTGCGATTACCTTGCAAATTGAGCACGAAAACGATTCATGTTGGACCGAGTGCTAGCGGAGCGCGAATCAATTTTCGTGTCAATGTTTCCTTTAAGGCAAACAAGAAACTATCTATGTTGCAACGATTAGGAATGGACAGTACCGCAAGCAGTGTTTGGCGAAATTGAAAATTATAGTTTACTATCAATAATAACATGCAGCATCTTACAGGAAAATGACGACAAAGTATAACAATGACGGTGATTGTTTATTTATGAAAGTAATACCAGTATGAAATACGAAACGAATAGTTACTGGATCAAAGCACCGCCCATTTTTCATTGAACATTTTTTACATTTCAAAACATAAAACCGTCGTGGAAAACCCATTGGTAATATAGATTAGAACAGAGTTGCAGTAGCACGGTACTACTCTAAATAGTTTATTATCACAGGATCTCGCTAGTCCAACTATCAATTAAGAGAGTTGTAATAGCTGGAATGAGAGTGTACACAGTAAAAGAAATACGAAGACGCTCGTTGTAGACGAAATCGAGGAAGTCGAGACTTTGTGTCAATTGGTATCATTAAAAATAAGCGGTATCATAAAACTATCCATCAAGAGTGGTAGTAGCTGAGATAAGGTGTATGCAGTACAAGAAACACGGAGACACTCGTGGTAGACGAGGTCGAGAAACTAGCGAGTTGGTATCAATTGATATCATTACAAATATGTGTTATCATGAAACTATCCATCAAGAGTGTGATGAGGAGGTGTATGCAGTACAAGAAACACGGAGACGCTCGTGGTAGACGAGGTCGAGAAACTATAGCGAGTTGGTATGAGCAGAACGCTCGACACGCACTAGACTGCCTGACGTTCACAGTAGCCTCTTTATGACACGTAACGCAAGCGGGAGCAGGCAGCGCAGTGCTACTCGGGTTACTGTTTACCGTCTAGTGGGTGACCTCGGGTACACGTCTTGAGCAGTACAAAGTCTGCAAAATGTGGAGCATACACTGCTAAAAAATGATGAAGCAAAGTTACATAAAATAAGAAGCAGTCCAAGAATTTCAGAAACTTTGAAAATCTTTAGATTTATTGCTAGACCGCAGAGACGAGACCTTGGTGCCAAGTCTTCGAAAAAAAAGAGAAAAATCTAGTTGAATTTGAAGAGGATTAACAGACGCTGCAAATTATTAAAATCCTACAAATTCCTTAATCCATGCGTAGTAAATTAAGGCCACAACAAAACCAACATTTACACTTGGTTGCACGAGTGTGCAACATATACACAAAATATTTTTAAGACGAGCTCCAAAATGCACGATAGCAAAAAAAAAGCACCAGCAGAACGCGCGCCATGTCACATGATCGCAGTGGATCTCCGCGACGCTCCGACGCGCCATTCTGTCCTGATCTGAAGCATCAACGAACTGATCTCGCTCGTCCAAATAAACAAGCAGGATGATCTTTACAGAAACATTTCATAATTGATACTGATTAAAACACTTGTATAAAAAATTTAGGTTTCATTTCCATACAATAGGACAAAATAATTGGCAAATTCAAAATTATTCAGAACAGATTATTGTACCGAGAACGTACATCCGAAATCCGTAACAAACCTGTCTGCACAGACGTAGCTGCTACAGCTGTAACTATCACTTTCAGGAGCAGATGTAGAAAGCAGATGAGGGCACAGCAATGGATTGTACGGCAGTTCTTGCCCATCCTCGGTGACATCATCACACACGTCACAAAAAAGTATACCGCCAGTCTACATACCAGAGTAATAATTTCTTCATGAACTATAACTACATACTAGTCAATTATTTTCTTCATTAACTATAACTTTCCCACTAAACGATCTTGTTGGAACGCTAAGTATCAATCTCGTTTCAATATTTTTCAAAGCTTGAATATGCAATAATTTTAGTATCACGATGATGTACAGAACGACATTAAATAAAATTCGAACCGATAATCAATTGTTACTATAAAGATACTATGTTAAAAGGTATTAGGGAGTATCGAATTTGATTAAAAAAAACATGCTTGCGAAGTTGCGATCGACACACAGCATCACAGGAGAAAAATTTATTCATAAATCACAACTCAAAGTTGGCTGGCCTCAAGCTCAAAACGACACTTCATACCAGAAGAATTCCTCGCATGATTCATTCCTTGAATAATAAGAGCAGAGGCAGTTTATCAAAGACAAGTAACATTATGCCTCTTTTTTAGTTACGGGAGAAGGCATGCTGTAGGTAATCGTCAATTAGGCGAAGGCCCATCTGAACTAAATTAAATAATATCACTTGCACCAGTAACATCTTCATTAAAAGTTTCTCTATTTAAAAAAATTCACATGTAACAAAAATATTTCTTTTATCGAAATAAAAGAGAGAATATTAAACTTTATGATGAAGAAATGTGGTATAACAGGCAACAAGTTTTCCGTTAACACTAAAAACTTGCGAAATCATCAATGTTATTCAGATGGACTCAATACGAAAACTTATATCTACCAGTCACTTCCAATCAAGTGTAACCTTTAAATTAATAAAGATCAATTAAAAGAGGACGCAAAATAAATGAAATATTTTAAAGGCGAGAAGGCAACGCGCTATAGGAGGGTACAAAACACCGCGTGCACTAAACCTAACCTAGCCTAACCAAGAGCAGCAGACAGACAAACAGCACACAAGCTGAGGCTGCTTGGCAGAACAGCGCGGTGCATACGAGACGTCACGCGTCGCCGAGACAATATCGAAAAAGTATGACGTAATTGAGGCTAGTGACAAATAAAATAATTACATGGGGAAACGAGAACAAACGAACTATTAAGAGTAAACCGAGGATATCAAGATAAGTTTAGCCAAGATTTTAACCAAAACCAGGTATATTGATAGATACCGAAATATTTTATTTTATGTCAGATAAACTACATCTTAAACGCAGACTCATTTATGATGATATCGTCAATCCAAATGTACACAATTTTATCTAAGCAAAATTGAATATCATTTGAAAACTCGTAAAGCTCAACTGCCAGCGTATTAATTTATGCAAAATTAGGATAAACTGTTGCTCTATATAAAACTACAGCATAAATTAGTGGTTCGATCTGAAAATATATCACTATTCGAGTTCCAAACACAGACTGAAGAACCCTGAAAAGAAAAGAACCCTTTACGGGAGAAAAATATAAAATATTTATAGCGGTCTAGCTTCACTCAACGCTTCCTGGTAATAGACTCCAAGATTATCACACAATCTAAACATTTATAACAATCTAGCTTCCCTTAACTTTTCCAAATAATCGACTCTAAGATTATCTCACCCGCCGCTTGCGTTGGGGCGGGCGTGTTAATAAAGTATTTTAAATTGTTTAAAATGTTTTTTCGTCTGCTCTCTTCAGATGATACCAAAAAGTATGATAAAGACTACAAGGAAAGACAATTGAAAATAAATGCAGAGCATAAACTAATTGATGATGGATAATGCATCAGACAAGAGGAAACCAGTGAGCAGATGAACGTTGGAGAGGCAATGTACAGAGACTAACGGAGTTGGCAAGAAGCTGACTACGAAGTTTAGACACGTGACTAGCGGCACGTTGAACGGCGATGCAGTCAGAGAATTTCTTAATTAAAAATTTTTTGGGTTCATAGATCATTCAGATAGAAAAATAATTAAATCAAGCGCGTCCATTAAGAAGTACATACTCAAGCACGACACGAAGGTAAAATATCTAAAATTTTAGAAGATGACGTAACACTAAAAAAAAGGTAAAGAAAGTTACAGGTTAATGGTTATGACACCAACTACTGCCTGCAGTGTATTAGTTGTCTAATTGTGAACTTGTTTATATTGACTAGTAATAAAAAAACATGAATATAAAGGAGTATTTCGATTTAAAATCTGTCTGGAACGGAGGTAGAAAGGCAAGGGATATTAGGATTACGGGCAGTCACTTTGGCGTCTGCGCTCGCTCGAGCACGTTGAACTGACATGCATCAAGCGGCGCTGTCTCGACACGGCGACTGATTCCTTTGCTTCTTCATCTAGATAAAGCCAACAATACTTGCAATAACGTTACGATGTTAGTCGGTTGCATAAACGATAACAAATTATTAAATATACTATATATTTTATGTCAAAAATACAGTAGCCATGCTTCAACGTTAGTAGTAATCTCAAACGAAGACTCATTTATGATGTCGTCAATTCAAATGTACACAATTTTATCTATACAAATTTGAAATTCGTTTGAAAAATCATATAGCTCAAATATCAACGTATTAATTTATCCAAAATTAGGATAAACTGAATCTCTTTGTAAAACTTCATCATATATTAGTAGCTTGATCGAAAAAATGTCACTACTCGAGTTCCAAGCACAGACTAAAGAACATCAAAGACAGTTCTGTAACGGGGAAAAGTATAAAATATTTTTAGCAATCTAGCTTCCTTCAACGTTTCCTGGTAATCGACTAAGATTATCACACTTGCAAGAAGTCAAGCGGGCCCTCACGTGAACGAAAATTTGTACAAAGAGCAACAGTGAAAAGCTCGTGAAATCAGCAGCTGTACCTAATTTAGCGACAAATCTCTCGTCATGGCAAAAATACACGAAAGGCTAATGTGTCGACATCTGACGTAACAAACTGGGATTCGACATAACCGGTACTTCAATCCCTTGATCGCGCACTGCGCAGCCTTGCTAACAGGGAAGGAGCGAACACATCATCACTACACGACACTCAACACGGCACTGCCATGGTCAGGAGGAATACGCCCGCAGAGCAGACTCGCCCCCATGCTGCTGCCCGACGTCAAAAACCCGTTGGCTGCCTGAGCGCTCCGTCTAGCCCAGACTACGGGTTCAGCACTCGCTGCGGCTCGGCTTGACGTCTACGATTTGAATATTACACAGCTGTTCAGCTACACATTGAAACGACTCCTTTTGCCACGGCTCTCCACAGCTCAAAGTAAGGGCAACTAAAATAAGACAATTTGTTTGAAAAAGTTGATCCCATTGCACAAGGCCTCTACGGACCACGTGAAGTTATGTGCAGTACATCTCACTACAGCTGGTTCAGAAGATCTTATAGGTTGCTGACGACGCCACTGCCGTGAAACGCGTGCCAAGTTTTACGTGTTGCGTTGAGGTGACGCTAAGGAACTTAAGCGATGCTACACTTTTCCAAGTGTGGCATCTCTTAATTAATTTTAATTAATTTTGGTATCTTAATTTTGGCATCTTAATTTCCTGGAAAGAAAGGAAATTAAGGAGGAAAAAGGATTAATCAGGTAAGGTTTCCTGATTAATCATAAAGGATTAATCAGGAAAAAGAGTCAGGAACTAACGCACGACCTTCACATGAATATATTGCGACCGACGTCGGACAGAGCCTCAGAGCGGATTTATGACAATCTCAGTCAACCCACAGATAATCTCCTTCCATACGTTCATATAATCAGCGTTCGCAGGAATGAAATAATTACTTTAAAATCTAAAAGTTAACGTCTGTAAATCTAATAAATAAATTCATAGGAAGCAACAAACATTCAACGCATGTGTCACTAACCACCTTGTAAGGCCGCAATTGATGCATGTACCGTAACTCACGTAAGTTTTTTAACAAGTATGGAATCGTAATTTACAAAAAAACCGTCTCGTGTAAATCCAAGGCCATAAGGCACGCACTGAAAGGATTTATTTTAACACGTATATTTGTAATAATTAATAAGCCATCGTGTTATAGAGATACGAATGATCGAGGCTAAGTCATGAATCAATGAAAAGCGCTTCGGTGAGCTCGCAAGAAAAACTACACTGAACAATATACTTGAACACAGAGCGTGAAAGTGAGGGTTTATCATCAATTTATTGACAAAAAATGAACTTATTCATATAGAGCATCGTAAAGATGCACCAGACCTCAAAAGATTTTCTGAATTCGGTAAGCTTCCTGTAAGTCGCACACACATGCAAACATGATAGAGGTTAGTAAATAGTGAGGTGGTATATAGGCGACCGCTTTAGGCTGAACTTGGAATAATAAAAAAGTACCAAACATCCCAGTAATCCATTGTAATAATATAAATAAAAATAATATTAATAAAATAAATCACAATAATGAAAAAAGTGCAAAACATCCAGTTAAAGGGCTGCACTAATCTCAAAGTTAACTGCGAAAGAAATGTGGAACTTGGCGTGAATAGAAAAAAGTAAATGGAAGGTTAAATTAGCTTTAAAAGCAAATGTCTAGCATCGAGTACTATGAAAATAATGGAGGAAATTCACTTGACGCAGTCCTCGGCACATGTAATGACAGCAACAAAATTCGTCATTCAAATGATTACGAGAAATTTTTAGTTGAAGAAATCGCACCGCCGACTATTCCCATATTTATTGAAAAGCAAAGTTATTTGTACTATAGATTGCTTCATTACGTCTAACCCATAGACGGTTGTATTTATTGTGAAATAGGAAATAAAATCTTAGCTTTTGACAGTGAATAACAGTGCATACTCGTTAGTCTGATTAAAATTTGACTAAGAGCTGCTAGTCCACAATATAAATGTAACAATGTGAAAAAAAAGTTCACATGACAGTCTCAGGGTAATTTGGAAAACGTTTTAGAGCCAACCTGTATATCTTCCACGCGATCTCACGAGTCACTTAACTTCCAACTCATCATCATTAGGATAAATAACTTAAGCAACTTAACTTATACACATGAGCAGCCAGCACGCCCAAAACTCATACTAGTTAAGGTGAACAATAAAGTAGTTAACACGAGCGTCTGCTCTTTGTATTCACGACATTGTTCCAACAATGTCGTAGTAATTAATAAATAAACAAAGAAAAAGCTAACACGAGCGTCTGCTCTTTGTATTCACGACATTGTTCCAACAATGTCGTAGTAATTAATAAATAAACAAAGAAAAAGCTAACATGCGCGCCTGTTACTCGTACTTACGACAATGTTCCAACTCGTACTAGTTAAGGTGAATAATTAGGAAGACAAGACGCGAGTCTGCTACTCGTACTCACGACAGTCCTCCTCGTCGGAGTAGTCGCCGCAGTCATTGACTGTGTTGCAGACCTACTCGTCGGGAATGCTACTACTGCTACTCGTACTCACGACAGTCTTCCTCGTCGGAGTAGTCGCCGCAGTCGTTGACAGTGTTGCAGACCTGCTCGTCGGGAATGCAGTTGTTGTTGCGGCAGCGGAAGTGTCGCCATTCAGGACACGTGTGCACCGTGCAGTGCGAGGGCTCGTCGCTGCCGTCCAAGCAGTGAACTTCTCCGTCGCAGAAAAATTGCTGTCCCGAAAACGAGACAGAGAAGCATGAAGTGAATTGAAATGGTCATTACTTGCTATTTTAATATAGAAGAAACGCGTGTTAGAGCCAATAACAGAATCGTTGTTCTATAGTTGATGCATCTTTCTAGAGAGTTACCGCAAAAAATAAAAATATTAGTAAGAGATATGTTCTTCTATTGCGTAGATTTTTTATAACTTCGAGACAAATGCACCTGCAGTCAACACGGTAGGGTGCCAAGAAGATAAAAAATTCTGAGAATAAATCCTTCACAACCCTACACAAATGATAGCGATCCTTTATAGTCGTAAGAGTTTCAGCATTGAAATGTTCAAACAAGAGCGAAAAATAGATACTGGGTCCTGGAGACCGTAATGTACCCACCATAGCAACACAGAGGTACTGGGTCCTGGAGAAGAAGGGGCAGGCGAACTGTCCGGGGCTGCAGGAGATGGGCACGACGCGTCCCCGGATGTGGTCCTCATCCACCTTGGAGGCTCCGACCAAATCCATCCACACCGAGTCTCCCCCGCCTCGCGCGCAGTCATGATCCTCGTCCTCGGGAGGATGAGAGCCTCCGCAGTCATCGTCGCCATCGCAGATCCAGTTGGGGGGAATGCATCGCATGGTCACGTTGCAGCGCACCCAGCCTTCGTTGCAGGCTGATTTGGGGGAAATTAAACTTCATTTGGTGACTTTCTTATACGTGATCTGAACTAATTCAGCATTAGATGCGTCGAATAATAGTTGTTGCAAGACGACCCTAGTAAAATTTTTATGATTTTATGGGTGACTACGTATTTACAATGATCAAGTGATTTCTTTGTTGCAAGAGTAAAAAGATGTAATCCATATACCAAGGAAATTTTGGAAAAAATTCCAATAACTCACAAAATTGACTACCTTGCCGTGAATGCAAGTATTGCTGCGAATTTTTCAAGAAATATCTCTTATGACGTATAAAATAATGTAGAAACATTCGAAATATGTCAAGATAAAGTTCAGCGGTAAAAGAAATCTAAGTACCTAAATTTGTTCACGTTACTTAAAAATCAGCTCATCGAAAAAAAAAGCCCAGCCTGATAGGATTCTCATCATTTTATAGTCACGAAAATTGCGTTGATTAAATCATTCAATTTTATATGTGCTTGAGAGGCTGCAATAATAACCTCTGAATGTGTTTATATGTACTTAATAGCCTGCATTATATGTACTTCATAGGCTGCATTGTATGTACTTAATAGGCTGCATTGTATGTACTTAATAGGCTGCATTGTATGTACTTAATAGGCTGCATTGTATGTACTTAATAGGCTGCATTATATGTACTTAATAGGCTGCATTATATGTACTTAATAGGCTGCATTGTATGTACTTAATAGGCTGCATTGTATGTACTTAATAGGCTGCATTGTATGTACTTAATAGGCTGCAATAACCTCTCAACGTGGTGCAGTTTGTCTCGTCGGAACCATCAGGACACTCAGCGGAGCCGTCGCACTGCCAGAAGCGCATGATACACGACCCGTCCCCGCACTGAAACTCGTCTGCGCGCACAAACCCTTACAATTTATCAATTATTTCTATCACAATTTTTTGTCTGAAGATAATTTACCTTGAAACATCAGTATGAAAAATTACATGTGCATTGTAGACGATGCAAAATTTTTAATTATATCTTTTCACAATGACCACATCACTTTTTTTCCTTAAATTTTAGTCAACATGGAAGATACGATAAAAAAAATTACATTTGCATTGGGGGCTATAATTACTAATTATTATATTACATAGTATTATATTATATTATTATAAATATAATGTATTAATGATCACGAACACAAGAGACTGACCCTGCTGACATGTTCTGGTGCAGCTGGCTTCGTCACTAGAAGGACCGAAAGCACCGCCGTCCGCGCAGTCGTCTTCGAAGTCGCACACAAACATGGGCTCTATGCACAACCCTGTGTGGCATTTGTGGTAGCCTGGTAGACACTCGGGAGTCTTCTGTAACTCTGGAAGATAAAGTCGGGGTTCAAGAAACTTAATGATATGACCAGTAACTGTTACCACTGGGCTCTATGCACAACCCTGTGTGGCATTTGTGGTAGCCTGGTAGACACTCGGGAGTCTTCTGTAACTCTGGAACATAAATTCAAGATTCAAGAAACTTATTGAGATGTGACCAGCAAATGGTCCCACGTTGTTTTTAAATGATATTAAATACTATTAGATATACCTTAAAAATAGCTTTTTCATTGTTGTTGATGAATATCAGTCAGTGGATAAGCATAACCCTTACAGAGATTATATAAAATATAGGAAACACCTGAGAAATCCAGAAAATATATTTTAGTATGCTATAGGTCCACCTTTTGCGGCAATTACAGCCTCAATACCTTAAAAATAAGTTTTGAGGTTTTTTATCTTTTATTAAAAAATTTAGTGGCTCTAGCACTGTTTCCTTCCGGAAACAGTGCAAGAACATTGTATGAACTTGGTCCTAGAAAATTCCTAAAAAAAGTCACGGCTGTTGATTCTTCCATGAACAGAAGTCATTGTCCGCCGGACAATGAATTGTCATAGATCCTTTACCGAGTTTTACGGTATGGGAGGAGACAGTCGGGATTAAATAATTTTATCTTCTCCAAAAGAAAACTCTGCCAGAGGTTGGAAACAAGGTAAACGATGATTTGTAAGAGGAAGTTACATTTTCATACTGGTCGAGGGATCAATTCTGATGGTTATTACACCACTCTAAAGCATTTGTATCTGAAATCAGTGTTTTTTCATTGCAGCTCTTCCATAGATCCAGATCTATGCAGCTCTCGGTGGACAGTCTTTATGGAAACTGGGTTATGTAGGTGTCCATTAAGGTCTGCAGAAATTTCAACAGCAGTGGTCATTCGATTGTCCCTCACAATTCGATTTAGGTACCGACGGCCTCTCTCAAACAACTTCGACTTTCGGCCAGTCCTGTGCCTTGATGGAGACGTTTTTCCTTCTCTTTCAAAAGCAGTCATTACTCTTGAAACAGTACCTCTAGAAACGTCCAGCATTTGTGTAGAAACGTCAAGCATTGTCACACAAGCACCTGCCATACGGGCACCAACAATTTGGTTTCCTTGAAAGTCAGAGAGGTTGCCATTTATAGGTTATAAGTGAGATTATAGACACCAAAATAAATTACGGTATCAAAATGGCAGGGGTTCCCCTCATTTTGTCCCACCCCTGTACGTCTCTGGAATGCAGCGTCGGTTATTTCCCCACCAGGTGAAAGCAGGCGAAAAACATCACATTTGACATATGTACACTTACGAAATGTTTTGTGCCAGGTCGCTCCAAAACTTGATAATGGTAGACCTTGGCCACGAACAGATCACCCGAAAAACACATATTAAGAATCGGGTTTTGAGCAAAGCAATTCATACCGCAGATTCTCAAGAAAGGTGAATGCAACAGACTAATCAGCAGCCGTGAATGCATCAACAACATGCTGGTCAGCAAATGCAACAGGATGACCAGCAGCAGTAGCAGCAGTGTGTGCAGTAACCAAGATAACTGCAACAGACTGACCAGCAGCAGTAGCAGCAGTGTGTGCAGTAACCAAGATGACTGCAACAGACTGACCAGCAGCAGTATCAGCAGTATGTACACCAACAAAGATGACTGCAACAGACTGACCAGCAGCAGTGTGTGCACCAACAAAGATAACTGCAACAGACTGACCAGCAGCAGTATCAGCAGTATGTGCACCAACAAAGATGTCTGCAACAGACTGACCAGCAGCAGTATCAGCAGTACAGACTGACCAGCAGCAGTATCAGCAGTACAGACTGACCAGCAGCAGTATCAGCAGTGTGTGCACCAACAAAGATAACTGCAACAGACTGACCAGCAGCAGTATCAGCAGTGTATGCACCAACAAAGATGTCTGCAACAGACTGACCAGCAGCAGTATCAGCAGTATGTGCACCAACAAAGATGACTGCAAGAGACTGACCAGCAGCAGTAGCAGCAGTACAGACTGACCAGCAGCAGTAGCAGCAGTACAGACTGACCAGCAGCAGTATCAGCAGTATGTGCACCAACAAAGATGACTGCAACAGACTGACCAGCAGCAGTAGCAGCAGTATGTACACTAACAAAGATGACTGCAACAGACTGACCAGCAGCAGTAGCAGCAGTGTGTGCACCAACAAAGATGACTGCAACAGACTGACCAGCAGCAGTATCAGCAGTATGTACACCAACAAAGATGACTGCAACAGACTGACCAGCAGCTAACGGTATTTCGTTCATAAAACAGTTAACTGCCGCTGTTCAATCAAGCCATAACTCGTGAACAACTCGATACCGGGCCTTAAGGAGATCGCAAACGGTATTTCGTTAATAAAAGTATCAACGTACACTGTCAGGAATTCCTGCCAAAATCTATTCATATACGTTCATATACATATCTATTCATATACATTAAAAATTTATTGTAACGTCTGGAAAGTTAAAAGAAAATTAATTTTGAGTAAATCTTACTTACTACAGTGCTTGGTTATGCCTGGAGAAAATCGCTTGTAACTGGGAGGTGGTATTACTTTTAATGAATCAATCATTAATTAGTTGTCGAAATTATTTTCAGCTTGAGCCGGACGAATCATTGCGAAGCAGACATAAAAACTTATAATTTATTAAAGCATTTTTTTTTCATAATTAACAAGATCACAAAATGATATTGTTATTTTTTAAGAATTGACGCGAGTTGATTCGAAATTTTATATACTTTTTTTTTTCTAAGCAATTTTAAGAAGTGACGCGAGTTGATTCGAAAATATTATTCATTTTTTTCTACCCAATTGAGTTGAATGTTTATTGAGTAACTGATTAGAAGTAGAAAAGACTTACGGCAGCCAATTTCATCAGAGACATCAGGACAGTCAGGCTGAGCGTTACACCGCAGTTGTGGCGGCAAGCAGATGCCGATGTGCGGACATAAGAAGTGTCCGGTGTCTGTGTCGCACGGACAGTCGGACTCGTCCCGCATGTCCGGACAGTCCGGCTGCTGGTCACACACGCGTGACTTGGCAATGCAGCGTCCGGACCCGCATGAGAAGAAACCGTCTCTGCATTCCCGAGTTGCTGGAAATTTGCAATGATTATATATAAATAATAATATTATTTAGATTATTTCATTATTACGAATAATATTTATTTATAAATAATGTTGTCCTCACGAATATTTGATCAAACTTTGTCTATATAAGCAATGATTCTATAAGACATAAAATTGTCAGAAACAAGTGTTTGAAGTTTAGAGGGAGATAGGTACACATTTTTCTTTCTAATTTTATACCAGCAAAGACTGAGTGGCGCTAAATTATTAAATGTAAGCTTGTGAACGCACATTAGGCTCAATTGTTATTGTTTTATTCACTATATGTAATTTAGCCTTCCAAGTAAGGAAGATTAGCTTACCTATGAGTGATACAATAGTAATGAAATTCAAACATTAATCAGAATTGTAAGTGACGACAATAGAGCTCGAGTTTTTGAACATCAAATACTGTTTGATGTCAATAATGTAACCGCGGTACGGATGAAAATCGACAATTGAATATAAAGTATAGTATAAAGATCGACACTTGTAAAAAGTCTAAAAAATATAACACAGTACTCACTGCACTGCAGCGAGTGACAGAGAGCGCATTTTCTCGTCGACGAAAACGGACAGACGGACGGACATGGCGAGCACAATAGCGCATTTTTTACATAAATGAAAAAATTTGCTAAAAATGTCAACAGTCTGCTTATGTCTATTACAGAGGCTCACTCACAACAGTAATAAGGATCCTCGTCGCTGGCGTCAGGACACTGCGCCACGCCATTACACGCGTCCTGATACGGGATGCAGTACGCTGTGCCACAGTTCACTTCAGTGAGTGCACAGTCCCGACACTCTAAGACACTCTGATCACTCCGTACCCGACCTGAGACACTCTGATCACTCCGTACCCGACCGGGGTGACATGAGCACACCGGTTCGCGGGTAACCGGGGACAACGTGCACGTATCTGAGCAACTGTGACCCACGGGACAAGCATCGGCACCTGATGGGAGTAGTTGGGACATAAGTGATGGGCAGGGTTTAATATTGTTGATGTGCAGGGTTTGATATTGTTGATGTGCAGGGTTTGATATTGTTGATGTGCAGGGTTTNACAATAAAATTCATCCCAATTGAACAATAAACATTAATTAAAAGGAATTCACAATAAAATTCATCCCAATTGAACAATAAACATTAATTAAAAGGAATTCACAATAAAATTCATCCCAATTGAACAATAAACATTAATTAAAAGGAATTCACAATAAATTATACGCGATAATAAACTACCTATCTGATGTCTGAAAAACATGGTTTGAAGATTTGCAAAATAGAATTTAAATGTTCTTGCTTGCAACGAATAATTAAATCTAATAGATTTAATGATTGAAATGATCGCTGTCACACTCTCGACTCATAGCCGGGTTTAAAGACATTATAGACATCTAGTAGTGATGGGATAAGAGTCGTACTACACTGTTAGAAAAATTACCGTTAACGGTATTACCGGCGTTTCAGTGGCCGGTCGGCACGTGAAAAGAAACAGCGTGTCGCCGTTTTTATTCTAATTTAACACTAGAAATCCGTAAAACATCTGATAAACACGGCGAAACAGTTTATTTTCACGGGGCGACCGGCCACTAGAACGCCAGTGGGACCGTTTTTTCACCGTTTTTTTTTCTAACAGTGTATCTGACCAATTAAAATTGGTATTAATTGTTATTGAGCCATTGAACAACAAAGGATGAGGCCAGCCCGGAGACATTGTTTCACCTAAATTACAAAAAAATTCTCATGGTTATAAGTTTACGAGTTGCTGAACAATATAACTTACAGTTCTATGGGAACCGTCGAGATTGCACCGCTCAATTTTGTTTAGCCTTGCGTCTGCCCAGTAGAGTTTGCCGTCGCTGTCGTCGATAGCGAGTGTGTTGGGCAGTACGATGTCTGTGTCAATAACCATAGCCAGGCCTGTGCCATCGTAGCCAGCCCGTTGGATGCTTGGCTGCATCAGGTGCCAGTTGGTCCAGTAAACGTTGCTGTCGGCCAGGCAATGAAGGTATATTAGTCAAAGATGTAAAAAAATTTGATAAGGCGGATGCAAAAAATATAACTCAGTACTCACTGCAGTGAATGACAGAGAGCGCATTTTCTCAAAATCGATGAAAAAAGGGAAGTCATGGACAGACGGACTGACGGACATGACGAGCACAATAGGGAATTTTTTTCCATAAATGAGAAAATGCGCTTAAAAGGGACTTAGTACAAAATTGTGCTCAGCAAATTGGTTGCTCGCAATAAAGTTTGGCAGAGCAAAAACAAAAAACAAAACATTAACAAAAATTAAGAACTACCCCTCCATTTCTCTCAAATGTACCGCAAGTGTATCCAGGAGTATCAAGCAAAGGAAGAAAATAAATGTAAAAACAAAGGACATACAGTAGATGGAAATAAAACAACAAAGTGAAGAGAACCATCGAGCTTTATTAACGTGGCAGACTAAATATTACACACAAAAGTGTATAAGTCAAACAATTATTCGCCACCAAAATCTCACCAATGACAGCAAATAAGTGCAATACTGGAAAAATGCAATAATTTGTTATTATGCACCTCCAGAACCTCACCGATGACAGAAATCGAGTGCGACCCTGGAAAAATGCAATAATTTGTTATTATGTCACCTCCAGTACCTCACCGATGACAGAAATCGAGTGCGATCCTGGAAAAAGCAATAATTTATTATGTCACCTCCAAAACCTCACCGATGACAGAAATCGAGTGCGATCCTGGAAAAATGCAATAATTTGTTATTATGTCACCTCCAGTACCTCACCGATGACAGAAATCGAGTGCGATCCTGGAAAAATGCAATAATTTATTATGTCACCTCCAAAACCTCACCGATGACAGAAATCGAGTGCGATCCTAGAAAAATGCAATAATTTGTTATTATGTCACCACCAAAACCTCACCGATGACAGAAATCAAGTGCGATCCTGGAAAAATGCAATAATTTCTTATTATACTACCCACTAAAACCTCACCGATGACAGAAATCAAGAGCAATGCTGCTCGGTCTATCCTCCTTGGGGTTGAGCTGCACGACTCTGTGTATGACACGCGGGCCATCGAGGGCCCCAGCCTTGAAGTGCTTGCCAGAGGCCCCATAAGGCTCGTCCAGCGCTGCCATCTTAACGGCGGCCGCGGTCTCGCAGGTCCAGTACAGGCGGCGCTCGTTAGGCTCCACCGCCAACCCTCCTATGGCGCCTTGTTCTGTGATAACGAGCCAGGGATATAGTTGCGTTTAATTCAAAGTATAATAAAGCGTTAACTGGGTAATATGATTAATACGCGCATAAAAAATATACAAGTCTCGCAGGTCCAGTACAGGCGGCGCTCGTTAGGCTCCACCGCCAGCCCTCCTATGGCGCCTTGTTCTGCGATAACGAGCCAGGGATATTGTGTTATATATATCGTTGCGTTTAATTAAAAGTATAATAAAGCGTTTACTGGGTAATATGATTAATACGCGCATAAAAAAATACAAGTCTCGCAAGTCCAGTACAGGCGGCGCTCGGTAGGCTCCACTACCAGCCCTCCTATGGCGCCTTGTTCTGTGATAACGAGCCAGGGATATCGTTGCGTTTAATTCAAAGTATAATAAAGCGTTAACTGGGTAATATGATATAATACGCGCATGAAAACTATACAAAATATATAATATTATATAATAACAAGAGTTGGTGTGATGGCTTAGTGCTACCGAGCAATTTTGAATGCAACCCATTGCGATGAATGACCAAACAGAAAAATAATGACTGAATTAAAGGAACTGATATTCTCGTTCGCTAAAATTCAAAGGCCCACGTTGGCATAGCGCAATTGTAAGGCAAAATTAATCTTCATATAAATTTAATTTTAATAAAATCCACGTATAAATACAGATAATTCCAAGTCGAACGAGGGTATTTATGGTAAATCTAACAAAAAAATCTCCGCTTAAAGCTACTCGCGCATGCTAAATTGTACAAGAAAATTGAGCAAATATTACTGGATATGAAGAGGCGGTCGTCAGTGCCGTTGAAGAAGGAGCTCCGGATGGTGCCGGAGGAGACCCCGGAGTAGTAGAGGCGAGACTGAGGGTAGTCTACACTGAGGGCCCTCGCGGTGAAGTCTTGTAGCTCTCGTAGTGGAGGGTTCACGTCATCATCGTCGTATAGATGTACGCTGGACAGCTTCTTGTCGTCAGCGTAGACCATGTACGAGGTGTGGCCTAAATAGAACAAGAGTAAAATGACAGTATTACTTAGAATGTAAAATTGATTACATACTCGTTTGTAACATTCTTAGCGCAGTAGCGGGCGATAGCCAACATGTACGATGTGTGGCCTGAATAGAACAACAGTGAAATGACAGTATTACTTAGAATGTAACATTAATAACATACGCGTTTGTAACATTCTTAGCGCAGTAGCGGGCGATAGCCAACATGTACGATGTGTGGCCTGAATAGAACAAGAGTGAATTGACAGTATTACTTAGAATGTAACATTAATAACATACTCGTTTGTAACATTCTTAGCGCAGTAGCGGGCGATGGCCAACATGTACGATGTGTGGCCTGAATAAAACAAGAGTGAAATGACAGTATTACTTCAAATGTAACACTAATTTCACACTCGTTTGTAACAGTTAGCGCAGTAGCCTCACACATTTAATACTCGGCTCTTCACTTGAGTTATAGGTGTATGCATAGCTTCTCCATGAACGAGGTATTGCTATCATTAAACTAAATTGTTGAAAATACAAGAGATCTGCGAAATAAAATCATACAACTCCCCCATGAGAAGGCTTGAGTAGCAGCTACTATAATCTAAAACTAATCTACTAAAAACTAACCGTAGCAGCTGCGTAACTGTAAACTAACCGTAGCAGCTGCGTAGCTGTAAACTAACCGTAGCAGCTGCGTAGCTGTAAACTAACCGTAGCAGCTGCGTAGCTGTAAACTAACCGTAGCAGCAGCGTTTATCGCTGGCCAAGGCAGCATGGAAGCAGCGGCACTGCAGCTGTAAACTAACCGTAACAGCTGCGTAACTGTAAACTAACCGTAGCAGCAGCGATGCTGTAAACTAACCGTAACAGCTGCGTTTATCGCTGGCCAGAGCAGCATGGAAGCAGCGGCACTGCAGCTCTGATCCATCATACAGGCACAGGTCTTGACAGCCGCCGTTGCTCTCAGCGCAGTCGTTGTACTCGTCGGCCCCCAGAGACTCGCTCAGTACACTCAGTGAGCTAACGATGTCCAAGTCCGTGTGGAAAACACGCGTTAGAGTTGTTGCTTGGCCGGCTGATGGCGCTACGGACACGAACCCGACGCTGCTGTTGTACCGCACGCCGCTGTACAGCATCAGATGGTCAGGATATCAATTTTAATATCAGGAAAATAAGGATAGATGATCAATTTCAGGATAGAAATCAATTTTAATATCATGAAAATAAGGATAGAAATCAATTTTAATATCAGGAAAATAAGGATAGAGGATCAATTTCAAGATAGAAATCAATTTCAATATTAGGAATATGACATATTAAAATAATCAAGTGTATTTTGCAAGGTCAATTGAAGAGTTTAGTTTCAGTTGTCATGGTGATTCAAATTTTCAAATTTTAAAATGCAGAGTATATTCTAGAATATGACATTTGGAGCAGGATAACAATTTTTCTGAAGTGTGAAATGCAAGCGATATCAAAATTAATCAACAAATTGTTAACAAAAGGCAAATTGTAAATATTGATGAGCCGTACCCGACCATGACAATATAGAGATTCAAGTCGTGCAGAGCGAGAGCTGTTGGTGTACCGGAGAGATTATCAATGACCGTAAAAACGCCGGAGCCATCGAGCTTGGATCCTCGTATGCGTCTGTCGACGAAGTCACTCCAGAAGAGCTTGTGGTGGACCAAGTCCACTGTCACACCTCCGACCCTAGACGTGTGGTGAACTATCCTCCTTCGTCCAGTGCCGTCTAATAGGGAGGTGTAAATGCCTCCTTCAGCGCCTGATTCGCACCAAAATAGCTTCCCTTTGGTAGGATGTAAGGCCAAGTTCTTAGGTTGTACGAGGTCGTGAAGCAACACATACTGTCGAGTGTCATTGAGGCGGCCAACTGAAATACTGTTGCCGCCAGACCAGTACACGTTCTGTCTCTTATACACATCTAGATGTGTATAAGAGACAGAGTTTGAGGATAGAAATCCATTTTAATATCAGGAAAATAAGGATAGAGGATCAATTTCAGGATAGAAATCAATTTTATATCAGGAAAATAAAGATAGAGGATCAGTTTCAGGATAGAAATCAATTTCAATATTAGGAATATGACATATTAAAATAATCGAATGTATTTTGCAAGGTCAATTCAAGAGTTTAGTTTCAGTTGTCATGGTGATTCAAATTTTAATATTTTAAAATGCAAAGTTTATTCTAGAATATGTCATTCAAAGCAGGATAACAATTTTTCTGAAGTGTGAAATGCAAGCGATATCAAAATTAATCAACAAATTGTTAACAAAAGGCAAATTGTAAATATTGATGAGCCGTACCCGACCATGACAATATAGAGATTCAAGTCGTGCAGAGCGAGAGCTGTGGGAGTACCGGAGAGATTATCAATGACCGTAAAAACGCCGGAGCCATCGAGCTTGGATCCTCGTATGCGTCTGTCGACGAAGTCACTCCAGAAGAGCTTGTGGTGGACCAAGTCCACTGTCACACCTCCGACCCTGGACGTGTGGTGAACTATCCTCCTTCGTCCCGTGCCGTCTAATAGGGAGGTGTAAATGCCTCCTTCAGCGCCTGATTCGCACCAGAAAAGCTTCCCTTTGGTAGGATGTAAGGCCAAGTTCTTAGGTTGTACGAGGTCGTGAAGCAACACATACTGTCGGGTGTCATTGAGGCGGCCGACGGAAATACTGTTGACGCCAGACCAGTACACGTTCCCAGCAATCCAATCAACGGCCAAACCAGAGACAGAAGCTCCCGACACAAGAGTTTTAAGACTCGTTCCATCTCGCCACATTTGCGTGACGGTGCCAGCATCAAAGTCAGCCACAACAAGAATATTCCTTCGAACGTCTGCGCTGACAACATCCACGGCCCCGAGTCTTGAGATGACGGGAAGGCCTCCTGCTTCAAAGTGCCCCTCAGGCTGCAGAATGAAGCCAGTGAGCCCCTTCTGTGAAGCGTACACTAAGACATGATCAGCTGCCACACAGATGGTCGGGTCTCGAGCATCTCTTGTGTAGCCTTCAGCACAAACACACTCAGGAGCCCCAAGAGGTGTGGGTAGGCACAGATGAGCGCAAGAATTGCCGTCGCAGCTGTTGCTTCCTCCTTTACGTTGATGGTAAATCATGACACTTGTCGCACGCGCAGCGTCTGTTGTGATCTCCTCCGCGTCATTATTTGACGACAAGCTGCTCCTATAGAGCGTGCTATTGACGCCGTAATACAGATAGCCACTGAACAAAGAGAGTCCAAAAATTCGTGAGTTGTCTTCAGGAACGACGCGGCGTAAAGATCCCACCGTTTTCTGTTTCTGTTCATAAAACATGACGAATCCTGTGCTGAGATCGATCCAGTAGAGACGTTGCGAAGGACAATCAACTATAAGATACGCAGGGTGCACTACATCAGATGAAACAGTAGAGTCTGTGATTGCAAATGCCTTGCCAGTCATGTCAAATGCTCCTATTTTAAAGACCCGTTTGTCGTCACGCTGCTCGATATCGATGAAATAAACCAGGCCTAAGAAAGGATCCACAGCAAGCGACGGGACGTACGTGACCGACACTGTCTTTAAGACGCGCCTGAAAGATCCATCTAACTTGCACACGCTGATGTGGCCAGAGCCTCGTATTTCTACTCGGTTTTTTACTTTCACAGGGAAGATTGCAGAGGACGGGTCCAAGTTATACACGGAGTGTCCGAAAAATAAATTTCCGGACACCCAGTCGATCGTCAAACCTCTAGGGTTCTGCAAAAGAACAGTAAAGATTCAACAACATATTAAAAAAACAAGACCATCCAATTCAGTAATAAACTCGATATTGATATTTGTGCAGAAATTTGATCTAGGCGAACATTGAAATCAATTAAATAAAAACAAATCTCGGAAAAGCACTTGTAAAATATAATCACCAAAGACAAAGCAAATTCAATGCAAGCAAAGCTATCAAAAGACCGTTAAGTATTAAAGAATTAAGCAAAAGAATATTCTCACCGTAAGTTCAGTATCCAGAAGGACTTCTGCGTGTCGGGACCCATCGAGCCTCATACGTCGCACCTCGTGCACCCAAGGCTCGGTCCAGTACACCCACTGCTCGGACGAGTCGAAGTCAAGTTGTCCGATTTCAAACACACTCACGGTGTCGCGTCCAGGCTGCCAGTTTGACGTCCTGAATGCATTATAGTGAGCTAGTCTAGGTTTAGCAGTTAAATGCAACTATCATTAATGTTAACAATAATGTTTAACTCTGGTGGCGAGTAGATAGTTAATTACTAACCCTCGAACCCGAAATTCGGCTTTGCCAGAGAAGAGCAATGGAGTGACCATGAGGCTTCAGAAGTGTTAAGAATGTATATACACATCGCCTTGAATATTAATGAATAATAAACGTAATTGAGGATAAGAATAATATACGAACCCGGCAGTATTAGGGTTGCCCAAATGATGGATGAAGGCAGACGAGGGGCTTGAGATGTCCAGCCCTCGTAGCTCTCCAGGCAGGCTCAGGAAGATGATCGTCTCTTTGCCTTCAAAGAAATTCGCAGAATCAAGAAGTTATACGGCAGATCACATCAATTTTTTAATGGCATGAGATCAATTTCTCTGTACGATATTCGCAACTTTCTTGAGTAGGAATAAATATAATACTCATCGAAAGCTTGCAACTTATCTCTAACGGTAAGATCGCGTTTGGCGGTAGGCAGCTAAGTTAATTCTGGCACAAATCTCCACTAAATGGGTCCATAGCTTTCAAGAATTTATATCACGGTAATAGTTTTTGGTTGCACTATGCACTTTGGACGGTTGCACTATGACATAGACACCATACATGATGAATAGCAGAAGACTCATGATCATCAACTATGTGTTTTATTTATATAGGTACATGTTCAGGTCTTCAGGAGACTTCAATAAGTCTGTCACTTCGAAGAAATCCAGCAACAATGGAATTACTCAAGAAATTGTATGAAAATAAGAGCAGTAAATAACATTGAAGCGGAGTGAACTCTGCACTTGAAGATAAAATATTAATTGACGATTGCCAAATACATGAAATGAAAAGATAGAATAGAAACATGACCACAATGCTGAATGAAACAAACGAATCGAAACCTGACGAAAAAATAAACATAAGTCATGTAAGCCATAAGCCATAAGAGCCACATAAGCCATAAGAGCTACATGAGCCATAAGAGCCATAAGCCATAAGAGCCACATAAGCCATAAGAGCCACATAAGCCATAAAAGCCACATAAGCCATAAGAGCTACATAAGCCATAAGAGCCATAAGCCATAAGAGCCACATGAACCATAATAGCCATAAGCCACATAAGCATAAGACATATAAGCCATATAGGCCATAAGTTTCTCACGGGCACACTGAGTGGAGTTGGGCACTAGCGACATCTCCTGCGGGCAGTGGCACTCCCTGGTGCCAGGACCACTCAGCAGGCACAGGTGCGAGCAGCCCCCGTTACCAGCACACGCGTTCGCCCCCTCTGTGTTGTTAAATATTTCTCTTTACAACAAATTATTGTTTGATACCAAAAAGAATTAACAGTCGTATTCGAATAAGCTACTTTACACTTTTTACTCTAAAGTTTTGCTAGGCAGAAAACTAGATTGTCAGCAATAAAATCAATAATATATTAATACTTCGCTAATCGGAACTTGATTCACAAGAAGAGCTGATAAGATAATTTCTGAGCAAAGAAATGAGTAACTTCGACACACTAAGAGCTAAGAAATGATATAAGATAACTTATCAGGAGAGCAATGAGTGACCTCGAGGCTGGCGGGAGGGGTGTACGAGCACCACGTCGAAGGGCTGCGTGATGGTGCGCCGCAACACCGACACGTTAGACCCGTTGTACTTGTTGGCACTGCCGGGACATGGGTGAGGGGTATGTATCAGGAACATGGATCAGAAAGTTGCTCATAAATGCAAAGCGATTATTTAACCATAAAATGGACACGATGCAAAAAAATGAAAGAATTAAGAAAGAAAAATGAAAATGGACACAATTTAAAATTATATTACGATGCTTCAGAGTGGATCAAAACTAAAAAAAAAAGTAAAAGCAATGTCGCTCGTCAATAACCTCAATTTACCCATTGTCGGACTGCAGAGGTAAAAATTTTACAACACTCGGTATGAAAAATTTTTTATAATCGTACCGTATATAAAAATTTTAAAATGTTATAATCGTACAGTACGAATATAACATTTTAAAATTATGCAGTGTGACGAGAGGTGATATGTAATGGTAATCAGAAGACAATCTGTCCGTTATATAAGAGTTGGCTATACAAGAGACGGCACCTCATAAGGCAGTTAGTGGTGACAACAGGTGATATATAACAATACTCATAAGACAGTCTCGCTGTTATATAAGAGTTGACTATACAAGAGAGGGCACCTCATGAGGGAGTTAGTGGTGACAACAGGTGATATATAACAATACTCATAAGACAATCTCGCTGTTATATAAGAGTTGGCTATAACAAGAGACGGTACCTCATAAGGGAGTTAGTGCGCCAGTCCGTCCAGAACACTTGGGTGCCGTACAGGGTGATGGCGAACGGGTGGGAGAGCAGGTCGTGCGCGTGTAAGATCTGGAAAACAATCATAGATCAGAACGAGTTCATTCCTTCAAACTTCCAACATAATAACTTCAAAAAGAGTTTTTGAAATGAAAGTCTTTAAAAAAATTATTCGACACGCAGAAAAGAAGAAATGGTTAAGAAACACAAGCTCGGCTGTTATAGTTTTCACAAATTAAGAAGATGATCGCAACCCGAGAATATTATGCGATAAACAAAACAATGATAACAATTAAAAAAAACAATAATAACAATGTCATAAAAGCAACAATATAATAACAATTTAATAAAAGCAATAATAACAATGCCATAGAAGCAATAACCACTCACCATCCTGGGGTCGGAGCCGTCATACTCGGCAGTATGGATGCTGTCACTCTTAGCGTCTATCCAATATATCAACAATAACAAAGCAATAAACACTCACCATCCTGGGGTCGGAGCCGTCATACTCGGCAGTATGGATGCTGTCGCTCTTAGCGTCTATCCAATATATCAACAATAACAATGCAATAGCAGCAATAAACACTCACCATCCTGGGGTCGGAGCCGTCATACTCGGCAGTATGGATGCTGTCACTCTTAGCGTCTATCCAATATATCCTGCGAGCGAAATAGTCGAGCGTGAGGCCGTTAGGCCAGCCCAGCCCCCCGATGGTGACGACCACGCGTCGGTCTCCGCCGCTCATCGTCGCGCGCTCGATGCGAGACTTGTGCATCTGACGAGCGTAAAAGCAACAAAAAACATTATTTTTTTATTTAAAAATATATTTTCAAAGACAATGATAATAATAATAAATTAATAATAATGGTGACCACCACACTTCGGTCTCCGCCGCTCATCGTCGCGCGCTCGATGCGAGATTTGTGCATCTGACGCGCGTAGAGGCAACGAAAAACATTATTTGAATTTAAAATACATTTTAAGAACAAGAGTAATAGCACCGAGGATACTAAACAACTTAAATATACATTTTTCAAAGACAATAATAATACTCAGGATTGTGATAAAGATTTTTAAGTATAATAATAATAAATAATAACAATAATATCATCAAATGATAATATTAAAAGTTGATCTTGTTTAGTGGCAGGAAGAAGGGAAGTCATTGGCGGGAACTAAAAATAGGCAGGGAATAAAAATAATTGGCGAGGGAGAAAAATAATTGACGGGGAAGGAAGGTAATTGATAGCACAGAAAAAAATCATAGTTAGTGAAAAGCAAAACGCGAGGGACAGGAGTTGAATGTTTAGGGAAAAATGAACATGAAATTTGATAGAACTAAAATAATGAGTTGGTGGCTTTGGCTCAGATAATGAATTATATAAATTTTTGTATAGAAACTATGCAATCTAAGGTAAGGCTTCCTCAGGGCAGAGGACTTACTAAAATATGACGTCATTAGGAGAAAACAAGTGCATTTCATAATCGCAAACGCGGCGTTCACTAAAGAAATAAAGAGAAACGATAAGTGAGCAAAGATAAATGTTAGTAGAAATGATAAGTGAGAAAAGATAAATGTTAGTAGAAATGATAAGTGAGAAAAGATAAACTTTAGTAGAAATGATAAGTGAGAAAAGATAAACTTTAGTAGAAATGATAAGTGAGCAAAGATAAATGTTAGGAGAAATGATAAGTGAGCAAAGATAAATGTTAGTAGAAATGATAAGTGAGCAAAGATAAACTTTAGTAGAAATGATAAGTGAGCAAAGATAAATGTTAAGAGAAATGATAAGTGAGCAAAGATAAATGTTAAGAGAAATGATAAGTGAGAAAAGATAAATGTTAAGAGAAATGATAAGTGAGCAAAGATAAACTTTAGTAGAAATGCTAAGCACACCTCCCAGTCTGTCCAGAAGATAAGCCCGTCTCTGGGGTCTAGAGCGATGGCCCTGGGGCTGTGTATGGCGGTGTCTATGAGGGTCTTGGTGTTGACCCCAGAGAGGCTAGACCCAGACAGCTGGGCCACCTGTAAGCTGGACCGTTTGCCCCTCACTACCCAGTACAGGTTGTGGCCCATCCAGTCGACAGCGAGGCCTTCAGCTGTGGCCACACCAAACGACAGCACAACGTGGATGTTCGTCAGACCTGGCGATCCATACACACTTTTTGGTCACGGTTACTCGACTCGGTTTTTAGCTATCAAGTTGGGCGTCAAAAATAGTCTTCACAACGTGTGGATGTTCGTGAGACCTGGTAATCCACGGTTACTGGTCACGGTTACTCGACTCGGTTGTTAGCTATCAAGTTGAGCATCCAAAATAGGTAATAATTTGGTGATCCACGGTTACTGGTCACGGTTACTCCACTCGGTTGTTAGCTATCAAGTTGGGCATCCAAAATAGGTAATAATTTGGTGATCCACGGTTACTGGTCACGGTTACTCGACCCGGTTGTTAGCTATCAAGTTGAGCATCAAAAATGGGTAATAATTTGGTAATCCATACACTTACTGGTCACGGTTACTCCACCCGGTTGTTAGCTATCAACTTGAGCATCAAAAATAGGTAATAATTTTTTACAATTCTTTTTGACAAGAACAGGCAACTGGATAAAGTCTACGACAAAAAATGTATATTTATGTATATTAATATCAAGTTGGGCATCCAAAATAGTCTTCACAAGGCAATAACTTTTAATAATTCTTTTTTGACAAAGACAGGCAACTGGACAAACTTCACGTAAAAAATCAATATTCCAGTAGGTATATGACTTACTATCCAAAATAGGTAATATTTTTTTTATAATTCTTTTTGACAAAGCCAGAAAACGGGATGAACTCTACGACAAAAAAAAATCATATTCCGGTATATAATTTACTATTTTAGCATAATTTCAAAATTATCCTGCAGAAATATTCTCAAGCTGACCAAATTCTTCTGATTGTCTGAAAAGAATTAAGCTTGGCAGCTTATCCTGTAACAATTATGCTTGGCAGCGAGTATATATTAATTACAACTTTAGCCTATTTTCAAAATCATCCTGCAGAAATATTCTCACGATGACCAAACTAATCTAATTATCTGATAACAATTATGCTTGGCAGAGGGTATATATTAATTACAATTTTAGCCTATTTTCAAAATTATCCTACAGAAATATTCTCATGCTAACCAAATTCTTCTGATTATCTGATAACAATTATGCTTGTCAGTTTATCCTGCAGAAATATTCTCATGATGACCAAATTCTTTCTGATAACAATTATGCTTGTCAGCTTATCCTGCAGAAATAATCTCAAGCTGACCAAATTCTTTCTGATAACAATTATGCTTGGCAGCTTATCCTGTAACAATTATGCTTGACAGCGAGTATATATTAATTACAATTTAGCCTATTTTCAAAATCATCCTACAGAAATATTCTCATGCTGACCAAATTATTCTTATAATCTGACAACAATTATACTTCTCAGTGGCAACTCACTGCCAGCATAGAGTGTGCCGGTGAAGATCTGGTCGCTGGACACGTCCGTCCAGAAGAGATGGTCGATGCCCTCGTCAGTGTGCCAGAAGTCCAGCGCCACGGCGTTCTTAAGACCCTTGAGCAGCGGCTTGTGCTGGACGCTGGACACGTTACTTGTGATGGAGAGCCGGTGCAGCTCATGACGGTTGCAGAACACCAGGTACGGCTCACGGCGCTCTGTTACAGTGCGTGACATTACGGCTCACGGCGCTCTGTTACAGTGAGTGTCATTACGGCTCACGGCGCTCTGTTACAGTGAGTGACATTACGGCTCACGGCGCTCTGTTACAGTGATGTATTGTGACATTACGGCTCACGGCGCTCTGTTATAGTGACTATTGTGACATGGGGACAGCATGTATGCCAGTATTGTGACATGGTATCAACGTAATATGCCAGTATTGTGATATGGCTACAGTTTCAACTATATAGCTGTAGTAATTAATTCGATCTCAATGCCTCTTGATATAGACTAATTGTAATTGCTTGACTAGACTTAGCAGTGAGCCTGCAGAGTCCCAGTGGTCTGCTCACCGACGCTCTTGCAGGTGAAGCCGTCAGCCTCCAGGAGGAACCCTGCGCTACAGCCACACTTGTGGCCCCCGCCTGACACGCGGTGACACAACTGAACAATAATACAATGTGTTGATGTAAATACTAAGTTGTTGTTTATTGAACAATAATAACAACGCGTTAATGTAGATACTAACTACTAAGTTGTTGGTTATGGCAAAACATGCACAGCTGAACAATAATACAATGCGTTAATACAAATACTAAGTTGTTGCTTATTGAACAATAATAACAACGCGTTAATGTAAATACTAACTACTAAGTTTTTGCTTATGGCAAAATATGTGTGACATAATGGCTTCCATAAGATTCTGAGCGCGAATCTGGCAGTGTCGGCAATAACTTGTCGAAATGCGCTTGAGCATCTCGCACATCGAGCAACACGTCAAGAGATGATGGGTGATTTACACGTCAAGAGATGATGGCACATCTACACGTCAAGGGGATGATGGGGCAGCTACACGTCAAGGGGATGATGGGACATCTACACGTCAAGGGGATGATGGGGCAGCTACACGTCAAGGGGATGATGGGACATCTACACGTCAAGAGATGATGGCACATCTACACGTCAAGAGATGATGGCACATCTACACGTCAAGAGGCTGATAAGTTATCTACACGTCAAGAGGCTGATAAGTTATCTACACGTCAAGAGGATGATAAGTTATCTACACGTCAAGAGGATGATAAGTTATCTACACGTCAAGAGGATGATAAGTTATCTACGCGTCACGGGAAAGGTCTAAACGGTATGAGAAGAGCTACACGTCACACGTCACCTGATGGCAGGTGCCCCACACGTCGCAGATGTGTGGAGGAGAGCTACACGTCACGCCGTCCTCCAGTAAGGACGTGTGTACAGGACACGTACACAGAGGACCATACGGCGTCTGCACGCAGCCTTCCGTGCATGCAAGCAAAGTACACTCCTTCAAACCTGTGTGAAATTGTACATGATTTACGTCCCGGGCCCATACTTTCGAAACTCGCTAAGTGAACGTAAATACCTACGTTCTATTTTCTTGTCTATGATTGGTGGATTTTGCTCGAAAGGCTGTCAATGATTGGCTGATGAACTTACGATCTCTTAACTTTTTTTTGAAAGTATAGGCCCTGTTTCATAAATTAGATATGCAAATTGGTTTTTAACACAGCTTTATTATTCTCATGTCTTATTTCTTCGGAATGTAATCATTTTAAATATTGTAAGATGTTTATATACCGTGCATGCTAGCAATGCGCACTCCTTCAAACCTGTGTGAAATTGTAGATAATTAACGTCCTGTTTTATAACTTTGATACAAATGCAAATTATTCTCTTACACAGTTTTATTACTCTCATGCCTTATTCCTCTGGAATTTAAACTTTTAAATATCGTAACATAATAAATTAAATTTCTCTCGTTGAAAGGCGACAATCAATCAGGTGCCTTGAATTACTTCTTACTGTGAAAATCAGTTCCGAATGGGCAATGGTTCAAAATAATGTGCAAGATTTGTTCGTCATTTTCATCGGATTCTTTCGTAGTAGAAACAAATATTGTTACAAAACACATGACAAAAATTGTTACAAATGAAATCAATGTAAAAAAATAAGCTACCACAGCGGCCTCCTTCGTCAAATCAGTTTTTTTCCAAGGTTTGAACCTGAAGAAGTTTGTAACAAATTAAATCGATGTATAAAAAATAATAACCAACCACAGCGGCCTCCTCTTTCAAATCACTGTTTTTTTCAAAGTTTGAACCCGAAGAAGTTTGTAACAAATTAAATCGATGTATAAAAAAAAACCTACCACAGCGGCCTCCTTCGTCAAAGCCGTCATCACAGAGCTGCACTCCATCACAGAGCTGGTGCGGCAGTAGACAGATGGTGCCGTTATCACAGCTCATAACAGCTGGTGCCAGGCATGGGTTGTACAGCCCTGAGTGGTTGCCTGGTGTCTCAACGTGCGTCGCCGCACTGCTACTAGACGTCGTGCAGTTGCGCTCGTCTGACTCGTCGTCGCAGTCCGGAGACCCGTTGCAGTGATAGCTCTGCACAGATAAGTATTGAAAATTATTTACAATACTCAGAGATAATTACAAGATTTGTTCCCCGAATTGGAACAATAACTAACAAATAACAAATACGTTACTTACACTCTTGTCCAGGAAATATACACAAACTGCAACACGGGAAATATACGTTTCCTCTTATAATTAGGTATTGGAAAGAGCATTTTAGTTCAATACCAGAATTATTCATCACAAGCATGTCGGCACAGCAACGATAAGGCAGGAATGTTGTTATAAATTATTTATTAACATTAGAAATAATTGCGTGAAAGTTAATGACATACTTCAAGTCTTCCATAAACGCGGCTTGAAATTGACAATCTTACACAATTGACAATTGAAATTGACAATCTTACACAATTGACAATTGAAATTGACAATCTTACACAATTGACATTTGAAATTGACAATCTTACACAATTGACAATTGAAATTGACAATCTTACACAATTGACAATTGAAATTGACAATCTTACACAATTGACAATTGAAATTGACAATCTTACACAATTGATCAATTTTACACAATTGACAATTGAAATTGAGAATTTTTACAGGTCAGTCGGCACCAACTGACCTGTAAGATGCACTGCCGGCCTGAGGTGCACCGCCATTCTTCGCTGCTGCATGATATGGTGCCTGCGGTCAAATTCATCAGTAAACATAATCATTTACTATGATGATAACAATAAGTATATAAGATCTAATACACTTGGAAGAATAAACTCCACAAACGGGTGAACTTTAAACATGATTTGATATAATATTAACAGACTTGCGATGTCACTACCATGTTCTGATTGAGTGCTTGAACCAAGCTTTACTCAAAAACCCGATTAATGTTAAGATGAGGCTGCACTCTACCGTTGGTACTAAGTTGGGCAGTACAGTACACTAAACGCACTATATACTACGAGGTACTCACTGCACTCTGCCGTCAGTACTAAGTATGGGAGTACAGTACACTAAACGCACTATATACTACGAGGTACTCACTGCACTCTGCCGTCAGTACTAAGTATGGCAGTACAGTACACTAAACGCACTATATACTACGAGGCACTCACTGCACTCTGCCGTCAGTACTAAGTTGGGCAGTACAGTACACTAAACGCACTATATACTACGAGGCACTCACTGCACTCTACCGTCGCTACTAAGTACGGTACGTACATTACACTAATTGTACTATGTACTACGGGACAATCGTACACTACTCACTACAGTTGCGCTCGTCAGAGTTATCGAAGCAGTCAGCGTTGCCGTCGCATAGGAAGTCTCGCGGGATGCAGCGCAGCTCTTCCTCGCACAGGAACTCTTCGGTGCTGCACAAGGAGCTCAACTGCAGACAAGAGACAGGTCAAACATGATGCTAACAATCAATAGTCAAGGAACATGTCAAATGAGATACTAAAAATCAGTATACAAGGAACAGGTCAAACATTATGCTAACAATCAGTTTTCAAGGAACATGTCAAATGTGATACTGACAATCAGTATTCAAGGAACACGTCAAACGTGATTATTATCAATCAATATTTTGGCCATTAACCATTTCCATCAACCCTGCAAATAACAGGATACAAAGCTAAGAAAATAGTAAAGATAAGCAGACAACGCTAAGAGAACAGACCACGCTGATCGATAATGTGGTAAGCATGTGGCACATTTCAAATCAAACTTAATAAATTAATATTTTATAATTATGTAAACAACATATAATAATTACAATTATGCTAAAATGTATCATTCCCTAGTCTTATCCTATCCAAAATCAAGGACTATGTAAACAAGGCTTGTATAAATGTACATGACTGACTGTAATAGCGCAGGCAGCTTCGTCAGCATCGTCAGGACAGTCGTGTACACCATCGCAGAGCTGGTGTGATGCGAAGCACACGCTGTCACCACACCATGTACAGTCTTGCCTCTCCTCACAGTCTTCCTGTGGTGAACATTACCATGTACTGTAACATCACTTATTGCTTCACCTCACAGTCTTCCTGTGGTGAACATTACCATGTACTGTAACATCACTTATTGCTTCTCATCACAGTCTTCCTGTGATGAACATTACCATGTACTGTAACATCACTTATTGCTTCTCCTCACAGTCTTCCTGTGGTGAACATTACCATGTACTGTAACATCACTTATTGCTTCACCTCACAGTCTTCCTGTGGTGAACATTACCATGTACTGTAACATCACTTATTGCTTCACCTCACAGTCTTCCTGTGGTGAACATTACCATGTACTGTAACATCACTTATTGCTTCACCTCACAGTCTTCCTGTGGTGAACATTACCATGTACTGTAACATCACTTATTGCTTCACCTCACAGTCTTCCTGTGGTGAACATTACCATGTACTGTAACATCACTTATTGCTTCACCTCACAGTCTTCCTGTGGTGAACATTACCATGTACTGTAACATCACTTATTGCTTCACCTCACAGTCTTCCTGTGGTGAACATTACCATGTACTGTAACATCACTTATTGCTTCACCTCACAGTCTTCCTGTGGTGAACATTACCATGTACTGTAACATCACTTATTGCTTCACCTCACAGTCTTCCTGTGGTGAACATTACCATGTACTGTAACATCACTTATTGCTTCACCTCACAGTCTTCCTGTGGTGAACATTACCATGTACTGTAACATCACTTATTGCTTCACCTCACAGTCTTCCTGTGGTGAACATTACCATGTACTGTAACATCACTTATTGCTTCACCTCACAGTCTTCCTGTGGTGAACATTACCATGTACTGTAACATCACTTATTGCTTCACCTCACAGTCTTCCTGTGGTGAACATTNAAGCTACCAAAGCTACTAAAGATACCAAAGCTACTAAAGATACCAAAGCTACTAAAGATACCAAAGCTACTAAAGCTACCAAAGCTACTAAAGATATCAAAGCTACTAAAGATACCAAAGCTACCAAAGCTACTAAAGCTACAAAAGCTACTAAAGATACTAAAGATACTAAGTGAAGCTAACACACCCTTGTGAGAGAAGTGTTACAGGATGTTGCACACATGGGGGGCGTGTTGGGGACGTTAAGAGCGGACACGTTATGGCAGATTGTGTGGCAGAACATCTCGTCTGTGTTGTCGTGGCAGTCGTCGTTGCCATCACACACAAATGCCATCAGAATACAGCGCCCGTTGCCACAGCGGTAGTCGCCGCTGCTGCAGTCGCGCTCTTCTGCCAGGGGACAGTGACACATTACATTTGTTTTGTTTTTAATATTAATATTTTTCTTTCAAGGGACAGGGATGCATTACATTTGTTTTGTTTTTAATATTATAATATTTTTCGTTTATTAATATTCAATACTGACGATTCAGTTCCGTGGCTAAAAAATAACTTCTGCCGACAATGTCGGCAGTTTTGAATTTGAATGAAGCCGAAAAAAATAAAATGAGATCCAATGTCGAAACTTTTCACAATGATTTGATAGTCGTCAAAAAAAACAAGAATAGGCGATATGCATGAAATAGATATAAGAATAGGCGATATAGATGAAATATATATATGAATAGGCGATATAGATGAAATATCTATAAGAATAGGCGATATAGATGAAATATCTATAAGAATAGGCGATATAGATGAAATATCTATAAGAATAGGCGATATAGATGAAATATATATAAGAATAGGCGATATAGATTAAATATGAACAGAACTCATTTTATTGGTTATCACTGATAGTCGATATCAAGGGGCGAAGTTCCAGAAATTTAATAAATCTTATTCGAAGCGTATGGATAAATCCAACGTATTTATCATAAAATATACTATGATTAGTTTGACCGACTTGATGACGAAACATGTTATCTCACCACAGTTATCTTCAAAACATGTTATCTCACCACAGTTATCTTCATCAGACTTGTGGCCTGGTGAGGCGGCGCAGTCTTCATAGCCATCACAGCGCCAGTGGACGGGGATACAGTGGCCGTCCCCGCACCTGCTTAGTTAATTAGCTAATAATAGTTGATAAATGAAAATATAATTACTTTTTTCCTGCATAGTTAACTAATTAATAGAGTTAATTAATTAATAGTTAATTCAGTGATAGATAATAGTTAATAAATGAACATATAATGAGGTTTTACCTCATAGTTAATTAAGAGATAGACAATAGTTGATAAATGAAAATATTATTATTTTTTTCCTACATAGTTAATTCAGTGATGGATAATAGCTAATAAATTAAAATATAATTAGGTTTTTCCTACACAGTTAACTAATTAATAGATGATAGTTAATAAATAAAAAAATAATTACTTTCTTTCCTGCATAGTTAATTCGTTAATAGACAATAGCTACTAAATGAAAGAATAATCAATTTGTTTATTCCAGCTTGTGTAGTCAATAACTGAAAATATAAATAATTTCATTTCAACTTGTGACATAAATTAAACTATATTATTAAAGGCTTGTGACATTTCGGGCTTCGAAAATGAAGCAGAAGCTGAGCTAGCTAAGGAGTAGAGCAACAATTTAATGTACCAAATCGCAATGTTGCTAACGTCAACTGGGGTGACTTCGGCCGCCGGGGTGACTTCGGCCGCCGGGGTGACTTCGGCCGCCGGGGTGACTTCGGCCGCCGGGGTGACCTCGGCCCCGTTTTCAATTTTGTTTTGCAAACAAAAGCGGGGTCATAAACGATGGCCAAAGTCACTCCGGCACTTATGACCTCGTTTACGACCCTGGCGTTTATGACCCTGGCGTTTATGACCCTGGCGTTTATGACCCTGGCGTTTATGACCCTGGCGTTTATGACCCTGGCTCGTATTAGTAAATTACGAATTCGTAAAAATGCGTATTAGTAAATTACGAATTCGTAAAAATGCGTACTAGTACTATGTCCGTTCTATGCAAGAGCTGCGGGTGAGAAAGTGTGAAGCTATTTGAACAATGTGACCCACTTATTTTTCTGACAGTAGGACAGAAGTTAATAATGGCAATATAACTTCCAGAATAATGAATAGTGGCAACAATATACATTTAAGGGGATGAATTGCAACGTAAGCAATACGAGTCACGTATGGGCAATGTATAACATACGTATAACAGCTACATGTAACAGCCCCATGTAACAGCCACATATAACGTATTACAGCTACATGTAACAGCCACATATAACGTATAACAGCTACATGTAACAGCCACATGTAACCTCCGATTCACATGATTGACAAGTCAGGTTCTTACGCTAGATCTTAGGTCGAACACAAGAATTGATTCGCATGCAAAACGTTACACTAGTAAGCTACATTAGTTACACTAGTTACACTAGCCTGTTACACTAGTAAGCTACACTAGCAAGTTACACAAGTTACAATAACGTTACATTATCAAGTTACACTAGCGTTACACTAGTTACACTGACGTTACATTAGCAAGTTACACTAGCGTTACACTAGTTACACTGACGTCACACTAGCGTTACACTAGCGTTACACTAGTTACACTGACGTTACATTAGCAAGTTACACTAGCCTTACACTAGCGTTACACTAGCGTTACACTGACGTTACATTAGCAAGTTACACTAGCGTTACACTAGTTACACTGACGTTACACTAGTTACACTGACGTTACACTAGCGTTACACTAGCGTTACACTGACGTTACATTAGCAAGTTACACTAACGTTACACTAGCGAATTATATATACTAGCATTACACTAGTTACACTAACGTTACACTAGCAAGTTACACAGTCTGACCTGAACTCCATGTCATTGCAGGTGCACTGGTCGCTGGTCTCGTCAGAACCATCACCACAATCATCATCACCATCACACACCCAGTGGTGCTCTATACAGCGGTTGTTGCTGCACTCAAACTGCCCGCCGCTGCACTCCGCAACCTCTGCGCAACATTCAACATGAATTGTAGATCGCAGTACTAAAATGATCTGCGCAACATTCAACATGAATCTTACCTCGCAGTACTAAAAAAATAAAGAGTGCAAAGTGACATGATACCATAATATGCGTGCAGATACTGAATAATGCTAATATTAATAATTCACATGATACTTTTATGAATTTTTAAACTGGGTATTGAAAAATACATTATATATTTTGATATCAATATTTAAATTATATTTTAATTTTTTGTAATTAAAATTCATACACACCGAAGCAAATGAAACACGATAGCTTTCACTTCCTCGCCCTGTTCTCGCTAGAAAGAATCATTTTATTACATTTTAATAAATAAATATAAATAATAATAAAAAATAATTTTATTCTTGCATGTCGTCTAAAAAAAGAACGCACCACAGACGCCACCAGACGACGCGTCCTCGTCGCTGTGGTCGCTGCAATCGTTATCGCCGTCGCACAGAAAACGTCGGTCAATGCAGCGCAGGTCTCGCACGCACTCAAACTGCTCCTTGTCGCAGTGAGAAGGCTGCAATGTAAGCAATATGCATCAGTTTATGTACATTCTGTAGTTTTAATGTCTAAAAAGTTGAACAAGTTCCCGGGACTCCGTTAAGTAGCATGCCTATGGAGTTCTATGCCATTTTCGCTCATAAGCACAAACGTCGGTCAATGCAGCGCAGGTCTCGCACGCACTCAAACTGCTCCTTGTCGCAGTGAGAAAGCTGTAACCCAAGCAATAAGCGTCAGTTTATGTAGTTTTAATGTACAAGGAGTTGCACAAGTTCCCGGGACTCCGTTAAGTAGCATGCCTATGGTGCAATGTAAGCAATACGCATCAGTTTTCTGTAAATTCGTCTGTAAATTCCATAGTTTTAATGTCTAATGAGTTGCACAAGTTCCCGGGAGTCCGTTAAGTAGCATGCCTATGGTGCAATGTAAGCAATACGCATCAGTTTTCTGTAAATTCTGTAAATTCGTCTGCAAATTCTGTAGTTTCAATGTCTAATTCGTCTGTAAATTCCATAGTTTTAATGTCTAATGAGTTGAACAAGTTCCCGGGACTCCGTTACGTAGCATGGCTATAGAGTTCTTTGAACATTTTCGCTTATAATCACAGAAAGCATCACCAGAATAAACAAGAATCTTTAATCTTTCACGCCCTCTTGCAAATCACAATCCATTGTGCTCACTCTAGCTATTGCATTAGTGTACAGGTAAAAATAAGTTGGGGACTCGATAAACAATAAATAAATCATAATGCAGAATTCAGTTCATGCAAAGTGGTCATGTTGTTTGGAGTTTTAAAAGTTAAATAAAGTCTACGTTACATCGGTCATAAATTATTATGAGGCTTCAGGGCGGCAATGTTATTACTCATGCTTAGATAAAGAAAAATATCAAATTCATGAGGAAAACGAAAATTGGGAACATTCAATTCATCGAAAAATTCTAATGAAAACCACACGACTTTAATTAATAAGACAAAATTTTGTTTTGCAGGCTAAGTGATCAGATTGTTTGGAGCTTTTATAAGTTGAATGAAGTCTAAGTTTAGTTTGTAAAATATTTATGCTGCTTCAGGGCAGCAACGTTATTACTTATGCTTACATAATGAAAAATAACAAATTCACGAGGAAATCTGAAATTGGGAACGTTTAATTCATCGAAAAATTCCAATGGGAAACCACACTTTAATAAATAATATTTTGTTTTGTAGATTAACCGTACTCTAACAAACTGATTACACGTGCATAACAATAGAAAATAAATTAGTATAAATAATACTTAGTCTTTGGGATTAGCAACTTACCATGGAGAAATAGGCAAATTTCGACGCACATATGAAGAAAACAACAATACAAACAAAATAATATAAATGCTAAGTGTTTAGGAGCAGCAACTTACCATGGAGAAATTGGCAATTTCGACGCACATCTGAGGGAAGTGAGGGGAAGGTTCATAGCCCGTGTTACAGGCACATCTCTGGCCTTCCGGAGACGTCAGGCAGAGATGCAAGCAATTCAACTCGCTGCACTTAGACGTGCCTGGCGGCGAAAATGTTCATCAAATGTTTTTCTGTACATAACTAGCACGATGAATTGTTAATATATAATGCGTTTATTTTTACGTAACTTCTACGATAAATTGTTCATCAATAATGCCTTTATTTGTAACTTGCACGATGAATTGTTTATCAATAACGCGTTGAATGAATAGATCTTTCAACATTATTGTGGTTTCATTACAAATTCATCTCTGAACCAGTAGGCGTTCTCTTTAGGAAGCATGAAGATAAAAAAAATATCACACAAAAATATTATCACTTAGTGAAGCACTAAGAAAAAAATGGTATCAAGACAAAATAGTATCAAGACAAAAATAGTATCACTTAGCACTAAAAGAAAAATATCACTAAGAAGAAAAATAGTATCAAGACGACTAGTATCACTTAGCACTAGAAGAAAAAAATCACTAAGAAAAAATAGTATCACTTAGCACTAAAAAAGATATCACTAAGAAAAACTATTATCAAGAAGACTTGCAACACGCACCCTGCTGCAGGTCGGCACTGTAAACCTTCACATCAAACAAGCTTGGATGTTCTTCCTGCAACGTCATCACCAGCTCTCTGTAGCGGCGACTCAGCTCTTCATTAAGCCACGCCTTCTGATTATCAGAAACTTCGCTTTTGGTGGTCATCGTAACGTGAGACTTGGATGCACGGTTCTTGGCTTGCTTCAGCAGAATGTTAACAGCATTTGTAGGGTTTGGTTGAAAGCTGCCACCACTGCCACCACCACCGCCGCCACCACTGCCACCGCCACCGCCGCCACCGCCACCGCCACCGTGCGTATCGCCACCAAGTTTAACAATTTCTGCGACGGCTTTAATGGTGTCTTCACTCGTGCTCATGCGATGTACGCTGCCCTTCTGGAAGTCTGTCCAGTAGATGTGGTTGCGGTGGTAGCTAAGGCCATAGAAGTGCGCATCTGGCTTGTGTAGAACAACCTTGAGACAAGCAGTAACAACAAATCAATTTCAATATATACATTACAATAAATATATCAGTACATGAAGCTTAATCGTTAACACACTAACCAATTATTATGAAGTATGAGAATACTCATTTGTATTTATACTAAAAATAAGAGTTATCACGTAAAATCTTAAGTTAACACTGCAAAGAAACGTTTGCGATTTACAATATCAAGTCCAAACAGATATAACCATAATCAGAATTATTGCAAAAAAATTAATTTCTAACACTTATAACTTGAATACAATGTCTGTATCAATAGGAAAATCAGCGGTGGAAACGTAGGCTCAAAGTTTAACCCAAGCACAAGTTTCAAATACCAAATACCTTTCTTTTTAGCTCTCATTAGTCAATAACACCTGCCAGTCAATAGTACCTGACAGTCAATAATACCTGACAGTCAATAATAACTGATAATCAACAATACAGGAATTACAGCCGCTGACAGTCAATAATACAGGATTTGCAGCCATTGACAGTCAATAATACAGGATTATTATTATTATTATTATTATTCCACGAAGAGATTGTTCGTGGCGTCTCGTTCAGATCGAACTTCGAAGGCACGTTACAAGTGGCTAAAAAACACAAGATGATAAAAACAGATGACATCTATGCTAAAACAGAGGACATATGCCAAGACTGATGACGTCTATACTAGAACAAATAACACCTATGCTAAACCAGTAATATACAGGACCAGTAATACAGGATTTGCAGCCATTGACAGTCAATAATACAGGAATTCAGCCATTGACAGTCAATAATACGAGAATTACAGCCATTGACAGTCAATAATACGAGAATTACAGCCATTGGCAGTCAATAATACGAGAATTACAGCCATTGAAAGTCAATAATACGAGAATTACAGCCATTGACAGTCAATATTACGAGAATTACAGCCATTTACAGTCAATAATACGAGAATTACAGCCATTAACAGTCAATAATACGAGAATTACAGTCATTGACAGTCAATAATACGAGAATTACAGCCATTGACAGTCAATAATACGAGAATTACAGCCATTGACAGTCAATAATACGAGAATTACAGCCATTGACAGTCAATAATACGAGAATTATAGCCATTAACAGTCAATAATACGATAATTATAGCCATTAACAGTCAATAATACGAGAATTACAGCCACTGACAGTCAATAATACGAGAATTATAGCCATTGACAGTCAATAATACGAGAATTATAGCCATTAACAGTCAATAATACGATAATTATAGCCACTGACAGTCATAAACACCTGTCTGCCAGAGCCGGAGAGGTCAATCCTCTCAATTGTGTTGGTGTATCCGTCGCACCAGTAGAGCTGCTGGCGCTCCAAGTCCAGGGAGAGGCCGTTGGGCCACACCAGCCCGTCTCGTACAAGAACAGACCGATGTTCTCCCGTCATCCACGCTACTTCTATCTTCGCTTCCTGTCACACAGAGAAAAAAATTTAGCTCATAGAAATACAATTTGGCCATAAAATGAAAATAGTATTAAGTACAATAAAAATAGTATTGAGTAAATGTGTCATTAGTATAAAATTTCAGGGTTATGAGTGTCAAAAAAATAATCATAATGGCATCAAACTTTTGAAAGCTGATTAATTATGCACATAATATGTCTTGATACTTTTAGTAGAATTGATTTAATTTAGCGTGCGTTGCAGTTTATACAACTGAAATGTGAAGAAATTATTCTCAGTGAAAAAAAGTTATTAATTTAATTGATGCGAGCGTTCAGAAGGAAGCAAAAAAGCATGAAAGGAGTTTCTAGAAGAGTTCTCAATGTGTTTAGAATTAACTTTCTCAGAGTAACTACGGAGCATTTTCGAAGCGGATGCTTAATGTTTCAAGGCAACCAGACTGCAGCCATGCAGTTCTTCAGTAAATACTATCAGTCACACACCAAGCATCTTTGTGATATACAATGTCGCAGGATAAGTGTTTCAAATGTACCTGCTGTGCATTCCCGATTTATTTGTGCGTTCAAAACGTGGCCGCTAAATGTTAATGATGCAGCAGCCACGTGTTCCTCGCTGCCACGGGTCTACCAAGACCCAGCACCTCCCCCAGCACCTGCAAGACCCAGGACCTCCCCCAGCACCTTTGCCCCAGCACCTGCAAGACCCAGGACCTGCCCCAGCACCTGCAAGACCCAGGACCTGCCCCAGCACCTGCAAGACCCAGGACCTGCTCCAGCACCTGCAAGACCCAGCTCCTCCCCCAGCACCTGCTTGGCGTCGGAGTTGAGCTTCCAGACGGTCCAGTACATGAGGCCGGCGTCGGGGTTGAGTGCGATGGCGCGCGGGTTGGTCAAGTTCTCGTGCACGAGGAGACGGCGCTTCGAGCTGTCGTCCAGCTTGCATACGAAAATACAAGAACGACCCTGCCAAATAATGAAGCTAATTGTAATTTAATGTCAAAATATTGAACAATATCAGTTAGAAAACAATTATTGATTAAACACAAGTAAACGATCGCTCAACATATATCTGAGCTCCAAAAGACATAACAAAAAGCTAACTGGATTAGAAACAATGTTCAAGCTTAGCTATTATCATTATTTAGCTAATATGATGAATGCTCCAGAACAAATCACCTGCCAACTAATTTAAATTCTAATTTTACAAGGTGCTACATAGCCATCGAAATTAATATACAAAACGATGGTCAATAAGATAGAAGCCTAACCTCGTCGGTCCAGTAAAGGTTCTCAGCCAGCCAGTCGACAGCGAGTCCCTCGACGTTGATAAGCCCGTCACTGACGACGGGGACGTGCATCGACCCGTCCACCTTACGTCGGTCAATTCTCTGTCTGATGAACATAATTATTATTGACAACACGATGCAGGGTATGCTGTGGCAATATAAGGGAGTGATAAACCTAAGAAGTTAGGACTTGAAAAAAATCAACTAACTACGGACGAGGGTAACTCATAAAATAACAATACTTTAAAAACAGTCATAACCAAATCCGTTAGTGATGAGTAAATTAGTATTAAAGACGTTACAATTTGCCAATAAGCAAGCAATATGGTTTTTGAAGCAGGAAAATGAGAAATTACAAGAAAGCACAAAATAAGAAATTGGAAGCTCTGATAATAAAGTCCACTAGGCAGCATAAAATAAGGTATTTGAAACAGTAACTTGAGAGTTTACAAGAAGATAACTACTAAAAATAAGCTACCTTTGTAAGGTATTTGAAACAGTAACTTGGAAGTTTACAAGAAGAGAACTACTAAAATAAGCTACATTTGTAAGGTATTTGAAACAGTAGTTTGAGAGTTTACAAGAGAACTACGAAAAATAACCTACCTCTGCACGTCCGAGTAGAAGATGAAGCCTGTGCGTGAGTTGAAGTCGACGGCGGAGGGCCGGACGAGGCCGGTGATGGGCAGGATAACTTGCTTGCCGTGCGTCTCATCCAGCGGAACACCTTTGATGAAGCCAGGCCTCTCCATCACGTACAGCAAGAACTCCTCCGGTATCTGTTCTGCAGCGTCGGAACAACACCGTCAATATTTATGTTCTGCAGCGCCAGAACAACACCGTCAATATTTATGTTCTGCAGCGCCAGAACAACACCGTCAATATTTATGTTCTGCAGCGCCGGAACAACACCGTCAATATTTATGTTCTGCAGCGTCGGAACAACACCGTCAATATTTATGTTCTGCAGCGCCAGAACAACATCGTCAGTATTTACCAACACTTCCAATTGTTTGGAACATTTACGAATTTATAACCGCTGTATTCAACAACAATTACAGGCATATTCTTTAGAAAATTGTTAGTAAGTGTAAGGATTCAGCTCATCTAACATGACTTTAATATAGTATAGTCATAGCAGGTATATAGAACATTTCCACTGATTATTATAATAAATGAATGAGGCAAGTATAATGAATTTAATACAGTATAGTCATAGCGGGTATATATAAGATTTCCATTGATTTTCCTAATAAATGATTGAGGCGAGGCAGCGTGAGATGAGTTTAATATAGTATAGTCATACTGAATAACCGGTATATAAAGGATTTCTATTGATTTTAATAATAAAGTAATAAGACGAGACAGCGTGAACTGACCAACACAGACGCCAGCGTGCAGGACCAACAATTAGAGGCAAGTTCTTAAGAAAATTGTTAGTAAGCCCAGTTATCATGAGTTTAATATAGTATAGTCATAATAAATATATAGAAGATTTCCATTGATTATCCTAATAAAGTAATGAGACGAGACAGCGTGAACTGACCAACACAGACGCCAGCGTGCAGGACGTGGCCAGGCTGACAGAGGCAGGAGGCGTACGCCTCGCCGCTGCCTCGGTACATCACCACGCACAACTCGTCGCAGCCTCCGTTGTTTACGCCGCACGGGTGATCAACTGTTGCCATTATTATTATTATTTATTATTTATAATATTATTATTTATTATTGTTATTATTAATTATTATTAATATTATTATTTATTATTATTATTAATATTATTATTATTAATTATTATTATTCATTATTAATGTAATTTAGTATCAATAATATTATTTATTATCAATCGAACTAGACATGAATATATCAGATGTTTTAGCTTCATTGCACACGGCAATACAGTGCAACATGCAGTAGTTGTCCGTGCACCGCCAGTGAAAATTCCTAATATCAGACAATAAATTATGTTTCATTTTTAGTGCATTCAAGATTAGATTTAGCGTACATCTATTTGATTTTATACATCTATTCAAAATAGATTTTTATAACGCCGGGCGTAATGCTCTTCGAATAATATACTTAGGCCTAACTGAAGTAACCACACTTTACAATATTTATATCTTATTGCAGCCTTGAACGCTCTGAAAATTTAAAGGTTTCTTTTACAGATCAATGAGTATGGTACAGGAATTTGAGTGATCAAGTCCTTTATAAGACTTTTACACTTAACTAAATATACATGTTCGAGAAGGCGCGCTAAACCATATCGCTGCTTGATTGTGCACGTGTCAGAAGGCGCGCTACAAAACATACATATTTTGTATGTATGTATACATATTTGTATTGTATGTATACATGCGCGCCTACAATACATATGTATGTGTACATATTTTGTATGTATGCGCGCTACATACAAAACATACATTGGGGAAAATAAGTATTTAGTCTGTCACCAATTGTGCAAGTTCTCCCATTTAAAGAGATGTGAGAAGCCTGTAATTGACATCTTAGGTACGGTAGACTTCAACTATGAGAGACAAAATGTGAACAAAAATTTGAGAAAATCATATTGTCGGACTTTTAAAGATGTTATTTGCAAATAATGGTGGAAAATAAGTATTTGGTCAATAAAAAAAGATCATATCAATACTTTATCGAATATCATTTGTTGGCAATGACAGAGGTCAAACGTTTTCTGTGTCTTCACAAGGTTGGTGCACACTGTTGCTGGCCTGTTGGCCCATTCCTCCATGCAGATCTCGTCTAGGGCAGTGATGTTTTGGGGCTGTCGGCCAAAGGTTTTTAATGGGGTTGAAATCGGGAGACTGGCTAGGTCACTCCAGGACTTTGAAATGTTTCTTACGAAGCCACTCGTTTGTTGCCCTGGCAGTGTGCTTGGGATCATTTCGTGCTGATGAACCCAGCCACGTTTCATCTCCATTGCCCTTGCCGTTGGAAGGAGGTTTACACCCAAAATCTCAATATTCATGACCCCATTCATTCTTTCATGTACACGGACCAGCCGTCCTGGTCCCTTTGCAGAAAAACAGCCCAAAAGCAAGATGTTGCCACCCCCATGCTTTACAGTTGGTATGATGTTCTTTGGATGAAACTCCGCACTCACTTCCCTCCAAACACGACGAGTTGTGTTTTTACCATATAGTCCTACTTTGGTTTCATCTGACCATATGACATTCACCCAATACTCTTCTGGAACATCCAAATGCTCTCTAGCAAACTTGAGACGTGCCTGGATATGGACTGGCTGAAGCATGGGGACACGTCTACGGTCTAGCACTGTAAGATCTCAGGTCCTGGCATCGTAGTGTGTTGCTGATGGTAGCCTTTGTAACGATGATCGCAGCTTTCAGCAGGTAATTCACTCGATCCCCCTTGTGGTTCTGGGATTTTTCCTCGCCGTTATTGTGATCGTTTTGACCCCACGGGCTGAGATCTTGTGGGGAGCTCCAGATCGAGGGAGATTAGTAGTGGTCTTGTAGGTCTTCCATTTTCTAATTATTGCTCCCACAGAAGATTTCTTCACACCAAGCTGCTTGCCTCTTGCGGATTCAGTCTTCCCAGCCTGGTGCAGGTCTATAATTCGGTTTCTGATGTCCTACAACAGCTCCTTCGTCTTCACCATAGTGGAGTTTCGTTTCGTCTTCACCATACAGGAGTTTCGAGTGTGACTGTTAGAGGTCGTGGGCAGGTGTCTTTTATACAGTTAACGACTTCAAACAGGTTCCATTAATACAGTTAATGAATGGGGGATAGTGAAGTCTCTTGAAAAAAGAAGTTACAGGTCTGTGACGGCTAGAAATCTTGATTGTTTGTAGGTGACCAAATACTTATTTTCCACCATCATTTGCAAATAACATCTTTGGGTGCGACAAATGATTTTCTCAAATTTTTTTTCACAATTTGTCTCTCATAATTGAGATCTACCTATGATGTCAATTGCAGGCCTCTCTCATCATTTTAAGTAGGAGAACTTCCACAATTTGTGACTGACTAAATACTTATTTTCCCCACTGTATCGCTGTTTGATTGGACACGCGTCAGAAGGCGCGCTACGAAACATATCGAGTTTATTTTCATCACAGCTGACCGTGATATCACCGATAATTTTCATCACATCTGACCATGATATCATCGGTAATTTTCATCACAGCGTACCATGAGGTTGGCGCTGGCGATGCACGACAGTGATGACGTTGCTGGACTCGAGGTCTGTCTTCATGGGCACAGGGCGGCGGTGGCCGTCCAAGTCTACGCTCTTAAGGCCGCCGTTGTTCTGCTCGCTCAGCACGTACAACGTGCGCTCGAACATCGTCAGCCAGTGCGGCCTGTCGTCCTGCAATGCAAACGTTTCTTGTAAATTATTTTGTAACTGTGAGGTATGAACGCTGTAACTGTGAGGCATGAACGCTGTAACTGTGAGGCATGAACGCTGTAACTGTGAGGCATGAACGCTGTAACCGTGATTACTGGTATGTCGTGAGCCAGTGCGGCCTGTCATCCTGCAATACAAAAGTTAGTTCGATCAAGAATAATGAAGTAGGTATAGAAGGAAAACAAAACGGAACTTTTAATCATCAATATGGTAATTAGACTATTAGCTAGTAATGATCATGATTGAAGCACAAGAAGCGTAATGAAGACTCAACGGCTTTGTGTCTTCATTACTTCATTGATCCCACATTGATCATGTGGGATCACAATAGCGGAATTGATGCCAGGAATGAACCCAACAGAAAAAAATTTAGCTCAGTACTCACTGCAGTGAGAGACAGAGAGCGAATTTTCTCGTCGACGAAAACGTGAAGTCACGGACGGACATGACGAGCGCAGTAGGGCCTTTTTTCCATAAATGAGAAAATGCGCTAAAAAGTAACTATAATTACTAAATGTGTAGACTATTAAGATGATACGCATAAGGTTTATAAGGACGCTGCTATAACATGAATACCTTCATGAAGGTTGTGATTGTCTTGCGGTGTTCACCGTCGTAGTCAACCCTGGCGAGGTGACCGAGGTAGAAGTCCACCCAATACAGCTGCTTCTTAGCGTAGTCCAGCGTGATGCCTGATGTCAAGTTATAATATTATAGTTTCTATGGATGAAAGATTAGGTGATTGACGGTTATATTAACGTTTGATCAGAACAAATACAAGCTTGCACGAATCACTTGCATTGCATGCGTCGCGCAGGATTAATACATTTGTGAGTTAATCAAAACAGTTAATCGGCCATAATGTTCCCGAACGTTTCTCTTTGGCTTCGTGATTAAAATAAATGTATGTCTTCCTACTGGTAGAATTTTCGAAATTTTAGCTGGAAATCCCTGCTCTAGAGATGCCAATTGCCTCATGTAAGTATTAATTCTCCAGGGATGGAAATTAGTGAGCTCATAAGACGTAATTGCAGTTATTTTAATAGGTTTAATAGGTATATATGATAATAGTATTAATAGTTAAATAAAATTAAGGATGACGTCTGAACTTGAGAAATCTTCTCCAGGAATTAATTTAGCATGACACACGTTGGAGAATTGATCAATCATCATCTCGCTTAACCCTCTACCGCCTGACATGAGTAACCGGAGCAATATTGTCACGCGCCTACTTCCCAAAAAGGATACGTTCTAGTGAGCGCAAAATGACTTGCACTGATGGTTGCAGCCACGTACGACAACTTTAAAATGTTCTCTGTTGCGTACAAACGTCCACAGGTTGCTACACTCAATAGTTTACGTATAATTTAAGTTGAAAGTTATGTGCACGGAGAGTGACATACGGCGGTAGAGGGTTAAAGCCCTAACACATTTTCCTGACGAGTTACTCACCCGACGGGTAGACGAGCTTCTTGGTAACAATTTCTGTACGATTTGATCCATCCAAGAACGTGCGCTCAATTTTAGGAGGCAGCGTACCGTAGCCGCTGAAGAACAGGAACCTGTGAATACAAAATTTATTAATTAACTCCAATATATACTGCAGGGCTTCATTAAAGTTATCTGGTGCAGTCTGTGAACGGCGGTCAACATCGCATCTGAGCGGTCTTCGTTCAGACTAACTTTTTTGTAGAGAATTATTGCCTGAATTTTTATTGAAAGCTGAATGCGTTGATTTGCCAGTTCAAATACAGTACAGAAAATCGTAGATGCATCGCCCGGATTTCATGTGGTCCCAGTGAAAATTATTATCGACATTACTGAAATATGCATCGATAATCAATATCCCCATTCATCATCCGTCAATACATAGAAAAATGTCCTAATCGGTATCCTTATCTATCATTCTTCAAAAGAAAATCAAAGACAGGAATGGCTCTAACCCTTGGGCAGGATCGACAGCGATGCTCTGGGGCTTGTTGACGAAGCTGTCGACGATGGTAACGCACGTGGAGAGCGAGGACGTGCATACGAAGATAAACTCTCGTCGGTCCAAGACATACCAGTTGCCGGTCACCCACTCCACGGCTATTTGCTTCGCGTCTGTCGGGCCACAAACAACGAAAGAGAGACATAAGAAATTAATCTTCATGGCTAGAGGATTATTGGGGCAGGGATTTATTGGTAAAAATACACAAGAAATTAATCTACATTGCTATGGGATTATTGGGGCAGAGATTTATTAGTCAGAAGGCGCAAGAAATTAGTCTCCATGACTACAGGATTATTGGCAACAATGAATGATTCATAGTCGTAGTCTGGAGATTCCAAAGAGAATTGAAATTTGAAGAAAATCTGATCAACGAGAGAGTTAATGGCATCTTGTAACAGGGAGCTGGTCTTCAAAAGACACAAGAAATTAATCTCCATGACTAGAGGATTATTGGGGCAAAGATTTATTAGTCAGAAGACACAAGAAATTAATCTTCATGGCTACAGGATTATTGGGGCAGGGATTTGTTAGTCAGAAGACACAAGAAATTAATCTACATTGCTATAGGATTATTGGGACAGGGATTTGTTATCCAAATGATACAAGAAAGTAATCTCCATGGCTATAGGATTATTGGGGCAGAGATTTATTAGTCAGAAGACACCTAAACATTAATTGACATGGCTACTAGATTATTGGCAACAATCAGTGACTAATAGTCGTAGTTTGGAGATTCCAAAGAGAATTATGACAGTTGAAGAAAATCAAATATTGTCAACGATTGACAATATTACGTTTTAATCTAACTGTTAATAGTAAATTTTAGTACCCCGTATGTAGTGATTTATTATAGATATCAAAATTGTCAGCTTTCAAATCCTAGATGTTACGAAAAAAATTATAGTGTAATTTCTTGTTAGCCGCGTGCATAAGCTACAGCATAGAGAACTAATAGCAGCATAGAGAACTAATAGCAGCATAGAGAACTAATTGCAGCATAGAGAACTAATTGCAGCATAGAGAACTAATTGCAGCATANAATAAAATAAATATTAAAGAGACGCTCGCAGCTCACAGTCGAGCTGGTAGTGCGGTGGATGGCCGAGCTTCCAGTGACGCTCCAGGTTGTCGAGATGAGCGCACTCCATCACCGCCAGGTCCAGTCCAGGGTTCACCCAGCACACTGATGGAAACGACACACGCTCAAATAATTTACAGATTACATTACAAAATTGCATTGATAGCATCGCAATGCAATTTTTATAAAATACTAAAATTGCATTGATAGCAGAGCAATGCAATTTTTATAAAATACTAAAATTGCATTGATGGCAGCGCAGCGACCGCCGTGCAGCGTATGGGGCGAGACCGACCGTTGACGGCAACGCCGATAACTTTAAAAGGTTATAACAAAATCGACGAAGCATTATACTGTTTGACATAATTCCTCAATATTAAATAATTTTTTCGCTTCTTCTTAGTTAGCACGGACTTGCAGAGCTACAAGACGACCGAAGTCGAATCACGAAACAAAAATAAAATTCAAGCATAAAATGTCATTTTTAGATTTATTGTGCTCTGTGCACTAAGGTAAGCCGTGAATAATTTGTAACTGGAATGAAAGGAAGCAACGTCTAGAATAAGATCAGTTTACTGCTCACCTGTTCTGTTGCTGTAGACGTAGTCAAGGGTTGACACGGCGACGCGCTTGCTGAGCGAGTGGCCGAAGACACCAGAGCCGTTGAGGTAGAGTTCCTCCAGAGCCGTGGCGCTGCCATACAACAGCAGCGCCGGTGCACCTTCAGGCTCTGCAAGGCGCATGCCATATGCCAGGGGCTCAAGAGTAGGGTTTTGATATGCAAATGCTAGGGGCTCAAGTGTAGGGGTTTTGATATGCAAATGCTAGGGGCTCAAGTGTAGGGTTTTTGATACGCAAATGGCAGGAGATCAAGTGGAGGGTTTTGATATGCAAATGCCAGGGGCTCAAGTGTAGGGTTTTGATATGCAAATGTCACGAGCTCAAGTATAGGGTTTTTGATATCGAAATGGCAAGAGCTCAAATATATATAAGGGCTTCGAAAATTTTCGCTTGCTGTTAACAAATACTTGAAACGGTGTAGCAATTGGTTAAGTTAGAAGATTCGTGAAATTCAGTTCAATGGATAAGAAAGTATTTTGGTGAAAACAATTATAGCTGTAAAGCAAATTTGCACTTTTAAACTCCCTACTATAAATGCTTCTTCTTTCAATTCGATGAGTTTAATTTCTAACAACCAAAAATGAAATGTTAATTTTAGAACCTTATCGAAAGTGGTATCAATAGATAATAGACATTTTTTGTAACAGTAATCATTATTCGCTGAAGTTAGTAAACACTCAATATCTTTTAACCTGAACAGTAAATAAAGATCAAAAATTACATCCATAACGTAGAACCTGAAAAAGCGCTGTCCAAAATCACCAAAGAGACACGAACAAAGAGACAACTAGACGTGTTCCTGAGCACAATCTCAGATCAACCTCCCCTGCAATAACACTACCAGCGGCGAGAAGCAAGCAACAGCATCGTGCATCAGGTGGCCCAAATGAGGGCGGATGAACGATAACCAAAGGCGGCGATCCATCGTGGCCTGGGACTGGGACAGTACGCCCCAAACAAATACTAAGGATACTAAGGAACTTCAAGCCGCAGTGGGCTAACGACGCTTGTAAGTCAAATTCTCTCGAGCAACGGAAGCAATTCATGCAAAATTGCCTAGCATATGCGGCCTACAGACTGACCGTTGACGGCAGCGCAGCAGCCGCCGCGTAGCCTCTAGGGCGAGACTGACCGTTGACGGCAGCGCAGCAGCCGCTGCGCAGCCTCTGGGGCGAGACTGACCGTTGACGGCAGCGCAGCAGCCGCTGCACAGCCTCTGGGGCGAGACTGACCGTTGACGGCAGCGCAGCAGCCGCTGCGCAGCCTCTGGGGCGAGACTGACCGTTGACGGCAGCGCAGCGGCCGCCGCGCAGCCTCTGGGGCGAGACTGACCGTTGACGGCAGCGCAGCGGCCGCCGCGCAGCCTCTGGGGCGAGACTGACCGTTGACGGCAGCGCAGCGGCCGCCGCGCAGCCTCTGGGGCGAGACTGACCGTTGACGGCAGCGCAGCGGCGGCCCTCGAGGAGCGTGTAGCCGGGTACGCAGGAGCAGCGGTGGTGGGCGTCGTGGACGCTGCAGAGCTGGTCGCACGTACCCTCCACCTCACACATGTTCATCGCTGCACAGAGAACGCAAGTCGTGGAGATGAGGGATGGTTGCCAGGAAACTTATAGCTTGATATATAAGAGGAAGCATTACGTTTAATAATATTTAATTCACAGTAATTTCAAACATTGACAAATAAGAGGAAGTATTAAGCTTAATGATATTTAATTCACAGTAATTTCAAACAAACTTATAACTTGACAAATAAGAGGAAGCATTAAGCTTAATGAAGTTTAATTTACAGTAATTTCAAACAATTTGGCAAATAAAAACGAATATTTTGGAATAATTTACAGTTACACCGTGCTGATAGTTTCAAAAATACTTCAGACATAATTTATTTTATTTTGTATGCACAACATCTAAAGAAGAAACAATGAATTACAAAGACGCATTTTGACGCTTCCAGAAAACTTTAGCATCAGCAAACGACAAACACGATTGGCCTAAAAAAACATTTTTTCATCTGAAAATAAATCAGACCTTCGCAGGCGTCGCCCACGGGCTTCTGGCCGTAGGGGCAGTAGCACTGGCCTCCTGAAGGTGTTGACGTGCAGTTGTGGTGGCAGTGCATCGCTGAACAGGGTTTCAAGTCTGCACAAAACAGGGTTTTAGATCTGAAGAAAACATGCATTGTCATTGAAGGGCTTTTTTCCAGTTTTAGACCAACACAGTCTAAGAAACTAATCTTAAGATACCATTGTCATCCCTTGTTGTAAAGCTTTGTGGTGTACAAATGATAATAACAGACATGATATTGAAAGAAAGAAGGCATGAATTTACCAATCAGATGTGTTACCGTATGAACGAGCAGCTCATACTGGTTGACAATGATTGTAGAGTTAAGTTGGCACATTGCATTTATTGGGATAATTTTTCACTTCATCACCACAAATAAATTTGAGCCTAAAGAGCCATATTTGAATTTATTTCTCCATATTAGCCAATTAAGATCGGGTAAATCCAATCCAAAAGTTAGATAGGCTCAGAATTGATGGTTAGTTAAGAGAATGTCAATAGATGATCAAAATTCAAATATTTATAAATGCTTGCATCCTCATAAATTACACCTAAAACGTGCAGCGTGTCATGCCATTCATACTTAATTATTGAAGTTATTTAGATGATATAGTGCTATAATAATGATAATTGGACATAACTTAATTATTCAGCCAGTCATAATATTTTTAATTAATTTTCATAATTTTTTGGATAATAACCATTTTTTTGGATAAGAGACAATTAAATTGTATACCTATTGTAATCAATATATAACAAATAGTCAAATAGTTAAAGATTATTTATAGCCTTATAAGAATTCGCTAAGCTGCTACCCTGTCAAAATTTACGCGCGGCTATCCTTCCGATTTCGGTTGCGACTCTCGGATTAGAGATGAATCAGATGCGAAATGGCCGCCTCTTCTATTTAGCCGCCAAATAGGAGCTATTTTGAGTAGTTTCGTGGAAAAAAATATAAGGGTCAAATGACACACGAAATCAGTGGCTGGTCAGGCCACCATNGTGTATAAGAGACAGCCCCAAGCTCGACGGGTAATTTCACAAGATTCCATTTCGGCGCTTATTTCGCTCCGGCAACCGGAACCTAAAGCGGACATAGAGCTTCTAATTTACACCGTAACAAGAATTTGGGGCGTCCTTGTGCCAGCGGCTGACAGGAATAAAAGTTTCGATAGGGTAGCTACATACAATGTATTAATTGCCCACTTGATGCCTCTGTAGTACCAAAAACATTCAATTTATTGGAATCTAATACACACTAAAGGTAACAAGTTTATATAACAATTGGTCATTCATAGTACATTTATACTAAACCATGAATAACAATACCTCAATATAAATTGAAAACTGCCACTCAATATATTTAAATATGTGAAAAAAATCAAAAAAATCTAAAAAATAAAAAAAATCATGATTTTTTTTATAAAAAAAATCAAGTGATTTAATCACATGATTTAATCATTTTGATTTAATCATTGCCAACCCTGTAAGAACGTAACCATAAAAGCTGTCCTACTATTGATAATAATTCATTAATATTAATAGAATAAAGTATGAATAAGATGCGCACTCGAGAGCCAGACTTACCACAGAAGGAGCCCTCGTCTGAGCCGTCCTGGCAGTCGGGGTGTGAGTTGCAGACGCTGCTCAGGGGCACGCAGGCGAGCAGGTCGTCGCAGTGGTACGTGTTAGCGGGACATGTGTTGTTAGTAGCACCTGCAGCACAATACAGGGGTATAAATATGGTGATTAGCGGGACACGTGTTGTTAGTAGCACCTGCAGCACAATACAGTAATAAATACGGTGAACAGCGCACCTGCAGCACAATACAGTGGTAAATACGGTGATAATTACGGTGAACAGCCACCTGCAGCACAATACCGTGATAAATACGGTGGTTAGCAGGACACGTGTTGTTAGTAGCACCTGCAGCACAATAAATACGGTAAACAGCGCACCTGCAGCACAATACAGTGATAAATACGGTGAACAGCGCACCTGCAGCACAATACAGTGATAAATACGGTGAACAGCGCACCTGCAGCACAACACAGCAATCAATGAGGAAAAAACTGCGACACAGTGTAAGAAAAACCATCTCAAGATGAAATTGTCATTTATTGCAGTGAATCTTCGTGAGATGTAAATTATACTCGCGGATACAATATATTGAAACAGAACAAAAAGAAATGTATGGATAAAAATACAAATCAACTAATGCAATCGTCATTTCCCTCTTTTATCGTAAATTGAGAGAATAAATCGTTACTGCCCGGGCTCATAGAGTGTAAAAACAATACTTTATACAGGAAAATTGTTGTTCATTCAAAATCATGCATAATTCACTTTACGTACAGCATGGCAATATAGCTGCTACGATACCTCAAGTTTGGAATAATAAAATAGTTCCCGTGCTTTCAATAGCGCTGCAGAAATGTTGAAATTATCTTGCGCCATAAGCCAGCCACAATGAACTCATGAGATTAAGGGTCTCTATATCATTGCACAATTATCAATATAAAATGCTTCATATAGGGTGGAAGGTATAGAAAGGAAAGAACGTTATAATCTAGAATATATAATCTAATATAATATAGAAAGGAAAGAACGTTAGGAAGGAATAACGTTATAATCTCAAGAAGACGAACGAAAAGGAAGGATGGAACGAAATAAAATGTGTTATATGAAAAACATCTTAACAACTTCATCTTTAATAAGAGAAAATAATCAGAGAGGCGTCGCGAATTAGAAGCGAACCATGCAAGAAATTATCAAGAAACGATTGAAAATGAACTGACAGACAGAAACTTAATATTTGTTTTTTTTTTTCGTGAATTGGCAAATGTGCCGCGAATTAGAAGCAAGTATATATAACACAAATCATCAAACAATTACCGAGCATGAAGTCTTCCCAGACTATTTATAATAAAAATTTCACATAAGACAGACAGATGTCATTATAAACAAGTATTTAAAATAAGAATTGAAGGTAATACTGACATGTATCACGATGCTCGTCGAAGAGGTCTTACAGAGTATGAAGTCTTACGTGACTATTTACAATAAGAATTTTACATAACTTATTACATATGACAGAGGGCATTATAAACAACTATTTGAAATAATAATTGAAGTTAATACTGACATGTGTCACGGTGCTCGTCGGAGAGGTCATACAGAGTATGAAGTCTTACAGACTATTTACAATAAAAATTTTACATAACTTAATTATTACATAAGACAGAGGGCATTATAAACAACTATTTGAAATAAGAATTGAAGGTAATACTGACATGTATCGCGATGCTCGTCGGACAGGTCTTACAGAGTATGAAGTCTTACACGACTATTTACAATAAGAATTTTACATAACTTACATAAGACAGAGAAATGTCATTATAAGCAAGTATTTAAAATAATAATAGAAGATAATACTGACATGTGTCGCGATGCTCGTCGGAGAGGTCATCTCTGCCACAGTCAGGCTGTCCGTCACACACCCAAGCCTGCGGGATACACTCGCCGCTTGTCGCGCACTTGAACGCGTCGGAGGAGCAAGTCTCCCTGCGAGCTGCACATGTACATGTTTACGCTTTTATTGTTAACAATAAGTTAGTACACATACATATTTCCGCTTTTATTGTTAAGCAAAAGTTAATAACAATTATCAGCAATTCAGCATAGTTATTACACTGCTGTTTACGATGATTATGAGGAAACCATGGAAAATTTATCAAATTCATCAATCTAAATTAAAATATTCTTAGAATGTAACGTTCTTTCACAAAGTCGTAAAAAAATTATGATACACCAGTGCTAGATATAGCATAGCTTTAAATTGAATGGTAAAATACGGAGGCTAATCTTAATTGATATTGCTTAAATACGAAGGCTAATCTTAATTGATATTAAAAATTGCTGCACGATAAAGCATGCATGTGACGTTCGGGTTCATGCGTTTAAAATAACATCATTAGTCCGGGTTCACACCAGACTGCCATGCAGGCATATGCCAGTCACGGTTCAGTCCAAAATTCTTTAATGAATTTCCATGGAAGAATCCACACCATGGGCATGGCAGGTGCCATACACGGCTGGTGTGAATGCTTTTATAGAAATGCATTAAAGAATGTTGACTGGCCCGTGCCCGGCAGTATGGTGTAAAACCAGCGTTATGGATGCGATTCAGCGTCCAACATAGAATCAACATACGTGTTACAACAATTAGCCCGGAGTTAATGAACCTATAATTACGTTCAAACGTTGTTCACAAGTGCACGTTATTTCATAGGCTATTTAAGAATCACAATAAAGAAAGGTTTTGAAAGGTTATGCAATGACCTGAACACGCAACGATCGGGTATAAATTATTGCATAAAAACCAGTCGAGGCAATGACAGGTGCAACGTTCCTACAGGTACTACGACTAACTGCCATGAACGGTGTCACCATCGATAGAATTTAGGCGGTCAGGTCATAAGGAGTAAATTCTATCAGGTCAATAGAATTGCGAGGTCGTGTCAACCAGCGTACCATCTACACATGAAGCTACAAGGTATAATATTACAATATATCAATAAATTTTATCAAATTCATCAATTCATCAATTTTATCAATACAATTTTATCAATATATATTTTATCAACTCTATCAGGTCACAGAATGAGAGGTCGTGTCAACCAGCGTACCATCTACACATGAAGCTACCAGGTATAAAATTACGATATATCAATTAACTTCAGATTTATAGACAACTGAGTTCAAAGGACTTTTTAATACTTCAATAGACAAATTTTTCACAACCAATAGATATAACATTGAAGTTAATTTCGAAATGCATTTACAGCAAGAACTAATCTGATATTTTGTTGGCATATGTAAAGAAGGCGTGTGAAATCATACAATTGTGAGACGTTTTGAAATAATTTTTTTTCCTGATTGAACTCATGTCTGCTTAAATTGCAAGCTCAATAAAATTTTGGAAGCGAAGAATACATCAGGGGAAATACACCTAATCACCATCACATAAAATCTCGAACTTTTTAAATGATAATGGAGCTGGTCTCTGAAACATTTCCGATGATGATAGGATGATTTTAATTGATGTTTTCTTTAATTTTAAATTAGTCCTAGTGACATGTGACGAGTTAAGTGTTGCCATACAACACAATGAAATGAAACAACCACTGCCCAGTGGCCACTATATAATGGCAAGTGAAATGTTCGTCAGATAAAACACAGATGGCACAGAAGTAATCACTGCCTACTAGCGGCAAGTGGAATGTTCGCCAGACGAAAAAAAATAACACAATAATACATAAGACATAGAAGAACATAAGAGACATAGAAGAACACATAAGACATAGAAGAACATCTAAGACATAGAAGAACATAAGAGACATAGAAGAACACATAAGACATAGAAGATCACATAAGACATAGAAGAACACTTGTGACATAGAAGAACACATGAGACATAGAAGAACACAAAAGACATAGAACACATGAGACATAGAAGAACACATGAGACATAGAAGAACACAAAAGACATAGAACACATGAGACATAGAAGAACACATGAGACATAGAAGAACACAAAAGACATAGAACACATGAGACATAGAAGAACACAAAAGACATAGAACACATAAGACATAGATGAACACATGAGACACAGATTAACACATGNACCGACACCGCAGTCCCTCTACACCATCGCTGCCCTCTGTAATGTACAGTTAATTGTTAGGGTTTTGTGGCTCACTTAATGAACCGACACCGCAGTCCCTCTACACCATCGCTGCCCTCTGTAATGTACAGTTAATTGTTAGGGTTTTGTGGCTCACTTAATGAACCGACACCGCAGTCCCTCTACACCATCGCTGCCCTCTGTAATGTACAGTTAATTGTTAGGGTTTTGTGGCTCACTTAATGAACCGACACCGCAGTCCCTCTACACCATCGCTGCCCTCTGTAATGTACAGTTAATTGTTAGGGTTTTGTGGCTCACTTAATGAACCGACACCGCAGTCCCTCTACACCATCGCTGCCCTCTGTGATGTACAGTTAATTGTTAAGTTTTTGTGGCTCACTTAATAAACTTCTAAAATAAGCTACAGAAATTGAGACATGAGGCAATCACTGCACGGCACGCAAACCTTGTGAGCTATATATGGAGATACGTCAAACGAAGCTTGAAATAAATTAATTAAATTGTTAGTGTTTTGTGGCTCATTTAATAAACTTCTAAAAATAACCTGCAGAAATAGATACATGAGCAATGTGTTAACTACGCGGTACGCAAACCTTGTGAGCTGGAGATTCGTCAAACGAAGCTTGAAATAAAATTGTTCATGCATTCGACACATTCATCAGGCATCAGCGTCACTTGAAATTATTTTAAAATGTCATACATAATTCAATTTTAATTTAATGATAATTAGTAAGACTCGGAATAAAAATATATTGATACATTGCAAAATGAGAATTATAAGGACAAGATTTTATACATAGAGAACTTTGCGAGTCACTGGAGACATGAGCAACGAAGCTTTCAATGAAAACCAATGCACATTTGCTAAATAGAAACCTGCTGGACTACACTCCCGCTTTCTAAAAACTAGTCCACAAAATCCTGTTTCACGTCCGAAAACAACAGATGACTTATTCGAGTACATGCCTAGTATCTTTCTGATTATTCTTCGATAAACGAGTTAATTAACTGGGATCAGCAAAAAGTTTCGTAAAACTGTGCACACGACCTGCAACCAATTGAGCGCGTGTCCTCCAGTATAGACCGCAGACTCAACAACTTATCAACTTGTAAGCCATATCAGTCTTGTATAGGTGGAAGACGTTCTTTTTTCGGCTCTATATGGGGCTTCGTACATATACTGCATCGAGAATACCCGTACTTAATTTACACTGATAACAATACATAACTCTAGTGATTCATGTATATTGATGTTATCATCCAGTAGCAGATTTAAGAAAATATCACCCTTAGTAATATACATTGGAACCGTAGCGGTGATAGTCAATTATTGCCCTTCAATGTGCAGGTTACGTAACATCAAGGACCGCGTATATTCAGTATTCAACTGGTGCTCACAAGTTCCGTGATGACCACGAATAAATACTATAGTTGAACTAAGAACAAATTGATGGGCAACTGAATTCAGAACTGCGCTATCATTTCTTACTTATCTCTCCCCACTGGCTCCGTGTGGGGTGTGGGAGCAGAGACTAAATTCAGCTATGGCGCGCGGTCGCTAAGCGCGACACAAGGCACATATAGAAGCTGCCGTTCAATTCATGGTGAGCGTGGCATATTAGGGGTGTCAGGACATCATGAAAAGAGAGCTCAGTGTTGGCAATGGCAGCATTAGAGCGAGCAAGAGACGTCAGTTGTGTGAAGGAACGGGGGCTCGTATTACCGAGAGCCCGCGTGGTGGACGACACAGAATATACACATTCTACTCGTCTTTTCCTCACACAATCCCTTAAAATGAAATAAGTTATTAGTTTATTGCTAATGTCAACTAATAACTACTACGTGATCTCGCGATTATGGTAGGCAAATAAAATAATATTTCAGAAGAAAGTTTAATAGCACTTGTAAAAATGAGAACTATTCAAATAATTTGGAATTACGAGATCAACAGAGGGTCGCAAAGCCAGACGTAGTCAAATAATTATGAACAATTGAACATGATCGAGACTTCCACGATTAAATATGGTATAGGGGCGGGTCAGTCGCCCAATTCACGTACCATGCGCTTAATCAACCTTATTTAGGGAGCTAGAACGCGACTTCAGCGTAAATAGAGAATTTGAAATGAGCGTAGATCGATAATTTTTACTTTTCAATCAGAATCGCATTCTAAAATCAATAGTTACTCCACACTTAACATTTAGCTCCTTAATAGCTCACTGTGCAGTCAACCAAGTAATCTACGAGAAAAAAACATCAGAATATACTTCCCAAACATTCAGCCCCTAGCCGGGCATTTTAACCAAGTGTTCGTACTTTAACCAAGTGTTCGTATTTAACCAAGCATGTACGGGGTAAACGGTAGTCGTGAATGGAAAATGGTTCCGTGAACGTGACATGGAGATCTTATCTAGAGCAAGACATTGACCAGATTAGCGATATAGGCAGCGAGTGCACGTGAGACGATCGCTCAGGGTGCCACACGCGCATGCAACAGAGGCCGCGGTCGGCTTCAGCTAGCAGGTCATAAGCATGACACACAAACTGGTTCGTTTAGCCTTGATGCCCGCCGGCCTTGCGAAGCCGAAGCCTGTATTGCAGGGGCTGAGAAAAAGCCAGTGGCAAAACATTCATGGTATGCGGTGCACTAAACAACTGCAAAGATGTGTATAGAACTGTACATGATACAATGTTTAGTACGACTCATTAGATGTGCAATTTGAGCACGTCAAATACGTGTATGTTATCGTAAAATTAGAGCCCCCACGATGATTGCATCGTACGCACGAAAAGGCTGTTAGAGCAGCATAATAACTATCGAAGCAAAGACGAAACAGTGATTGTGTAGGTGTATAAATGTTGAGCGCCAGCAAAATATCATTCAACACCAAAATGAATTCAAATTACAAGCGGTGTATTATATGTATAGGTGCCCGCGGTGCTGCGCTAAAACATCAATTGAAGAAAAATCTTCGATGTAGTCAAAAGCGCTGTTGAAAGACCGTTGCAAATCAAAAACCAAATCACCAAAATTCATCTTTATTGTTACTGTCCACTAGTTCTAAGCAAGGTCTAGGATCGACGTTTCTTTTCTAATATACGTAATTTTGATTCGGAAGTATCTCTAAATATAACGTGTAGAAGAATGTTATTCATCAATCATCACCAATCCGATCATTAGATGACAGAATGAAGTAGCAATAAAATGTACAACCCGAGCTAAAGTTATACCATCGTCGTGGGTGTGACCAGTTCAGTTGACTCTCTCACATCTCAGTGCACGAGATCGTCAGCTT